GCTGAAAAGCGCGAGGCACTTCAAGCATATGGCCAACATACCGACGATGATGCCCGTGAACAGATTGCCAAACGTACCATCAAGCAAGCATATGGTCAACATACCGATGATGATCCTCGTGAGCAGGCTGCTGCCAAGCGATCTTCAGCGCAGTAAGTGCATTCCGTTCCGCATACACACATAAACATCATGTAAGTGCCTCGCCCCCCTTCAAAAAGGAAACCCCCACTTCCCCTTTTCCATTACGACACTGTATTATATTTTCCCTCTTCTCCCTCAAACATCTCATTTCTATGAATAATATCTCTAACATGGCACAAGAGCATACGGACAACGCATCGACGACTGCTACGGGGGTTCACAGGCATACGGTCGGCACATTGATGACTGTTTCCTATGAGCCCAGGCAATTTGAGCGTCTCAGTCGGCTTGTCATCAAATACTCTATCTTTGATTTTATTGTGTACGTCTCGGATTCCACTGGGCATTGCTCACGGCTGCTGGAAGTGATTTTGGCTGTTGGAAGATGCGGAATTTCTAGGGGCTTCGTTGTGTTTCTTGAAGGATGTGGTCAGGGAAGGGGAGGAGAATGTGGCAGCTCGGGATATAACTCTTACCTTCAGATATAAAATGAAATTGTTGTGATCCTTTCTCGAACTTCATTTATCTTGACATATGAACAAATTCTTATACTCCAGTAAATTCCTTTTCCTTGTTAAAATTATTATCATGGCATATTTCTAAACAAAACGCGTATACTTCAACTAGATCGCTTCTAGCCCTTATGAAGCACTCCTTACACGTTGAACTGCTATTCCTAGAAACCCCGAAATTTAAAATAGTATCCTTTTCCCGTTACAAGTAATTTGCTCACTTACTCATCAATTGTACCTGCTATTCAGCCATCCCTTTACAGTACCGTCATATTAATTGGATAAAAATACTGTGCAGGGTAATTAACAGTTAATAGCTACATGTTTGCATAAATAGTTAGATATGCACCGCAAAGCATAATATAGTATACATATACTTCCGAGTTTTGTATTGAAGAGACTAGATGTGAGGGTTGAGACTTGGAGAAAAAATAAATACACCTGCTATTTATATTCACAGCACGTAGTCGGCAACAAGGAAGTAGCAACGGGGATAATAACTATATGAGAAAATATTCTTCGCTTCACTAAGTCCTGACTAACTTGTTAGATTTTATATAAACTTGATCTCTCGTGTTTATATTTCTCACTGCCTAATTCGTCGATTCTCGAGGAAACAAGGCGTCATGGTTATGTATAACACACTGTCTTGCATTTCTCACAAATGTAGACTGACTGTCTCACATATATACCTCGATGCGGCTATATAGAATCAATGAGTGGCAAATACTTCGTCGAGATTTACACATAATGTTACTAAGACTAGGAAGGACACGGCTCGGTGCCACCCGGCCCGTCCCGAAACCGAGATATACACTAATAAATTATTGCAGATAAACTCCTATTCAAGGGACCCTGCCAAGCCGGATCTTCTCTTCCTTTGTCCCGTATAGAACCTCACGAACAAGAAGAGATTTTAGAGATGTGTTCTCATTCCAATTATATAAAGCATTATCGTAAGGCAGTATGCAGGTGATTGATTTTTCATTTCCCCTGTGGATTATGATTACAGCATAGCAACCCCATTCTACGGGAATCAAACGTAAGATAAAGTCTAAAGTCGTGTAATGCCCCCGTTCGCACTGTGCCTTTACGAAATAGCTTGCCATTGGAGATTTGTTTTGGTGGAGACGAACGTCACAACTCAATAGATAATATGCACGTTTTGCTACCGGACCCTTAGGGCTAACAGGAGTAGATTAGCTTCTACCTAATCCGTAAGGTCGCCAGGGGCAATTTGTCCTGATCGGGCGAAGAGCACTAGTTATTCCCAGAAATTGGGGTCTCCACCCCCATATATGGCGCACGCCCATATACGCAACTCTTCCCTGCACGTCACATTGACGGATGAACACCCGTGCTAATCCATGGATGCCATGGGGTTAGATCATGATTTCCACGCAGCCAACGGCCCGCAGATTGCTAAAAATGGAAGTGTAAATTCCCCACCGCGTGGGTCATATGTCCGTGTGTACATGCCAATATGTAGAAGGCTTGCATAACCGTAACTATTGCTAACGCCGGCAAAGGAATGTCGTTGCGAACAGCGAATTAGCGTACCCCGGTACCGAGGCGACGGACCCGAGGGAAGCAACTTCAACCTTATCTGGGTAATGATGTAAGGGTTGTATATTGACTTTGATCTCGTCGCCTACCAATCAGCTGGCGATTGAATACTTCCGTGTGGATGTATGCTTCCGATGTGGAGTTTATCGCGAGGATTCATCCGAAAAGTGATCCGATGGCTAGTTGGTCTCCGCTGACCTAATAAATAATTGATGCCGGAAGTAATGGCCGAGGAGATGTGTCAAAGAAGGCTGCTTGAGTGGCCTCCAAGATGGAGATAAAGTTGATTTCCCCGAACCTAAGTACCACCAGAATTTCTTTCCGGATTTCGCTTCCAAGGCGAACGAAATGGTCCGTTGCCCAAGTTAGCCCTGCTAATCTCAAGCTGACTGTTGGCCACCTAGCATATCATCGTAATCGGTTGTGGTCTTGCTGGACTCACGGTATCGATAGGGCTGGCAAAAGGAGGACACGATGTAACCATCGTCGAGAGTGCGCCGTCAATGCTGTATATTGGAGCTGGTAGTTACATTTCTTTCCGGCCCAAGCACGCCGGCTGATAGACCAAGGAATTCAACTCACTCCAAACTCATGCAAAGTTTTGCGGACGTTAGGCGTCGACAAGTATATCGAGAAATACTGTGTTGAGCCGGTTGACCTGAGGATGATGAGATGGCGAAATGGCCAAAAGTTGGTCGAGGTCCCCTTGAAAGGGCATGCACGCGATGCATATGGTGCGCCATACTGGTACTTTGATTCTCGCCCTTCTCATAGTACAAGCTAAACAGCCGCGTCAAGGCATATCCACCGGGCAGACCTCCATCGCGGTCTTCTAGAAGCAGCGACGGAGCTAGGGTGCAGGGTACATCTAGACAATCGAGTAACATCCATTGATCCCTCAAAACCATCACTTGTCACCAAGGGTGGAAGGACATTCAAAGGGGATCTAATCGTTGCGTCTGATGGTAGATGTTCTTCCCCATCCTACCCCATCCATGCTAATTTCCTAGGGCTTCATTCAATGGCCCGCTCAACTGTTCTTGGCCAGCCGGGGCCTCCTGTGCCTACGGGACAGATGGTTTACCGCGTCACCCTTCCCGCGAAGACTCTGCAAGGGATTCCGGAGCTGGAGGATATAACAACGGTGCCCCGAAATAACCACTGGCTTGGCCCGAACGGAACGGTGCTTTCATATTTGTTGGAAGGTATTAGCGATACCTTGATAAACTTTGTGTTTACGTTAGTTTACGTGCCCTTAGGCTAGGGGGAAGGTTGCACTAACAGCTATTATAGTTGTGATAGCGACGGTTATATGCCGGACGGGGTTAACCAGAGGCCTGGCAAGATGGAAGATGTGCGCGACCGATTCCGCGAATGGGATCCAAGGTACGTTGGGAAAGAGTATATTCGACCTGTTATTGACATTGCCAAGGATCTTGAGAATGCTCGAACACGAAGGCCAGGTTTTGGAATGGAGAGTGAGAATATTGGCATGATATCCTTTGTTATTTGTGAGCTGACTGGCATAGCTCTTCACCCACGAAGAATTGCCCAACTGGGTCCACGACTCAGGCAAATTGTGCCTTATTGGTGATGCCGCGCATGCGATGACGCCGTATCTCGCCCAAGGAGCCGCAATGGGGATCGAAGATTCCGCGATTCTGGCTGGCCTGCTCGTAAAATATCCTTCTGTCGACACACTACACGAGACCCTCCTTCTGTACGAGAAGGCGCGATTGAAGCGAACGGCTAAGGTAGCAAATGCATCTATCGACTCGAGAAATTTTACTCAGATGCCAGACGGTCCCAAACAGCAGGAACGGGACGAGTATTTGCTGGCACACCCTGGCATACAGAGTGGGCACCGCAACATTCGGTCCCAGACAGAGTTCTTGGACTGGTTATTTGGATATGATGCCTATGAAGCGTTACAAGATATCCCACCGCTGCAAACGAGTTAGGCCCACGAATAGAATTCATCGACGGATCCCGGTGAAGCGGTTGATTTTACAGCTGGGCTGTAAACGGTAATGAGGCTTTCGGACACGAGCACAAACAAATGTGGGCGATCATGTTGTACTTTTCAACGGCCGAGCTAAGGCGCTTGGCCCATCATCCCAGGATGTCCTTTATGGGAATCCGGCATTTGGTCATTTCGGGGCTGTTGTATGAAGCGGGTATCGATAGGGCCCCAATGTGTGTATGCCGGTGGTGCTGGCGATGTGGCAATGATTTCGCCTCTAGTGGCAGGAGGAGGCGGAAGGGCACTGTACCCAACACCAAAAGTCTGCTGAGGTGCGAAATTAGGCTCCCCTACCCCAACGAAGTTCTCGACTCCAAAGAAATCTTTGAGCTCCCAAGGTATATCCACTGGGGCTTTCTGAAACCAGGCATTGGCAATATTCCCGTTCGCGCCGATATTTCCAGAGGCAGGCTGTGGATTCGCGTAATTGTAATCGAACGCAAATGTTGCTTGTTGTTGCTCCATGTATTCCCGAAACTGTTCAGCTTTCTCTTGCGGTTCTGACCGAACATCGAATATCCCAACTATCTTAGCTAGCTGCAATGCGACTTGAGTTAAGATGGAAAATGTCGGGCACAGTTTGATATTTTCCAGCGCATTCATAACATCGCGTACAGCCGCCTTCCGAGCCAAGTCTTCCTCGTTGTCCTTCTCAGTCCAGGGACGAGCTAGGAAATCGAGTGACAAGATGAACACAGAATGATAGATATAATATGCATCCAGCCACGTACGACCATCAAAAGTCCCTGTTGACAAAAGCTGTTGGATAAGTAGAGCGGATTTGCGAGAGAAGATCCCACACGCGTTGCTAAGGGCCATCTCCTCTTTATCGAGATCTTGCGAACGAACATGCTTCCCAAGCTGGCGGGCTAATTGGACGCCGACCTTTCGTAAGATAAAAGGGCGTGTCACCAAAGATTGAACATGGTGGAATTGGATATGAAGAAGGATGACAGCGCGACGATGCTTTGGGGTCGAGCTGTTATATTCTAGACGTAAAGTAGGAGGCAGACCGTGGTGCCATGTGTCAAGGTCGCGCAGAAATTGTATTATAACTGTCGTCTTTGGTGTATCCCCTTGTTCAGTAGGTTGGCTCGGAGAGACATATATCTTCCGCCTGACTTCTGAGAGCAATTTGGCAAGTCGTATTGAGTGGTCCACATAACCATACGGGACGGATTCACCCCCATCCAGCATCATCTCATCGGGGAAGGTGATATTAACCTCCGCATCATCGATTGCGCAGGGCCGGCCAAGGATGGCGCATTGGTACTGCTCAAAAGCATATGCAGTCCACCAAACCCGCTTTCGGACTTCCCTCTCTAGCCTATCAAAGCCACCGGAAGTTCCTTCGCGATGCATCCCTAATGCCATCGCCATCCGCGAGGCACACCCGAGGAGCATAAAGGCACTGTTTCGTTCGGTGCAATTATGCTGATAGAGCTGGAGGAGGAGGAGCGCTTGGACGTTGATGAGCGTAGTGGCGCTCACCAATTGGTGCATTCTAGATTGCACCAGGTCTAAATAATGGCGTTGAATTTGCTTAGCTTGTGGATGGTCTTCGTTTTCTAGCACCTGAGCGCCAAAAACTATCATCATAAAGATGCAGCACATCAGGCCTGGCTCAACATCGCGCATCATCTGTTGCGGCTGAACCCACACCAATTCATATCGATTTTGGAATGAGGGTCGGTGGAACAGGAGGTAGTTGGGATGGACTTGGTCAAAATACGCTGCGATGAATCTGTCGGTGATCTCCTTGGATGGGAGGAGGGATAGCACCGTCGCCCGTTTAGACCGGCTCGAAACCGATGCCGAGGTGCTTGAGGATCCACCCCGATATGGCGGTCGATATCTGTGATTATTTGGCGCTACAGCGGCACCATGCTCAGGAATTGCTCGATCAACGGTCCCATCTGAAGACTCGTCACTTTCCTCCTTATTGATCGGGTCAAGTGCTTTGCTCCAAGTTGACCCTGCAAAATCGGAGGAGATCTTGCTCCGTTCATCATCCGGTTGAATAGTTTTCAGCGCCGCGTTAAACTCAGCAACCATGTTCCTGACCGTTAGGACAAAGCCGAATGAGCTCGACGGGCCAATATAATGGGATGGACCATGGGGTGTCGGGACTAGCTTCTCTTCCGTAACCTTCGATACAGCAGTCTCCTGTATACCTCGACTCTCCGACTCTATTGATCCAGCTGAAGGACTGGCAGACGGCTGGGGGGATGTAGTCGCTGCTTTCGGGGGAGGGTGGTTGAAGACCTCAGCGGCCACGATCTGCTCATTGAAGGTCGGGAGCGTGATGTCATGGGCTTCGGCGATGGCATACAGCTCGTCGATATTGTTCGTATCATTCGAGGGGAAAAGGCCTTTGATCAAGGCATCGAGGACGCGGAACCGGACGCTGAGGGTCTCGACGCTGCCATATATCCTCGTCTTGCGGGGTAGGGTGGATTCGCACTTTGCGCCGACCTCGAGGCAATTCGAACAGGCTTCTTGGGCATCGGTCCCGCCAGAACGTGTGCAACGTATCCTCCTCTTCTTACACCGATCACAACTAACCAGCGCGCGGCGCCGCAGATGGTCTGGGATACGGGCTTTCCCCGGCTTCTTGGGTTTGACTTGTTGATCCATCAGGAAAAGATATTCGTTGACAAGTGCAACCGGCGCGCGAGGGCCGGTGCAGTAACGGGGAGGGCTAAAGGCGCAATTGCAGAGGTATCACAGCGATGCGGGTGGAGTGATAAGCACTGCAAGGCTGGGGCCATAGATGAATAGATATTGTTTTCTGTACTTGTATGACGACTTGCTTGACACCCAGGGGCCCGGCTTGGCTCTGCCGTGGTCGACGCGCGTGTCTGCGTCTCCGTCTGGGGGCGAGAAGGAGAGAGGCGTAGATATTAACGGAGGACGAGGAGCGCAACGTGAGATGGTTTCATGGAGATGGGTGGGAGGGAGGAGTTGTAGATGGCGGCTGAGGTTGCGTAGCTTTTCGAAAATAGGGTTTGGCACCGCTGGCCTGGTTCAGTGGCTTTGCGGTGGTGGGTGGATTGGGGGGGGGGGGCTTTAGGCGTGTCGTCAGCGCTGTGGTGTCCCACTGTAGTCACTGTCGCAATACCCTAGACTCTGGAGCTTGGGGCGTAGGTAGGTATGCCGTGGCCACTGTTAGCCGCTGTAACCACTGTAACCACCATGAACCACTGCAAGTCAGCACTGAACCACTGCTGGCCACCGTCACCACTGTAACTAAGCCCTGTAGCCACTATGGACACAGCGTACAGCGATAGGTCCGGCTGGCCCACAGTGCTGCGCCCGGGGATCGACAGCGTCCCCAGTTTCTCAGCGCCCCGGACGCAAGGGATATTCTCCGTGCTGTCGAGTAATAAGCTTATAACTTCGAGGCAAATACTCTGCAAAATAATACAAATGCTCCGTAGGCATATGATACGATACGATCCGATCCGGTACTGGCTGGCACTACACCGCATCCCTATATAGAGTCCAAATTATAGATAAAAGCACACAAATAGGAGATCGCCCCATCGGGGTTAAGCCCGTAAGAACTAACGCCCCTAAGGCCGGAGGGAACCATTCCTTATGCTTTCCATGGGTATTGCGCGTCTTTTTTTGATTTCTAATCCTCTGCTCCCACGCCTGGTGCGTCCCAGTGACTGGCTTGAGTGGAAGAAAACGGCTGTCGGCACCTTCACCGGCTCGCGGATACCCATTCATTCGATCTCTGTGTTACATATACCTTTAGGTAGGCAGCTTGGAGAGCTGAGGTACTTCGTAGGTTACGAGACCAGAGACAAGAGGCATGAAACACGAGACAAATATCAATTGCACACTCCTCTTATCGCTGGCCGGCCATGATATCTTCTTATCTCTCCTGACTCGCCGCCTGTACACTAATACAATAATGTCGAATCGTGAGCTGTAGAGTACAGCTATTTTTATACGTACTCAATGGCATCACTATGGTCACTTCCCTCGCCCTCCCTGGCCTTTTTCTCCAGAATGATTCTCCTCGCTGGAGTTTCAACGTGAGATGATGCGTCAACCCCTATTTTTGGGACCACCAGTCCAACTGGAAACCAAATTAGAACACAGGCTGAGCATATCAGATACCCGAGTTTCATCAAGGAATCCCAGCTGTCCCCAGCTATCGTGTGCTACTACGTCACCGCCTGCTCCGTGTAAGTGCAGAATAGCATGTGCACAGCATGGCAATTTGGCCTCAGCGGATTCCCGGCGTGGCGGTGTAACTTATCATATATGAGTTCGTCTCGACAAGGAGGTATGAGCACCGCGGTCGAGCCAGAGCCATGTGTAGGCCCTGCGGACACGCTTATCTTGACCTCCTTGCTAGAATTGTCCCAGAGCATCCGTGGCCAAGGAGGATTTTCCATCGGCCGGGACGTGAACGACGCCTGACGAGCAAGGCTTGCTTTTGTTCAATTTCTGCACGTCGGCCGCTGGCTGAGCGGTGCTCGAGTAAGTGCTCCCTGGCTGGAGGTCGCACAAGCAAGCCAGAACCTTGGATTCCGAGGAGTAGGTCGACTTATGGGGAACGACTTCGTTATGTCATCCTATCGTACTCACTCTCAGCTCGTCGCAGCTCCTCCAATCATTCTAGACATACTCGAGTACCGAGATATAGGGCGGAGGAGCGTGGGGATGTGCAGATTGGATTCTGACTCTCTGCGACGGGGCGTCTTTGTCGATCGACGTCGTAGTGTCTCGGCTCTCCCGACCGACATCGATATCATTGCACCGCCCGAATCACCTGTACTCGAGTCGTACTGTACCATACGGTGCTTCGTAAGGTTATGTATGTATGGTAATGGTTCCCCTAGCACTCGTACAGGACTGTGTCTCTCACTCCCGCAGTTCGTAGCCACAAGATATCGGTGTGCTGGAGATCAATTATGTGCTAGAGCCAAGGACTTGGCTGGAAAAAAGTACAGACCAGGCGCTCCCGCCGTCGAATTGTGTGCTCGACAACCTTCCGCCCAGCCCCCGCCCCGTCTGTCAAATGTGCGAAGCGTTTCACGTTGATGCGCCCGTTGTCCACACGGCCACGGCAATCGCCATTGAAAGTCTTGGGCCGAAGTGCGAAGTGCGAAGTAGGAAGTATTTGAATGCCGGTTTTCGCTGCCCGCTATTTTCGTTTGTTTTGTTTCGTTTCGTTCTGGAATAAACAGCAACGACGCTATTTATACCGGTTACTTCGTAGATAGAGTTGAGGAGTTAAGGCGGACAATGGTCGCTACATCGCCTGAAGGACAAGGCGATCCCGAGAAGCAGCTCTCTTCTCCCGCCACCACTATCACAAGCACAAGTACCGGGAGCAGTACACCCAGCGTCGAGAAGCACAATGTGACAATGACCATGACAGCAGCGGAGGAGAAGGCGGCGATCCAGAACCCAAACCCCGAAGCTGTCAGCAGCGATGGGGCAGAGACGATCCTGAAGCTTGATTCCCATGGCCTGCCCCTCGTTCCACAACCCAGTCTGTTCGAGGACGATCCCTTGGTCAGTACAGAGATCTCCATATCCAACCTATTTTTAAACGTCCTTTGCCCGACACTATGGGAACAGCTCCACACGTAAACGAATAACTGACTGTGAATACTTGTAACTGCAGAACTGGTCCCCATGGCTAAAATGGGCGGTGCTGATCCAGGTAGGGTTCATGGCCTTCCTGGGTCCGTACAATGCAGCTCTCATCAACCCCAGCCTTGTCCTGCTCAGTGAGGCAATGGGCGTCAATTCGAAGATCGCCGCATACAGCACAACCACGGGTATCATTCTGGGAGGAGTCTCGCCCTTCATCCTGGCGCCGCTCACCAATTACTATGGCCGTCGTCCTATCACCCTCATTGCCATGCTCCTGACCATCCTGGGCGGCATCCTATCAGGAGTCGCGCCAAATTTTGCAACGTTGGTGGGAATGCGGGCGATAACCGGGTTTGGATTCGGGGGGATGATGTCTGTTGGTACGGCGTCGTTGAACGACATGTTCTTTCTGCATGAGAGGGGCGAGAAGACAGGAGTATACTCCATCTTCATAACCAACGGCGCCCATGTAGCCGCCTTGGGTGAGTTGGTTCTCTTTCCCCCTGGGTTTCCTGAGGAGGAAACTCTCAGAAGACCCTACAATTACTTTAAAACCCAGCTAACAATACCAGTCGGAGGTTTCTTGGGACAAGCAGCAGGCTGGCAATGGGATTACTATCTCGGCGCAGTCAGTACCTCCGTCAGCTTCATCGTAGCACTCTTCCTCTTCCCCGAAACGCTCTTCTCCCGCGACCCAAAATTCCTCTCCAATCGAGCACACACGCGAACCTATTTCGAGATGCTCTTCTCCTTCAAAGGGAACATGATCCCGGGGCGCCAGCTCCACGCAACCGACTTCCTCCAATCCTTCCACATGCTCAAATACCCCTCGATCGTCATCCCGTTCTGGTATTACACATGGGCGTGGACATTCATCAACGTGCTGCCAGCAATCTCGCTCGCTACAATATACACGAAGTTCTACCACATGCGCAGCGGCCCAATTGGCGCATGTCTAGGCGTATCCCTCACCATCGGCAGCGTCCTAGGGGAATTCTTCGCCGGACGAGCGAGCGACTGGGTCATGTACCAAATGGCACGGCGAAACAACAACATCCGCAAGCCGGAATACCGCCTCTACCTCTCCACCATCTCCGCACTCTTCATGCCCGCCGGCCTCATAATATTCGGTGCCTGCGTCGGACGAACCGGCCACATCCCCCCTCTAGTCGGCCTCGCCGTCGGCGTCTTCGGCCTCCAAATCGCCTCCACCTGCCTCTACTCCTACATCTCCGACTGCTACCGCGCGCAAACCCCAGAATCCGGCGTCCTCTTCAACCTCTCCCGCGGCCTCTCCTTCGTGGTTGGCTACTTCGCCCTTCCCCTAGCAGACGCCGTTGGCTATTTCTGGGGATGGTTTACTTTTGCGGCCGCGCTCTGGATATTCTTCATCCCTATTATCCTACTCATGATTTACGGAGAGCGGTGGAGGGTGAAACTGGGCGAGCCTGGATTCCATCGATATTTATAATTTGATGTTTTATAATGACCGGATGAAAAAGGGGAAATGGAGTTTTGTCCCGCTTCTATTCTATGCGGGAGAGCGGGCGTTTTCTTTTTTTTTTTTTTTGGCCCCGAGATATAGACTTTTGGTCATTAACTAATTATACGGCTTGGGGATGGGAATATGGAGTCTGGTTTGTGTTGCATTTAAAGGGCGTTATGGGGTGCTTTAAAAAAAGCATATAGGGGTCAGGAGATTTATACGCACTTTAGTTTAATAGAGGAATATGATACCCTTTTGATTAGAGCCCTTAACTTGACTATCATATTTCATTATCATGGTGGATGTGTGTATAACCGCAGAAAGTTGGAGAGACGATTACCACCGAAGCCATAGACAAGAACAAACAACTACGATATTCATAATCTGAACACTCAAGCTGTGACAAATAAAGGGGGAAATCACATCTCACAAACCTGTACAAGAAGCACATGGAACTTATCTTCAATGATTTTTTAATCTTTATTCCTGGATCATTAAGGCACCGGTTTATCTGCATCTAATGCTCTAAGCCTGATACATGCAATTATCCCAGCGCTGTCCAGTTCCGTACCATCCCATCCAGCCCTCGCGAGCAGCACTAATTTGTTTTGCCCACCAAAGTCCAGCCCAACTAGCACGCCGTCACGCCGAAAGCAGGCAACCAGTCGTGAAAACCCAAGGGAAAAAGCTTTTTCTGCATGGATGGCTGCTGGGAAACCTCTAGCAGCGTCCCCCTTGCATGTGAAAATGCATGAAATCCGCTCTCCTGGTATCATGTCGCTGATGTCGCTGATATGAGGGATTGAAAGAATCGAAAACGCAAAGTAGTAAGAAAAGAAAAGGCTCGATGTCGAGATGAAGACAATTCGCGCCTCGCTGCAAAGTTGAAACACAAGTATGAATCCTCCTTAGAACGCCGCACATTTCTTGGTATTGTATCCCGCCGTTTCCAGTATTCCTAACATCATTCCTTCCATAATATTACCAACTCCGCCGTTCCTTTATGCTGTTTCTCAAGAACGCCGGTTAATACACAAACAAATATTGAACGAGGTGGATTGGGGTTTAATCCGCCGCTAGACGCGCAAAGTGCTTGCTCCAGATCCAACCCACGGTGTCAGATGGGTCGTCCTGGTTCTTAGCAAGCCAGAGCTCTCCCTTTTCACCAATGACATCGAAGATCTAGAAAAGGTTAGTTGAGAATTTCCAACAGCAGGAGGCAGGCAACTTACTTCACCAGCCGAATACGTCAGATAGGGGTATCCGGCTTCCGTTTTGGTGGCACTGATATTAAACTCAAATAGACTGGCAGCTAAGTAGAGCACATTATAGCCACCTGAGACATTTCGATCACGGGACGAGTTCCTTGAAGATCGCTGGCTATCCTCCGGGCCATCAGGCATGGGCATGGCTGAATGGAAGATGCCAGAATAAGGTCGAGTAGAGACTGGCGGTCCATCCATGTGGTAGGTCGAGTTGTACGTTGAACCTGACTCGCGCCGGTAGGGAGAATTGTAGTCATTGCTGGCCCGTTGTCCACCATTATCTGATGTGAAACTGCGTCCCGTATTAGGTCTAGCTAAACTTGATGCTGAAGGCCGCGGCTGAGAAAAGGTATCAGGCGTAGCAGGAGATCCGGAACCGGCTCGAGAGTGGTTGGCTGAGTATGCTTGAGGCTGGTAAGCAAACTGAGGCGCATTGGGCGTAGTGGACGCGGTTGGCGACAGAGCGAAGTGGCCACTGAGACGCTTGGGAAATTCCGGTGTTGGCAGGCTAGGAGTCATATCGCTGTTGAGCGAGAGTCCACGAGATCGACTTGACAAATTTGACGGCCGGCCTTTCCTGCTATCGCCCTCTGACAACTTAGGTACAGCGATGCCGTTAAAATTGCCGTTGACGATGCCCAATTCTTTAGTCTGAGCGTCGATGATTGTGTAATCACGACTGAACATGTTCACGATATCGACAACCTCCTTCGGGATCTGGCTTTCCTCCAGGACGGTCCTAACCTTCTTCTGCCAGATGCCCCACCACTGGCACTGAATCACGACAAAGTTGCCTAGGCAAATATTACCCAGCTTCTCAGTCAGTGCCGACAACTTTGGCAGGTCAAGCTTTAGTGTCTCATTCAATGCTGTATACTGATCGACCTTGGTTGAATCTTTATCGTTGAGCTTGATTGGGATGGGACCCTTGGAGAGAACGGATTTCTCATAGTCAATGCGGCGCTTGGCGCGCTTTTTCATAGCAAGACCAGGAGGGCCGTAAGACTGTATGACTTTCTCGAAAGGCTCGATCACTCTGACTCGAATGTTGGTGACCTAAGATTTGTTAGCAGCCCGAACGAAATACGAAATCGTCGAAAATCTTACATGTTCCTCCAGTGCCACCGTACTCATGTCCCTCATAGACATATTGAAGCGAGCCCATTTGCTCTCGATTTCCGGCCATTGACTTGGGCTCAGGCGCATTACAAGCTCCATAGCCGAGAGATATCGTAAGAAATCATGGACATATATGGAGATTTGCCGAGTGTAGAATTCGACATCGCGCAGCACGACCTGCAGTCGCAAATAATCATCACCATACCTCTCATGCATCTTCTGATACATTTCATCGTCTTGAGCGCGTGATGCATTAGACTGAAGCTTCTCGGCGGTTTTCTCTCTTGATCGGCCAAAGGCTTTTGCCAACCCAGTTCGAACATCAGAATCTTTGCGTTTGCGGTTGACGATCTTGCCCACCATTTCTATACGCTTCTTCAGCTCATCAATGTTCCTAAGCATAGCAAGCAACTCTCGGACAACAACCTGCAAAGCCTCGTAGTCCGGATGGTCTTCGCGAGTCTGCTCAAGCATCTCTTTGAAGAGGAGTTGATAGCGAGTGATGCGCTGAACCGGCTTGACGAGCAAAGCATCAAGGTCCCAGGCGGCCGTCAGATCCTTTGCAACAATATTGCACTCGCTCAGCCATACTTTGACCGAGCCATCATTCTGCAACGCTGACAGCCGTGCGCTGGCGGTCTCGCTGTTCTTCAAGTAGTCGGTATAGACCAGTTGCATTTTTTTAAGATGTTTGCCAAAGGCCACACCAACAAACGTTCTGTGGTCCTTTTGCTCGTCTGTCTGCAGGCCCTCGTTCAATGTGGTTGCTGTCGAAAGCCTATCATCAGGACTTGGGGAGACCGACGTTGCTTTACTTTGTCTGGACTTTTGAGCACGTGGCAAATATACGGCTACTGCCGCAACCTTCAAATCATCGAGTAGCGTCGTCGAGAAGGCAACTATCTCATCCGAATTCCTAAAAATGGTCTTGACGTCGCTAGCATCAAGCTTAGGGCAGGCTTCGGCCGTGCCTTTGTAGATTTCTTCGACTACATTCATGTCCTTCAAATACACCGACTCGGTATCAACAAGCTCCTTGATAAGCATTCGTCTCCGGAACAGCCGCTTCTTTTGCTTTGCCGCAGCTTCTTTCTCCTCCTCGGTCTCCGGTATTGAAACCTTTTGGGACGTTGCATGAGCCATAATTACTTCCTCAAAGGGTATCTGGGTGCTAGAACGAGACTCGGACTCGGAAGGCCGGTTGGAATAAATATCATCGCTAATGCGTCCAGATTCGGAATTATAATCAGGTCCATTGTGGTTGGCTTGGTCATCGTCGGGTGGTGGGCGCACGCTGGGGATATTGGGGGGCGGTGGTGAGCGGGTTGGTGGGAGAATAGGGGGGTCTTTGGTAGGTTCAGGGGCTGTGTGAGGCGGGGGAGAATAATCCTGCCATAGAGGGGCCGAAGTGGCACTGAGTCTGGAATGTTCTGAAAAGCCCACAGCGAATCCATCACCTGTCGATATCGGAGGCAACTGGTGGCCGGTGGGACTAGGGACACGGGGTGCATGTCTGGCAAATCCAGGAGACGGGATTGGACTATAGCCTTCAGGCTTTGGCGGAACCGGGGGTGTGGCGGATTCTAACTGCTCTCCCTGAGAAAATGCAGCATGATTCTCCGTATTCGATGACACTGAAGGGGGTTTGTAGAAATCTGCTTCTCCAGGATATTCCTGCGCAGAGTCCATGGAATAATCAGTCCAGGACGACTGGTGACTGGAACGGTTAACCTGAGAAGCGGGGCGGGTTGGCTGATTGCTATCATAGGCCAGCTGGCGACTCGAACTGGATATTCCCACATCCTCAGAACCTTCATCCTCCATATCAGTCACCGGGGTGTGCAAATGGTCATAGTCAGCTTCACTGACAGTTAGTGATGGGGGCGCCAAAGCCGTCCTTAGAGTAGGGAGCTGTAGCCGAGGCCCATCAGGATGATCTGGAGATACACCATAATCTACTTCCGTCGCGTAGGAAATTTGTGGAGGGTCCGGAAATGAGTTATTATTAGGGTGCGTAGCGTAATTAGTGCGATGGTCCTTGCTGTTGCCATAGCTATCATCGGATTTCCAAGGTGTTACAGATCCCGATGGTTGAGGAGATGCTTCTGGGCTTGTTGTAGTAAGCGTCGATGCAAATATCGGTTGATTATACTCCACGCTATGTCTATCATCCAGGCCAATATCTTTTTGGGGGGGATCTCGGGCCAGGTCATCGGCTCCTAGAGACAATCCCAGTCCTGGCTGTTCAACAGGCGCAAGAGCAAGAATAATATCAATAGATTCTTGCTCGTGGTTAATCCCGAAGAGTGCCTGCTCAGGACTTAAGTCATCAGCTGTAAAGACTATCTGGCTTGATAATCGGCTTGGCTCATGTCGTCTTACAGACGGTATCCGGCGCAACCGCGCTTCTTCGGTCTGGGGTTCGTTTTCGATTTCAGTGATTCCTGTGGCATTGGATACAGCAGAGGGTGGCTCGTCATAGTCAACGAAACTACCAGGAATGCCCAGGGTGGGAGAGTCTTCCTCCATTTGAGTATTGTTTCGCTGAATCGCGAGGTGCTCAGCCCTCGGGAAAGAAGTGGTGATCTGCAATGGCGTTTGCGGACTACGTTCTATCTCTGCTTCCTGCTCCAGTTCGGGCTCTGGTTCCTGCTCTGGCTCCTGCTCTGGCTCCTGCTTTGGTGCCTGCTCTGGTTCCGGCTCAACAGCCGGTATAGGAGTTGTTTCCATGGCGGCCTGTGCTGCCTCTGCTTCCTTCTTTGCCAGCGCAGCCGAGTCCTTCGCGCGCCTCTCCTCCAATCGTCGCATGTTTGCCGCACGAATTTCCTTTTGCTCAGCTTCATGGATAGACTTAGTATATGCTCGTTTTACTTTAGCTCTTTGAGCCACAAAATCTATAGATGCCAGATCTGGTTTCTTTCCGGCTGATGACTCTTGGGATCGGCCATTGCGAGTGATCTTCATCCCCGACTGCATGTTTTGCGGCGAGGTGGAATGATCTCTAGCCTTTTGCCTCGAACTCGTAGTTGTTGCAGCTGAAACGGGTTGCCTCGGCCGGGAACTTCGTAAAGGAGGGGAAGTTTTGGTTGGAGGGGACTTGATATAGGCAGGCAAACTAGAATTATTCTGTGCTTCTGCCTTTTGTGCTTCGGCTTTCTGAGCTCTACCTCGAGGAGATTTCTGTGCGGATATAACAACACGGCTCGTCGGCGTCGTCGCACGACCACCCGGACTCCATGTGTGCTGCTCAGGGCCGTGTTTCTTTCCATTTGCAAAAGTCTTTGTCGCAAATGGGGAGGCGGCTCGGGTTGACGGTTGGCTAGAGGACTCCGAGGAGTTGCTTAATCTTTTGGTGCGTACTGGCAATCTAGATGCAGTGCGCGGCTGCGGTGAGGTAGGCTGGGTGGTGGTCGAGGTCTGGAAAGACGGGGTAACGCCTTTCAGAGTGTTCACCTTCATATCAGCAAGATCACTATGGTTCCGATTATGACCAGGAGTGGAGTATGAAGATTGATTTGGGATAACATCTTCAAGTGCTGACGTGGCCCCCAGGTACCATGCGGTTGGGGAGGACGGAGAATCATCTGCATCTGATCGACTGCGATGGACTGCCCAGTGTGGGGGCTGTAGATTCGAATCTGAGGTTCTGCGGGTGGCGGAGTGAGGAATCCCATATGCAATATTATCCGAACCTGGTCCAGCAGGCAACACCTCCCCGAACAAAGGTTGTTTTCCGGACCCAGACATTTGGGACGGGAAATTGGTGGGTGGTGAGGTCGGTGACGTTGGCGACAAATTGGTCATCGATAGGGAGCCATGTGGATTGCTTCCAGAGACTGAATTTCGGGACCGGGGGCTGCGAGCAACGCCAGAGAGTGTATTGTTTGAAAGCTGATCTTCATTCGCGAACCTAGCTCTCTGTGTAGTCCTCGGCTGTTCGCGGGCCTTGACTCTTCCTGCCTCGCCATCTCTCGTGGACATACCTGCCCGTGTGGTGTTTGCTATATGATGATTACTCGCAGTTGTCCGCGCCATGTATCGAGGCACTCCCTGCACATTTCCCGGCGCGCCTGGCGCACTGCCATCCTTTGCAGCCATGCGAGGAGCGGGCTTGCGAGGCGTGGTACTCGAGGGTTCATTGTTCGGATCGAATCGTTTGAGCAGCTCCTTGACGCTGGTCTGTCGGGCTCTAGGCGTGCCGTTGGGTATTACATTCGATCTTGCAAAGTCGGGTCCCATTCTGTCCTCGAGGGGGGACGAGGCGGAGCGATATGAAGGTTTCATGTTTCGTCCAGCTAACGGGGGGTGCCTAGGAGTCGTGCCATTTCCATTTGACCTTAACGACGACGGCGCAGGTCGAGACACGGACGTAGCTGCAGCCATTCCGTTTGTCGCGATGTCTATGTAGCCGTTGGCGGGCTGTTGCGCACCGCGGTACTCTCTGTAGAATTCGGCAGGGTCACCATCGGCCATGCCTAGCCCATTTCCATACCCATTTGCAGCGAAGTCCTGAAGGTTATCAGCAGTCAGGGCCGACAGCTTCGGCGACGGTTGCGGGGACGGGGTGCTGGACTCGAAATCGGGGAGCGGCGGGGGCTGGTGATTGTGGGAAAGGCGATGGGCATGCGGATGCGGATGCGGATGCGGATGTTGGTAGGGAGGATGAGGTTGAGATCGAGGGCGTGTTTGCGTTTGTGTTTGGGGTTGAGCTTGAGCTTGAGCTTGAGGCAGAGGTTGACCATGCGGTTGGGGCTGCTGCTGCTGTTGTGGGTGAGCACTCGTAGCATGATGATGGAGCGGGCGCCTAGAATAGAAATTCTGGTCTGCGTTGATGCCGCTCTCCATGGTGCCTGGACATCGATCAGGCTCGGTCGTGCTTGAACTCGCAGCGTGAGGTTGATTGACTTGATTGATGGGCAATGGCAGCGAGAAGCTCCCGATCCATGCACGCAGGTGTCGGTGTCAGAGGTCGTGGAGGAAGCTGAGTGGTCTGGGATGGTGATTCGCGCGTCGACGGGGTTGACGTTTGAGCAATTGACGTGGTCCCTGTCGGGGATTGGCGATGCGATACGATACGATGCGATGCGGGCGCAACGTTTGCACGGAGGTTCGCCACCGCTACTCGCACGGAGGGAGGTCGTACACCGTGGAGGGGATTGGGATGGGGATTCGGACAGGTGAGTGGTGGTGAGGGGATTTGCTTTTTGGTTTGTTTGATGTGTGGGAGAGCGAGAGAGGTGAGGGTTGAGGGTTGAGAACTGCGAGTTGAGCGACTGGAAGGCGGTGATATGCGACTTTGCTGTCGTGCTCCCGTCGCTGGTGTTGTTGTTGGGCCTCGTCAATAATTGGCAGCAGTGGCAGTAATGACAGGAGTAACTGTAACCGCAATGGTAATAGTAGTAGTAATAGTACTTCGTAGCAACCTCCGACCACGACTGTCTTGTATGGTATTAACACAATACAAGTTGTCGCGATACTTGGTACCTCGCTGGTATCATCGATATCAAGTGCAAGTCCTCGCTCGATTTAGAAACACTCTATCCCCGAACCAAGACTAGGTGCACGGAGTCTAACGTTCCAAACGCCCCCTCGGACAGCCCTTCACGGCAAATGGGGAAATCAAGAGACTCGGGCTGCAGAGGCTTGAGAGGCTTGAGCAGCGTGAGAGAGAGGCGTTCCCAACATCAGACGGGAGATTTCAAGTGCCCACCAGTCCAGTCGCCGTGTCACCAAGGGATGCTGGCGCCTGTTGCTTGCAATATTAAGAATGCGAGTCTTGGTGGTGCCCAAGCCAGCTTCCTCTCGTCAGCAATATAATGCTCTGTACTTTTTCTTCACCCGCCCGACAGGCAATCTAAATAACAAGTCCAGACACGAGAATGTTCCCTGGCCCTGCTTAGGTCGGGCGGCGTGGGGCTCCGCAGCTCCGGTAATCTCCCTGGGGCTCTGGGCTGGCGGTGGCTCTGATACAGGACTGTAAAACCGTGATAAGGCAGAGCTTGCCCTGTGCTGTCGGGTCCTCTTCCCCTCAGTCCAAGGCCAGGTACAGCACCGGTAGGAAAATATAGCAATGCCCCGTATGCGAAGTACGGGGAAGCGTGAAGAGACGGCTTAGCCTCGTATTTGTTTGTTTTGTTTGTTCCTCTTTTCTCTCTTTCTCTTTCTCTTTTCTCTCCGTCAGATGTCGCGGGACCTTCCGCCGATCCCGTCGTATTATTAGCCGCAGCCGCAGCCGCGAGCCGCTAAGCCCGTTGCGGCCTGCGCCACCGGCGCTGCTCCCCAAAGGAGTTTAGCTGTCCCCATCACTCCCAAGGATCACGTGTCGCACAGCCACAGCCACCACTATTTGCGTTCTTCCAGAATCCACACGGAGTCCCATTGGAGTGAGTCCATGCGCCCAAACGCGATGCAACGCAAGCAGGCAAGGGGGTTTCTCGCAACAACAATCAATACATATCGTATCGATTATCAATATCGCAGTTCGTTGGCCTGCACTCGCTCGCCGACGTTGCACACGAACTGCCCTCGGCCAAAGCAGGGAAATCGCGATCCTGACAGGTCAATCAGTGCTCGTACGAAGTGCGCGTAAACGGACCAAATGCAATGTTCCCTCCATAGACTGATATCCGTTCCCCTGTTTCGACCAGGACAAACACTTGGCGTAACCTGAACTCGGGAGTCAGGAGCCCATTAAGAATTTAAGCCTCGGCCAACAGGACTACTATTCATCATGACTGGGAAAAGAAAGAGGAAGCGGCCCAGTAGCGGAGGTGAAGGCCAGTGCAACAGCCAGGAAGTGCAGAAGGGCAATGGTGACCCAGTCGTTAAACAAGCCTTGCTTGTTCAATTCTATCCCCAGGTATTGACTCTGCGCGACTATCTACTTTCAAAGTTACCCAGCACCTCCAAAGTCAGGAGGAAGAAAATATCATCCCTTGGATATGAAAAGAACTCGCAAATACGGCCAGCAAATGAGGCCCTGTCCGCATTCCTTGACGGGACATTGGTTGGGGTATCGGTCTCCAACAACGACTCTGGCGATGAGAGATGGCGGCAATGGACAACCTTCTCGCAAAAGGCTGATGAATCCACGTCCATGTTTGCGGATCTGAGCTCAGTGGGGAGTTACTCCCAGTCTGAGGTGCGTTTGTGTTTATCCCTATCGTGGCGATCGCCTTGCCTCGGAATGCTATTACCCCAGCAGCGAGTTCCTCACTAACACACATCCAGATCGTCGATTTTGCAATATGGCTGCTGTTTTCGAAGAACCAGGCATCAAATGGCAGGCTTAATCACCTGTTATGTCAAGGCTTTCGAAGGGATGTCAGCTCTCGTATGGTAATCCGGGAGGAAAACCCGCACGCAGCCATTCCAGGTGTAGTGTCGACTTACCCCAATAGTCATGTAACTTCGATGAAAAGGGCCCCATGGCCGCAAGTTCTTGCTCTCGTAGGGAAGGAAGGTGAAAGGGCGATGATCGACTTGATCTTGGATTGTGGTGTTTTCCTGGAAGTCGCCAGTGGACGTGGAGTCTATCATCAGTTGTGTGGTGAGTAGGCGGGTCCAGCGCCGAGCCAGCTCTGTTTATTCCCCGTACCCTCGGCGCTGACACATTGTGAATCACAGGAGTCCCGCTGAATGATCTTCAAACTTTACCTATGAGTATTGGAAAACTCTCTGCGGACTTATCCAGCCTTGTAAAGAAGCGTAAGCATGTTGGCGTCGTCGACAGATGTTTATCGAGCATCGTCTTCGTCCGTAGCCGTATGCTTTATGCTCGGGCTCCTTCGAACGCACAAGGGCGTGTCCAATTTGGACTTAAACACATACGTACGTGTCTACCGACTTCTGTGAGTGTTTGGCTAACTTTATAGATGTGCTCAACCGTTATCCTCTCAAAGCAAGGGGTTCGAGTGGCCCTGATACGGCTGGCAAACTTCTGCCTCCGGAGGGCCACAGCTCCATTGCAACAAGCACTATTTATACTATGATGTATTTATTTCCACGACAGTTTGGTCTTCATAATGTCTTCACCAGTCAAACAGATGCCCGTCAAACAGTCCAAGCATATATGGACTACACCCTGCGCGAAGACGAGATCAATGCTAAATACCCCTCACCAACCACACCAAAAATTCCCAAAAGACTTCGCGGGCGGGCAATAGATTTGGCGCGGAAATTACAGATCCAGCATAGCCGGTGCTCGTATAAGCAGTTGATTGAACATTACTGCCCAGTAAGTCATTATACCCTGCCTGGCCCATATCGTGCTAATGGCAAAGGTTTCCGGGGGTGGATCTAATTTTGTAATTCCACAACCGGACTCCCAGGAAATAAGTGAAGTCTCTGCTGTATTTAAGACGCAGGATTCTATCTCTACCGCCCCGCAGCTCACAAACTCACCCGGAATGAAGGCTGTAATACCTGGCAAACAGCTATCTATGATGCTTCATGCAACTCCCCAGGCGATGGTATCAGCATTTTGCCGCGCAGTTCTCACAAGGCTTATCCCTAAGGAATTTTGGGGAACTGGACAAGTGCAGGCGCACAATGAGAAGATATTTTCCCACAATGTCCACCGATTTATTGAACTTCGCAGGTTTGAGAACCTAACCCTTCACGAGCTGTCACAAGGCCTTCAAGTAAGATAAGCCCCATCACTCTACAGATTTCCCGGATAGTGTCCCCTTGAGCTCTACAAAACCTAAAAGCAAAACTCTAATAAACTGTCAGATCTCAACCATAGAATGGCTAGAGCCTCCCAATTGCGCTGGAAACAAGCTTGCGAAGTCGGACCTGAACAAGCGGATGGAGATATTCCACGAGTTCCTCTACTACATCTTCGACTCCATTCTCATCCCCCTCATCCGGACCAATTTCCATGTCACAGAATCCAACATCCACAAATATCGTCTCTTCTATTTCCGCCACGACGTTTGGCGCACGCTAGCTGAGCCCGCCATTGCAGCATTAAAACTTACCATGTTTGAGGAGATGAAACTAGAGCGGGCCCACAGATTGCTAGAATCGCGACCATTGGGCTTCAGCCAGCTGAGGCTACTTCCTAAAGAGACTGGCCTGCGGCCGATCATGAATCTAAGACGAAGAACGATCAAAAGGGGTTCGAAAAACTTCCTTGGAAGCAGCATCAACTCTATACTTGCTCCGGTCTTTAACGCCTTTACATACGAAAAGGTATATTTCTACTCTAGAGGTCCATGTCGGAACTAAACTGACCCTTTTAGACGAGAAATCCGGATCGACTTGGAGCAACGCTCGCATCAGTCGGAGATATATACGAAAAACTCAAATTATTTAAGCTACGGCATACTACCTCGTCAATGCCCTTCTATTTCGTCAAGGTCGATGTTAAAGCGGCATTTGACACTATACCACAAGCAGCGGTAGTCAACTTGATGTCGTCTCTTCTATCAGAGTCGGAGTATCGCATTTCGAAACATGTGGAGATCAAGCCAGGGGAGAATTTCCGGGAAGACCTGCTTGGTCGTGAAAGGACGAAACCAATACGGAGATGGGTGGCTACTGCAAAAAAAGGTACTAATTTCCAGAGCTTCGAAGCAGCCCTCGAGACCGACCTTGCTGTGAAAAAGAAGCATATGATTTTTGTCGAGAATATCGTAGGCAAGTTCCGAGACAGGGAGGAATTGCTCGATCTTTTGGCCGAACATGTGCAACGGAACATGGTCAAGATCGGGAAGAAGTTTTACCGACAGAAAGAAGGAATTCCTCAGGGATCGGTGCTTTCATCCCTATTGTGCAATTACTTCTATGGAGATCTGGAGGCGCAACACCTTGGATTCCTCGACCCGGAACAGAGTCTACTGCTACGATATATCGACGATTTCCTACTCGTTACTACTAACAAGTCTCACGCAAAGCAGTTTCTCCAAATCATGCACGACGGTTTGCCCGCCTACGGTGTGCGTGTCAATCCAGATAAAACACTGCTCAACTTTGAAGCCACAATCAACAACAAGAAAGTTGCAAGACTCGTTGGGACCAGCGATTTTCCATACTGCGGAAGTTTCATCAACACTCGGACGCTGAATGTAACACGAGACAGAGAGAGGCGGAAGGATCTAGGTACATTTTCCTTTTTCCTGGAAGGGTGATGCGGATGTGGCTAACGAAAACGAAAGATACTGTTGATTCTCTGACCGTTGAATTTTCGAAAAACCCAGGAAAGAACTTCCATCGGAAGGTGTTAAGTAAGTTCAGGTCATTTCTTTCATCCCGCCCTTTCAATCTCACTAGGTGTGGGTTGGTTGGTGGGCCACGAAATCGCATGGGCAGATGTGGTGTGCAGCCTCTCCGGTATATATAATGCATTAGGAGAATTCCTGTCACATACGACCATAGACTGAGGAGAAATGGGCATCCCGTCCGCTCTGCCATACACAAGCCTCAGATCGGCAGATTAGTAGTTGGGTGGGTGACCACCAGCGAATACCTGCTGTTGTATGTTTTTATTTTTGCATTTTTGCGTCGTTCAATTACTTTTTTGTCCCGCTTTATTTTTGTAGATTGCAATTACGGTTGAGGTCGAATGCCTTATCGTCATTCTAGCAGAATAATTACTTGGCGTTGGAATGATGCTAATATCTTCTGATGTAGACGCATTTAAAATCCAAGGCCACGCCATGTTTCTCGATACATCATTTAATTCCGTCCAAACGGTTATCTCAAACGTGCATTCGGCGTTCGTCGAGACAGCATCTAAAATGTGGATATATGCCCGTTGTCTCCCAGTCCGAAAACAGCCAGGGACGAATCTGTTGATCAGTAAGTAACATTTACTCGTAATGAAACTCGCAAAAATTCTAATCTACGTAGAAACCATCTCGGATCTAATCGATCTAGCCTTCGCATTGATGAAGAGCAAATCGAAGAATTCAAAAAATATCGGGTATAAGTGCGCTTTGACGAAGGTGCAGGTCGAATGGTACACTCTCCATTTTTGCCGTTTGGTTTTAGTAGTTTTACGGATGCTAATTATCGATAAATAGGCTTGCGGTTAACGCATTCCGGGATGTGCTGAGAAAGCGCCAGACTAAATATAGAAAGACGCTTGAGTGGCTTGATAGACGGGTGGCGATGTTAAGAGTAAAGGAGGGAAGAGCTTGTGACCGAATGAGCGGAATAGTAAAGAGGGGCATAGATACTCAGGGTGGATAGATATTTGATAATGCACAAGGATCTACGATGGAATAACAATAAAAATTAGAGTTATAATAATTAATTATTGCCGGCATGCCCGATTAATCCCAGGTTTTAGCAAAAGCTGCCTTGCTCCTCGATACTAGTCCCATTAGGTCATTGATCGACAAATGTACTGTAGACTACAGGTGGAGTCCTACTACTGGACTAACTTATAACCTTTGCCCCAACTTCTTGAGCGCCCCTCCACTAAAGCTGAGCCACGATCCTTCATCGCCCTTTGTTGGCTGTGGCTGCTTGCAGAGACCCGTAGGCCAGGAACCATTGGAACTAAACTACCAAGTTCCAGCTCACCTTCATCCATCAGTGATCACGATCGTGGCCGGGCACGACGGCCTCGGCATTGTCGGAGGCCGGAAGACTGGCACGCTAATGGCCAACTCCATTCAACCCGTCAGCGAAAACCTGGAAATGATTATTAGAGCCTACTTGGCTGATAACAAGCGTGGTTGAACAAATACAACAGCGACATCATCGAGATACTGGTTCAAGTATCACCAGCGTATATCGACGCAGTATGATGGCATATCGGGGGAAGCACGACGATCCTGTCCCACCCACCCCATGGCGGTTGATAAGGATGCTGGGGAGCTCTCCCACATTATTAGCTATCATTCATCTGCCGGATAATTGTGAATTGCGCCTTGCCCAGCCCCTGTCGAGCCAATCTTGGGAATATCCGTCGACGCCATAGCGCCGCGTTCAGGGGCTGCGAGTTGTTGGCGACGCTTGCAGAGAGAGAGAGACATATGTCAAAAAGAAGACCACAGGAAGAGCAAGACATCGTGCGATTAACTGGTCAAGAAGAGAGGGATACACGCACCGAGCTGCCAGCAGACTGGCAGACGGATAAGAGCTGTGCAATACAGAACGAAGGAGGATTGAATTGTTCTATGCCGTAGTACCGTAAGTTACCTACCTTCGTCTGTAATGTCGGCATTTTGCCAATACCAACCAGCAAGGCAACGAAACTCGCTATTATTCCTTTCCTCCACCGCTTCCAGCGTCCTCATCCTCGTCCTCATCCACCCCCCCCGTTGTTACTTTTTCTCCACGACAACAACTCACAGCTTCTACAGCACCTCCTCACCGCCCGTCGCTCTAATAGATCACCCATAATCCGACCTCCTTACCGTCGCTATACACTAATTATATTCTATTGTTAATACGCTCGTTTAATCACCCTTCCCCGTGTTGATACGCCCTCGGCCTCTGCTTCCTACCGCCAGTTCTTCGTATTCAATCAGAGGCATCCAGGCCTATCCCCTCTCGACGCTTTGAAACAACTCGAAATCCTCCTCCAACACCGAACCATCCGTCCTCGGACCCCTGAGTTGCCCACACGTTTCGATCCCCGCCTTCAACACCTTTCTCCGAAGATGCGATGAACTTCCTCGATGATGCAGGCTTCACTGCTGCCATGCCAGGCTCTCCGCCCGACCTCAGCGGCTCGAAATCCTCGAAATCCTCCTCCTTCCACTCCTCCTACCAGTCCGACGAGAACACCATAATTGAAGATGTGAGCAACTTCGAGGACATTGGCCTCGACGATGAGTCGCGCGCCGACACCGATATTGCACACTTCCAGACGAAGACCAGCTCCAACCCGTACGATGCAACGTTTGCCAGCGATCTGCGGTCTACCTCGACCACTAGACAGCCAAAACGCATCCCGATGTCGAATGCGAGTGCCAATCGCTCGCAGAGGGAATTGACCGTAGGGAAGCCAAAGCCCCCCTTTCCGAGTCTACGGGGCCAGGTCAAAAGTGCGACGGATAGCTTGGGATTAATGCCTGTTTCCAATGCCTCTACACCGACCCTACGAAGGGGATTAAGCAGCCCCAGTTCCCCTTCTTTTTCTACCATGAGACGAAATCGAAGCTCGAGTCCAAATACATCCGCCACATCCGCCCAAAGTCTTTCTGCCGGGAAGTTAAGGGTAAGGAGAAGCAGCTGGCAGGCTAATAGGGAGAGGAAGACTGCCCAACAGCTCGAGCTGGAGTGCGATGAAGATGATGGAGATGATGTGCCGGATGAGTGTTTCCTAGAGAATGTACCGATTTCTCCACGGCCTCCTCAAGAAAGGGCCGCCAGCCGATCACCATCAACCGCGACAAGCCCCGAGCGATCTCCCAAGGAGAAACCCAGACCGGTTGGCAATGGCACGTCTCCGATCCCAGCGGAACAGGGAGAACTAAGGTCCCCCAGACCGCCAGGGATAGCCGGAAATCGGGGAATTAGTATGGGCCAGTTTCCTATAAATCATGATTCGTTCTCAAAGGGCCGGGCGAAGAGTTGGACAGCTGCCTTGTCAACACTGAGCGACGAAGCGAAGGCTTTGACCGAGGCGTTGGAAGCCCACGCGGAGGACGAGGAATCTAGGGCGTCAGACCCACGACACCAGAAAAGCTCCAACTCCAACAAGCCTCGAGTCAAATCCGCGATCGCTGAGTTGCCGCCTTTACGGAGGACTGATATTATGATCGACCCACTTCCTATCTCGAAAGAGAAGGAGGCAGTTCTGTCTCGGACTCGTCCTTCCTGGCTTCCGCCGAAAGATCCAGCGGAAGAGAAACGCCACCTCAGAGAATACCAGCGGATGATGGCTATGTCTGCTGAGGCAGACCGGAAGAGGGAGTCTCAAAGGCTAGCAAAAAATACTTGCAAAGATGACACAGTCAACTCGCTTCTGAAAATCTGGGAGGAGCATGTGCTTCCAAACTGGGACGAGGTTACTCGCCAGAAACGAACGAGAGAACTCTGGTGGCGTGGGGTAACTCCCCGGAGCCGAGGAAGTGTGTGGGCGAAGGCAATTGGGAATGAACTCGGGCTCTCCGACGCTTCATATACTGCGGCGCTGCGCAGAGCCCAAGCTTTGGAGAACACGGTAAAGAGTGGTTCTCAGTTGAACAACGAGGAATTGAAAAAGAAGGGCTGGCTGGACCGGATCGAATCTGATGCAAAGAAGACGTATCCCGAGCTAAAGATCTTTCAACCGGACGCACCACTCCATGAATCGTTGTTGGACGTGTTGAAGGCCTACGCTATGTATAGGAGCGATGTTGGATATGTGCATGGCACGAGTGTAAGTTTTCTTCTTTTTGCATTGGAACGATGTGCTCGTAGCTTCGTTTTACTAACATAAATATTCAGACCATAGCTGCGATCCTACTCCTAAACCTCCCTACCCCTTCGGCCGCCTTCCAAGCTTTGTCGAATGTCCTGAACCGCCCATTACCACTCTCGTTCCACACGAATGACCCGGGCGCAACAACACGAGTATACGCCCTTCTACTTTCAACAATCTCTATCAAATCCCCTCGATTATACGCTCTGCTTAAAAACCCCATGTTCAACCTCCAACCAGAAATGTATCTCGGTGACCTTTTCGCCAGTATGTTTACGGGTTGCCTGAGTCTTGACAATGCTACTCGGCTTTGGGACGTCATGGTCTTCGAAGGCGATGCCGTATTGGTCCGAGCCTGTGTCGCATACCTACTCTCCATAGAAGGCAGACTTTTTGGTGCGCAGAGCGCAAAGGAAATCTGCGACATTGTCCGCGGTGGCTTGGATAGCAATCTTGGAGAGGAGGATTGGATGAAGTGTTTAAGAAGCGCCGGAAAGTCATAATACATATGTATAGGTCGGACTGGATAACTTATCATAAACCCATCCAGTCCTTCGTTTTTGCTCTGAAGTTATAAATCTTATCGGCACCACCTCATTTGGGCGTTTTCTGGACTTGTGTCTTCCGGGGCTTGTTGGGGAGACAGAACATCACAATAAGGCTAGCTCATGGATTGGAGTTAATAAGATTGGGGTGAGGTACATGGATGGGTGTGTCGTCTGCTGCCTGTGGCTGCGGATGTTGATACGAAAACGAAGTATATACTTAGTTGACCCCTTTCTACATAATGTATATCTACGCATTCATGACCTACATACATACAGTACCGTGTTTCGGAATTCTGGTGTGAAGTTTCTTTTGGTAAAGTATTGGTTCCTACTTTTGGTGTCATCTCGCTCCTCAACTCGTCGCACTTTCTCCTTTACGTTTTCTTTTCGTTCCCGTTGGATTTGGCGCGGTAAGAATGCGTTGTAGTAGGAAAAGAATTATCATCCCAGTTAATGCTCACCATCCATAATCATCTCTATCCTCAGTATGGCATATCATCCATTCAATCGTGCCAGTTCCCCCGCCCTTTAGCCCTCATGTTAAGTCATGGGCGATTCTTCCTAGATACTAATTGAAAACCCCACTATATATCGCATACCAAAACAACCCCCCCATATCAAAACCCCCTTAATAGAATACCTTAGTTTCACGAATGTGATTGTTAATCCTAATGCGGATGTAAAGTTTAGGCAGAGGTTAAACTATCCCACTAATGAAATATATTTTTAAGTCTCGCGGTCTGGGTATTACTTATAGTATGTAGTGGTATTATAACTAAAGTATTAAATGCATCTTTAGAGTATTACAAAGAGGATTTACTATGTTCTTCTAATTCTCTAACACTTTAGAATGCTTGTTTTAATTTTTCTTAAAACCCTAGGGAAAAATTAGAAAATTCTTATATATTATATAGATATTCGATATAATATGCAGTTCCCTTCACTTTATATATAAAGACATTGCCGGTCTAAATTGTATTCTTATTCTCTAAGGTTTCTTATTAGTCTAATTCAAAATAACTTAAAAAAAATAAAACCACGTACTTGCAGATATAAGAGGGGCTCTACAATTTAGAATTCGGTATTATGAACTATTAGTGGTAGTAGCTATATAGAGGTCTATTATTTTAATTCTAGGGGCCTATAGACTACTACTATATTAGAAAGCAGTTAGGCATGTATGTTTTCTTAGAGGTGTATAGTTTTATCTTCCTCGGAACAATAGAAATTCTAGCGGCTATCTGTATAGGTGGTGGCATCTTGCCTGCGTAAAGGCTCTGAGGTCACTGTATTTTAAAAATTTCCCTCCATATTTAAGGTTATGGTCGAGTTCGGCCGCTATTATATATCTCTTCTGTCTTGATAAAACCTCGACTCTGTGCACACTTACTTTATCCTCCTTATTTATTCGCCCTATATTGTCCTAGTACGGTGTCTCCGTATATTCCTTCTCGCTATGTAAACCCAAATTTGAAACGAACGTGTAGAGATTTAAAATGCCTCTCCTGTAAGGAAATAGATCATTAACTAGTCCTTAATGGAATATAATTATACTCAGATTTTATTGTTTTCTTGGGTTGGTTTATGTTGAAAAAATGACCTGGAAATTAGAGCAGCTGTCAGAATCCTTACACCATTACACTTACTGACTGAGATACTTTGGCTCAAATTTATATTCAAAAGAAGTATATATAGTTCATCGCTCAAAACTCATAGCCTCAAGGCCCCACAATACTCTGTATATCATCCAGCCTCCTCCCTTCAATCCAACTTATCGCCTCCTCTCGGTCCCTGCACATATGCGCTTGTCCCTGGCCCGTCGCACCTAGCAGCGACGGGCTGCCTTCCAGCGTCATGTCCGCCATACATAATATCTGGTTCCGCAGATACTCGAAGCAGTGAGAGGCATGGTAGTCATTCCGCTCGTCGTCGAAGCCGAATTTGTTGTTTACAACTAGCTGGTGGTAGGTGTCTACGGTGTAGTACAGCTGTGAATTTTCTTGTGTTAGTGTAGTAAGATATGACGGGCGGAGGAGATAACATACACAGTGCAGGGCATGCGTCCACGAGGCTTCGAAAATGGAGCCGTTCCGGATTGGATCGTCTGTTATGGGTTCTCCTAGCATGGGATAGTTTTTGTAATCTGGGATCTCGACACTGCCGCTGCCAACTAGGTCCAAGTTAGTGTTGCGAGCTATGGGGGTAGGAGGAGCGGGCTACGAACGAGGCATCAGCATATCCCAGTTCTTTCTCACTTCCATCCTGTTGTCATCTGATGTCATATTCGGGACGAACTTGTCCTCTTCGAATGTGAGAAGAGTGTATTTGTGTTTTGCTGTCAAAGTTCAAACATCAGTCTCAAGAGTACCTAGTGGGAAATTCACAGTTTCCCTACTTGGAATGTAAAGCCCATTAACATCGCCGCCCGTCTCCGTCTTTGCCTCGTTCCATCCCGAGTCCAGTATTCCCGATGACGGTAGCAGCAACATCACAATGACTCCTTGCAAGAACACTATAACTCCCCATCGGAACCATGTCAACACCGATTGCAACCTCGATCTTGCCTCATATCTGGCCAACGGCCGTCTCGAGGTATTTTGCTTCTCCAGGAATCCAGTAGATGCGAGGGTGGTATCTGAGTCATTCTCGAGATCTAAATCTATTTCTTCTGTTTCCCCAATTGATATATATCTGCTTTCTCTCGTTTTTGAAGACATGTTTCGCTCTCGTACAATTTAGATCAATAAAGGAATAACGGGTTCGAAGAAAAGAAGCGCAAGTCAATTGCGAGTAGAATGGCAGCTCCTGAGCCGAGAATTACAAATGAAGAGAATTCAAAATATCGCAATGTTTGAAGAAGATCAAGTCGAGAAAGAGACGTCCCCTAGGAAGGGAAACAATAACCAAAGCTTGTCTCTACCACCTCCCATAATCAATGCTGAATGGGGTATACCACACGCAACCGAGCGCGTATTGCGGCGCGTAAGGGCCGAAAAGGTTTACAGATGGTTTCATCTGGATTAGAGCAGCCGAGCATTATCATCCAATCTAGGTTACAATTGACGTTGCGATGGAACAGTGGCAGCGGGCAAGAGCACGCGAGAACGAGGTCGGACAGGATGATACGGTTTCTGCTGCAGGCCTGGGCTTGCAGGGGCAAGTCTCGGCATGTTTAGGCGTGCAGGAGGAATAGAGCTTAAGCATTGACAATGTGGAGATGTTTCCAGGTGGTCAAAACGCCAAGTGACATGTACATCATGGTTTTTTATTGGAGGAAATGAAAAGAAAAGTAGGGGGAGGGAGAATACCCACCACAGATGTATTACTATTTTGTGGGTAACTCGGCACGAAGTACGAAGTATATGCTCGAGGGTTCGAACCAGGTCAGGACAAGGCCAACGAACTTCTCCGCTCTGTTTGAGATGAAATCACCTGTGTCCTTCTTGGGATGAACAGATTATGCACAATGACATTGACGATCCAGGTTATAGTATAGAGTATCATATCGTAGATCTAAACCGCCTGCCGTCAAATGTATTAATCAACAACTCCAGCCGTGCAACATATTATGCGTGGGGATTAAAATTGCCCTTCGTATGTATATACACCAAACTCCAATCTAGTTACAAAAGTCTCCGTTTATGCTTCAGGATGAATATCAGGCCTCTCCATATTTCCCACAGAGTTGTCAAGCGCCCAATCCCGCACCTTATCAAAATTCCTACACGTATGCCACGAGTTCAGTTGTGGCCATGGCAATGGGTCATTCTCTACCATGTAGAATGTAAATAACCCCACATCAGCGTTGCACTGCACATTCATTCTGAGGATCTCGAGGCAGTGATCTGGAAAGTAATTAGATAAGCGGTTCTCAATACTTCATTTACGATTTCTATCACGTGGGTGCAACCATACCAGTATGCATTTGTAAATCCTCGTCACCGCTAGCAAAGTTGCCATTGCCGAGTTCCATGTAATGCTCCTTGTACGTGACTTGACGAAGGAGGTTGAGGCAATGGAGCTGGTGGAAGACTTCAAGACCGACACGGTAACCTTCCCCGCCTGTTTTGGGGTGCTTGGCCTTTAGTGATGATTCAGGCATGGCGATTCGTTTTAGCTCCTCGGGTGTGATGACTTGGTCTCCAACTGCGTAGGGTCAGTATGAGGCTCATCCATTTCGAATATGCTGTATCGCGAGGTGGCTTACTGTCATAGGATATCGCATGCCAGGCTTCATCAACCTCCGGACCCTTCCCGACGTACGGCGACGCCGAACCCATCGTCGTGTTAAATTTTACAGTCTCATATTCAACGGCTTTGACTGCAGGTGCTGTTCAGAGTGTTAGTTCAGGATCCGTTTAGCAATATTAGAAAAGCAGAAATTCATACAATATGCTGAAAAATGGCGCACGTAGTCGATCGTCGACACCCTTGCGAACCAAGACGAGACAAACATCGTCAACGACAGTCCAAGTAACGTCGCATGGGCAATCCAAATCCATCTCGGGCCGTATGCTCTTGTTCCTCTCGCTGGTAATATTCTCGCATGTTCTTCATCCTCGAGTAAAGTGGTTTCAGATAGGGAACTCGAGGTTCTTCGTGGAGGGAAGACATCTTGGAACTTCTCGTCGTCCTGGACTGGTTGATATTTTGAACCCATGATTTAGAAAGAAAAATACAGTACTCCTGGTACGTCAAGAATTGAAAATATGAATGAACGAATGAGTGATGAATGGCTTGGCCAGAAGCGATTGAGAAGAGAAGCAAGGAGAAGGAAAACAGGAACTGAACCGACGCAGTGGTTTTTGGGAATACAACGACAGAGGTGCAAAGAGGAAAGCGCCTAGAGGCGCAAGTGCAGGTGGAAGCGATGCCCCTGTCTCATCGTCGCGCCCGATATAGCCAGTTGAAGCCATCATATCAGCCTGAAACGAGGTGCTCAATCGTTAGAAGTTTGAAGCCATTCGCAAGCGAAAACTATCGTGCGGACACCGAGGTACAAGTCGCGGTGTAGAGGAGGCGCTAGCTAACGCCTTGTCCCCGTTAAGCTTCATCTCGATACGGGTAACCCATAACGGGAGATCGAGCCGTCAACACGGGGTATGACATATGCGTACATGGGAAGCCAAGACCCTCAGTTCCTGGGCGCCATGGTCGAAACATCGCCCCTGCGACCCAACAGGCCAGTTGAGAGCAGGGAATTGGTGGTCAACGCTCGCGTCTCAGGTGGCCGATCGCAGAGTTAAGGATTCAACTGTAGCACACCTCTCGAAAATTATTTCGCTCTTGGAGCCGTGATACAGAAGCAACTGAGGGATGCGTTGCTGCCAAAATCCAGAGCATTTGTAGGAGCTGTGAAGACACTCAGACGCGAAAGTAAACACAGCCCCTGTATTAATAAGCTACACATTTCCCAAGCAGCGGTTGCGGTGCAGTGCTACGCGAGCCAATTAAGGGGTGTCGTTTAATCCCTCAGTTCTGAGGCGTAGAGCCCCTGAAGCTCCCGAACTGCCCCTGAAACGGTTTCGTCCATATCGGAAATCCCTAGCTTCTCGTCTCTTTCTCGTCTCTATCCCTAGTATCAGCCATGCAGCAGATCCTCCTTGGCCTTTTAATTAGGCTTCTCCTTCCTTCGTTAAAGCTTCACTTGGATGCTGGTTCAAACGGCACTTTGGTTTGCACATCAAACCCTCCTTGTCATCCGAAAAGCTTGTCCCCCGGTTCGTCTTCCTGCTTTTGGCGCGAGCCTCAATATCACAAGGTCTAAGCAGAATGACAGAAGGTAGGCTGGCTACCAGCCGTGGGGCTCATCAATCCATTCGCGTCTCGAATGTGCTGGCAGGAATGCTACGCTCTTAATTTCCAGGCCCAAGTAAAGGCGCCAACCCATGCTATCCCTCCATGGCGAAACAAGTATGATGTGCGAGGTGGGATGATATAAAGGTCCTGATCAGTCCCAAAAATCAGCTCATTCATTCTCTTCATCCTGCCAGTCCAGTCCATCCGTCTCTTTTCATTCCTTCTCTGAATACATTCGTTCAACTGCCGGCCAGTCTTTGTCTTTGTATTTTATTATTACATTATGCATACCTTCTCAGTTTCCAAGCTTCTTGCGTTGGGCCTGCTGGTCTCGGCACCACTGGCCTCTGCATTTGTTGATGGTGTGGATCCCGGTGAAGTGGGCAAGAGATATATCGTGAGTTATAATATATTCATATTGCCAAATGAACATCTACTAACATGAACTAGGGAGGACCTGCTGCTCGGGTTAGATCTGTTCTTCCATTGGAAGATAGACACCATACCGAAGCACAGATTGCAGCCAAGAAGGCCAAAGCTGGAGGAAAGACTGGTCCAAGAGATATCGAAGTTCTCGACACCAGAGAGCCCCACCACACCGAGGCCCAGATCGCTGCGAAGAAAGCAAAGGGCGCCAAGGGAGCCAAAAACAACGCCCGTGATGTGGAAGTGCTCGACACCAGAGAACCTCATCACACCGAGGCCCAGATNAAGGGAGCCAAAAACAACGCCCGTGATGTGGAAGTGCTCGACACCAGAGAACCTCATCACACCGAGGCCCAGATCGCAGCGAAGAAAGCAAAGGGTGCTAAGGCTGGCAAGGGAGCCAAAAACAACGCCCGTGATGTGGAAGTGCTCGACACCAGAGAGCCCCATCACACCGAGGCCCAAATTGCAGCAAAGAAAGCCAAGGCTGGCAAGAAAGCCAAAAACGCTGGCCGCGATGTCGAGGCTGAGGTTGAGACCCGTGAACCACATCACACCGAAGCCCAAATTGCAGCGAAGAAGGCCAAGGCCGGCAAAGCTGGAAAGAATGCTGCCCGTGACGTTGATGTTGAAACTCGGGAACCCCATCACACCGAAGCTCAGATCGCCGCAAAGAAAGCCAAGGGTGCCAAGGGTGCCAAAAATGCTGGTCGCGATATCGAGGTCGAATCTCGGGAGCCCCATCACACCGAGGCTCAGATTGCGGCCAAGAAGGCCAAGGCTGGAAAGGGAAAAGCAAACTAGATCTGACCTGAATTTGAGCTGGAGAGTGTGGCTTGCTGGCGCCTGGATGTTTTCTTTGTAGATTGTATTTAAACTTGGGGTTTCGCAAACTACATATATATGCCTAGCGATGTAATTGCCTTGGGAGCGGCGTATTTTTGGATGTTATCAGAGTTGATTTGTGAAATAATGATTAAAGGACATGCTAGGGTCAAGATATTGACTCTTGTTGATCCTTGGGAGCGTTACGAAGTCATGGGAATATACTATTGTTGGTGTGCTACTATTTCCTTGCAATTTTTCCATCGTGCCTGTGTACTCGTGGCGTCTGGCGATGTTCTGTTTCGATACGAAATGTTCTATGCATTATACCTTGGCGAAACTGTGGTTGTTTCTGTTTTGATTTGCTTGTTATTGGCGTTCCAAACCCAAACCATGCATGCTTACTCTAGGATGATGTTTAACTCCAGGATCATATAAAGCTTATACTTTGTTCCATTACTCGAAGGGTCTCATAATATCCGCTACATCTTAGCATTATTTGCCAATGCTGGGCGAACGAAAAGGTCTCAAGAGTTGAAACGTAACATCCAACTAACGGAATCCCCTAAAAAAATTACCAAGGGTTTCCGGGTGTTGAACCTTGCAAGTGTTTAAGGGAAGACATAGTAGAAACTCTGGATTTTTAAGCACGATCAAGAAGGAAATAACAATATAACACGAGTCTTGAAGCTTTATTATTTGACAAAGCAAGTTTCTTTCTGTTTCTAAATCTGCGATATCTCTGAATATATTCCTGCGGATTCTTGAACGGCTCTCTCAGAGTATCATCTTGAATTCGGGATCTCTATCATCTGCAAAGCCGATATATCTGTCGTATTTCCCGTTCGCTTTGCCCCTATTTTTCTTTGCACAGTACAGGACATTGAAAAGAACCCTTGTACTAATGTCAGCAAAGTAAAGTGGAAAAGTTCGGGATATAACTTACAAAAACCAGGCAGACACCAAGAGGCTAAGGACGACGGTATGGCCTTTGTGGAATTGCGGCTTATCAATGTTCGGATATATAAAGGTCGCAACAAAACCACCACAGTTTGCAATACATAGTTGTAATGCCGTCGTGGTCGCCCGTTTGTAGTGGCCGGCGCAGTTGTTGGAGTTCCAAACCAGAATACAGGGAATGCTAGCATACATTCCTGTAGCCATGAGGAAAGTCATCCCATATTTCACTTTGGGGTGCTGCGCGCTAATATTCGCAATGACAGCATACCCGCAGATCGCTGGAATCAGTACAAACAGCACGATTATGCCTCGAAGTTTCAGACGATCCGAGACAATGGATATAATGACTGTAACCACAGATGCAACTGCGTACGGGATGACGGACCAGAGCTGAGCTTCGTTGGCGGTATATCCGAGCTCGACGATGATAGTAGGAAGAAAGAGTCCAAAGGAGTACAGTCCGGCCACGATGCCAAAGTATGCCGAAGCACTTAGCCATGTCGAGAGATCGAACAGGCCCCTCATAACCTCAGACCATCTAAAAGCTTCTTGCTTATGTTCACTGCATAAAGTTAGGTTGTGACTTTCTGAGGAGGGATTTTACTTACCCGCCGTCATGGGCCAACCGTGATGGCATATCTAAGTGAAGCCGCGCTCTGGCGAATTGGCGTTGTTCATGAGTGAGGAAGCTGGCGGAATCAACACCGTTTGGCAACAAGAAATACGAAATGGTGCCAACGACGATAGTCTATCCAATTAGCAACATAATGACGGTGTTGGGCTTTGGGGAATGGCTCACAATCAGTCCCTCAATGATAAAAATCCAGCTCCAATTCTCTTGGCCTCCAACTTTCCCAATGGATGTGAGCCCACGGGCGAGTAGGCCCCCAAATGCACCGCTAAGGGAAGCTGCTGTGTAGAAAATACCGAGCCTCAGTGCCATTTCTGTTCGGGTATACATTTCGGACAAGTACAAAACCTAAAGCATGCTGTTACTCAAAGTGGTCCTGTATTAGATGGTAGTGCAACTTACAATTCCCGGTAGAAGCCCACCCTCGGTAAGTCCGAGAACTGCTCTGACTACCATAAACCCAGTGTAGTTGGTGACAAAACCCAGACACATCGTAACGATTCCCCACATTACCGTCAGCGCCGGAAGCCATACTTTGGGGGATACTTTTTGCAGGATCAGATTACTTGGAATCTCGCTATTTATGGTGTCAGAGCCACGATCGTCCATGATGCCGGTCAACTTGCCTTGCAATATAAGTTGCATAATACACTGCCAAGCCAGTATCGTATTGGTGGTTTGTGATGTTCAGACTCTCCTCGAGGCCGTACGTTTTGGCATTGCCCACGTTTGTGCGGTCCAGAAAAGAGCAGAGAAACAAGAGCGCCAACACAGGGAGAATTCTAAATTGACCACAGTCAGTCCTGAATATTGCTATAAGAAAAGCTCGGTATGGAAGAAAATGTACCTGAAATCAATCTTTAAAAGAATCTTTCTGGTCATCGCCGCAGTGTCAGCCGGAGACATGCTATTGCCAACATTCTGCGTCTCCGCAAACTCGACCTTCTCGTCTTCCATTTCGATCTCGCGCTTTTCAATGGACCCCCGCATATCTTCTGTTGCCGCTGATAATGCGTTTCAAGAAAGGAAACAAGACATCAAGTAGGCCAGTAAAGCTCAACAGAAATATATAAAAGACTGAAGCAGTGGGGAATTAAGGACTTACTTGTACGACAGCCACGTACTACGTAGCACGAACTCCACTTCGTCACCCCATTACTCACTGTCTCATTTGGGCAGCTGAATATCCTGCTGGCATTCCCCGCGTCCCAGCAAAGGATCGTCCCGCAGGCGTTCCTAATACGTCGTCGTGCGGAAAGCTTAAGCAGATCCACCGATCCACCAGATCCACCTCCGCCAACAAAACCCCCAACTTCGGCTTTTCTTTTGACTCCGACCCTCGCGATTCGGCTGCTTACTTGGAACTTCGTCGTCAACCACCACTCCTGAACCATTTTCTTCCACCTCATACCCCATACCCCATATTCTGCACTCCACACCTCGTACCAGAAGTCGGAACCAGGCACCGACCCTAATTCTCCCCGGGATGCACTATTGACCATTTACATCTTCACCAACGCGCCAAACTTTGATCGTTTCGCGGCCGGAATTCATCCGCTATGTCCAAACTCTCGCCGTCATTGAAGGCTCTGGTCAGCGCAGCCTTTGCCCGACCGAACACTCTCCCCGCCAGCCCTCAAATTCGAACAGTATACGAGCGATTGAGGCAGCAAGCTGCAGCTAAGCATGTCGGACTCCCGGCATGGCTCACATTATCGGTATGTCCGGTCTCTCTCTCGTCCTGACCGACCGCCTGACAACTCCAGACAGCGGCCACGGTGACTATGAACTCGCCCGAGGCATTGGCCCAACTTTACAACCTCGCGACATCCTCATCGAAAGATAAAGCGCAATCTGTACAAACGGCAGAGCTTATGCGTGAGGTTGGACTGAAATGCATGGGATTAAATGGCGTATGTGATCCCTCAATTTGCCCTGCCTCCCCATTCTTATTTTGTGTTAGATTCCACGGACGATCAACTGTTTAGGTGCTTTCCGCGCCAGCCTTCCCAATGATATTGTATCATCTCTATCCACCAAGCCTACACGGTTGGTAACCACCCTTTGAGTTTCCTCTACTATTCTGACACCATATAGAGTCCCCTCGGTTGATAACATAAATACGATAACTACCCGCGGCCACAACCTTTGGAAATCTATTTACAACCCATTTGATGAAAAGCTCGTCGCTAAACTTGCGGAATCACATCCCGATTTACCAGTATTCATCTTGAATCACGGATACGGTGCCTTGTTTTCAGACCCGGCAGAACTGGGCCATGCCAGTGGTGCAAAAGTCGGCCGCGTTTTGACGAGTATTGCGGCTGTTGCTTGTCTCCGGGCACAGACTGGCGTGGGCCCCCAAGTTACGAGCCATATTTTTGGTCTGAGAAAGGCGTTTGAAGATGGTACCTATAAGGCCCCAGGGGAGTTCGAGGTAGAAGGTGGAGAGTGGTTGGCAACTGATGACGGAAATATATGGATTTTGAAGAGTGTAGATAGCATTGTGGAAGCCTTGAGCGAAGGAACGGGGACTACATTTGCGCCGGGTACCGTTAAGTCAAACCTTTGAATGTAGAATGTAGAATTGTTTATATTTAGCTAGGCGCATATATATAGATAGACAATGTACACAGCAGCTGGCGTTACAGATAAGTCCCTTCTATTTGTATGGCCAGAGTTAAACCAAGTACAACGGATGATAAATTATAGAGAAGGGATTAACCCAAACTTGGATGATTCTAGGCGAAAATGTCGGGTTCTATGGTCTGTTTTATGATACTTGAATGCTTTGTATAACTATTCATGATATAGTGGGTATTTGTAGGACATGCTCGCATCACTGGCTACACTTCCTTTATACATCCTGGCAGTGGAAACCGTCTTACAGCCCCTTTCCCTACAGGTCTAAAATTTCACAGACGCAAACACAATTATTCCATAGATTTGACGTCGTCGGCAACTGCAAATCTAGCCCCCGTCTTCTCTCTCACCATCTCGACATCCACTCCCGGAGCCAATTCGGTAAGGGTAAGTCCCCCTTTCGATCGATCAACCTCAAACACGCACTACACGTACCAGATCAAGCATTAGCCAACCGCAAATCATCCCATGGCCGTACCTGAATCGTAGCAAAGAAATGTCTTACCAAATCTGTGATAATAGTACTGACGACCCTCGCCCCAGTCAATGGCAATGTACACCGATCCACAATTTTCGGGCTACCATCCTTCGCAACGTGATCCGTGGCAATTACAATCTTGGTCTGATCGGGGTTTCCAACAAGATCCATGGCGCCGCCCATGCCCTTGAACATCTTCCCGGGAATCATAAAGTTGGCAAGATCGCCCGTAGCGCTTACCTGCAATGCCTATATGTGGGTAAGCAGATGGGGATGGCAGAATACGTTGAGGCGCGGTTTTCTTACTCCAAGAATGGAAACATCAATGTGGCCGCCACGAATCATGGCGAAAGATTCCGCGCTATCGAATGTTGAAGCGCCGGGGATGAGAGTTACCGTTTCTTTCCCAGCGTTGACCAAATCCCTTTTGAGGCATTAGTAACTAAGTATAGGCTAAGGCATCGAGGAAACTTACGCATCGACTTCATTTTCTGATGGGTAGGGTCCCTGGAGAGTGGAGCTGTTAGCACAATCGGCTTTATTCATTCTCTCGTTTTTCTGCTGGCACTAGAGCTTACCATTCCTAGGATTCCATTTTCAGATTGCAGCCACACTTTAGTCTCAGGGGACAAGTATGACGGTGCCAAAGTTGGAATACCTGTCTCGTTAGAAATACTCCTGACGCCTATTATAATATGCGTACTTACCAATACCAAGGTTAACGTAGTATCCGTGTTTGAGTTCCTTTGCAGTTCTCCTGGCTATCCTCTCTCTTCGGATTTGGGATTCGGACTTCGACGCATCGCCGCCCTTTTCCTCTTTAACCTCATTTGTTTTTCGCACCTCGATTAACTTCGGTGCCTCTGCAGGAACTATACGGTCCACGTAGATCCCGGGGAGGTGCACATTATCCGGATGTATTTCTCCAACGCGCACAATATTTTCGGCCTCGACAATGGTGATCTTAGCGGCTTTCCCCATGAGCTGATTGTATGACTTGGTGGTATAACTTCTCGAGGTTAGCAATGCTATTTAGTCGTATTCGAAGTAATCCACGTACCGGAATTGACAATTCCCTGCCTCGTCCACTTTATGTGCTCGGAGGATTGCAACGTCTCCTTTTATCGCGGTTTCCATGCCATATACCTTTCCGTCAAAAATACGGGTCTCCCTTGGCTTTCCTGCTTCAAGAACTGTCGCTGTATTTGTCGCCTTGTCAATGGGCCCGAGACGAACAGGAATATCTCCGGATTGTATTGGCGTATCTAATAGTGTGTCAGTTCGGGCAATGTAGATTTAATTTTGAAATAAAGATCACAAAGTATCAATCCTCAAGCTCTGAATTGGTCACTTACTAATACCAGTTGGTGTGAAAAACGCTGGGATTCCGGCTCCCCCAGCTCTCACCCTCTCGGCAATCGTGCCTTGGGGACATAGTTCAATGGCAATCTCCCCGCGCAGATACTTTTTCTCCAATTCCTTGTTTGCCCCGATATGTGAACACAATAATCGCGAGATTTGCTCGGACTCTACCAAGGGTGTGATTCCGCCCCCAATGCTTCCGCCCGCATTGTTCGAGACAATTGTTAGGGAATGGAGAGAGTTAACTCCCCGTCTCTCAATGGCACCAATTATGGTTTCTGTAATACGGTAATTCAAATTAACATCGCCCACCAGGAGTAGAATGCGAAGCGCCAATCACTTACCCGCAGTGCCGCAGACCCCGAACCCGGCGCTCAAGATTGTTGAACCGCTCTCTATATCCGTGACCGCCTCATCTGCGCTTTTGAACAGCTTGGAAGCTCCTCGCACAATCTTGGTCGCTGGACCTCGCTTGACTTTGACATTTGCTAGTTGTTGACTGTATAGAATCGGCGCTGTCTGTAGCTGCCGCGCATTCCGTGGTTGAGGGAGACTGAAATGTGACCGAGAGCGGGGTGCGCAGCCAAGAGGGCGCTGGCTGGAGCGTGCTAGACATATTGAAGAGATCCTTCGTGCAGCCATATTGACATGCTGTGAGGAAGGGAAGGAAATAAAATAAAAATAAAAATAGTCGATGAGCAAAAGAAAACTCGAGCCTCAACAATTGATGATGGAATAGAAATGTAGATTTGTGATTCTGAAACTGACACGGTGATACTTTTATGCCCGGGCCTCGGCTCGGGCGTTTCTATCGAGACGTGCGTAGTAAGATCTTATGTAACGCAGGTATTCAGGTACCGTCCTCGAGTACCGCAGCAAGGAAGAGAGACGAATAATTATATGGAGTAACCAAGAGCAATAGGTACGAGTACCGGCGTAGATCTCGGATCATCGGATGGTGGTACAGCAATGACCGAAATATAAGACACTGTGCTAGCAGCTGCGAAGTACCTCCGTACTGCGTAGGCATCCGTTTGGAACGTACCTAATACTTCGTATAACTGCTTTGTTCCTCTTTTCAACACACGATATACCTGTTCCACTTACCCCACATACTCCACACAAAATGGCTGAGTTCACAGGCCCGTCTCCGAAGACTATGATCGAGACCCATACTCTTGCGATGGAGGTTATTGCGCGGCACAATGACGCCTGCCCCATATTCGACGCGTCGGAACTAGCCCTCCTCGCGCGGTTTTGCGCCCAGCCAGAGACCAAAGACTTCATTCTGCGGGAGAGCGACATGCTCGACGAGCCCGGCGATGCACCAGGCACCAGGGCCAGTGCTACGCGGGGCAGTTTGGCGGGGTATGCGATTGCAAGGCATGGTACGGATAATCCGGTGCTGGAGGACCGTGAGATTGAGATGCTGAGACGCTGGTTTGAGACTGGAGGCGCGAAGACAGGGAATTCTGGGGAAGTTGGGGAAGTTTAATGCGTGGACGCGAGCAGAAGCCCGGATTTCTGGGGAAGGTTGCCTTCATAAATGTGTGTTGTGATTTAAAGCCACTTCATCGACACCATATATATGCTAATCGCTTCGGCGAGTTTAGGGCTGAGAGACAACAACGACACCAAGATGTAGCCGAGTTGTTTTAAGAGGAAATAAAACAACAATACTGGATCTTGTAGCTGCCACATGGGATTTCTTATCGGTAGATATATCACGACTCCCACGTACTTAGAATATATGGTGTTGGAAGTATTGCGGGTTTAATACTGCCCACCGTTAACGGCTATTATGTCTAAGAAATCCAAGGTTTTCCGTAGACAAACTCTCTAACAAACCCAACACGACCCCCCACGATACAGACCCCCAAAAAATACAATCAATAGATCACTAGCATGATGTGCCGCCCTATGGCTGCTACGTTACGTTACCTAACCCAACGACTTCGCCGCTAACACCTACAACACACTAACTCCAGTCCATTCCATACTAGCTCTTCGTCTTGTTACGCTATGACCGCCCTCGGGATCTACGAGTAATATGGAGATAGATTTAATTATCGTTCTAGCATATATGTTACTTTACTAGCTCATTTACTCATAGGGGCTGTATAGGAGTTGAAGCAGGCACCTTACTAACTGGTGCCAAAGTGTGCGGCAAAAACTAAGCACAAAGAAATATGTGCCCATGGGCCACGGCCGAAATGTGCCCACGTTTGAAATGTCATGATAAATTACGAAATTAATTTATTCTATATTTGCAGCGAATTATATAAACAGCCGTTATGTAGCAGCTGCAAGAATTTCTTCCGCAGCTTTCTCACTAATCATAAATGTTGGGATCACAGGGAATGCCCCAGGTACTCTAGGGAAAGCAGAGCCGTCAACGACACGGAGATTGTCGACACCTCTGACACGGAACTTGGAGTCCAGGACAGCCATTGGGTCATCATCTGCACCGATGGCAGCAGAACTGGTGGCGTGGTGCGAGTAGATCTGAGTTCGGAGGTAATCCTTTTGGTCCTCATCGGTACAACCTGGTTGGGTACAAGGATGCATTTCCTTGAAAGTGTTGGCCGGTATTTTGGAAAATATACCTCTAGCAAACTTCGCCGCCTCGAACATAGCCTGAAGATTGTCATCGTTGCCCTTGGAGAAAAATCCAAGATTGATCTCGGGCGTGTCTTGGGGATTTGCTGACTTTAGAGTGACTTTGCCGTTGATATTTTTCGGATTCATGTGAGCAAAGGCGCATTCAAAGTTGTTTGGATAGTTGGTAGGATAGCCTGGCCAGAAACCTTCCAATGCGAAAGGGGCGCAGAAAAAGTAGATATCCCTAAGTTTGGAAACGGTCGATTTCCACATCAGATGGAAGAAGCCTCCCGTGATGTTCTTGCTGAAGGTTCCCAGAAGTCCGCCCTCATAATTGTCTTGCTTTTGGGTCGAAATGAAAGGAAGCGTACGGAGACTTCATGCAGCCCTTTCCAACTACACCCTGTTTCCAAATGGATTATAGTTTCATTATCACTGAAGGTCGGCTCGGTAGAAGTGGATTGTTGGACATGGGGGGTAGGGCCAATGTGGTGGGTCTTCCTTGATGCGTATTTGAAGCGTAGGCTAAGGGTGAGATCAGCATGGGAATAAGCGGTGATTGATTGGATCCGATCGATGGTGCCGGTCGAGGTTTGGTCTTCCCAAGGGATGAGCTGAGGTACGAGCCATGTCCGTCCGATAGGTGGTTGCATGAGCGTAGGGTCATGAAGAGCGGGAAAAACTGTAATTATGCGGGGATGGTCCCAAACCGAACTCAAGGACCATGAGAGCAATAGCTGTGGTCCAGACGGCGTTAGCCACCATGAGTAGTATTAATGACAAACTAGAGGGAGAGGAGATATACCAATTGTTGGAGACGGTTATGTTGGTATGCAATTTGCAAAAGGCGATCGCTAACTCCGTCACCTATAAATAATGACTTGTTGGAGGATGTGGAGATATTCAACCCTACAACCTGTCCCAATTTTGCAGAGCCTGCTTGGGAGCGTGATAAGGTTCGTATCCAGAATTAGATACAGGTGATTATTTCGCCTTGATCAAAATCTAGCAGATGGCTCTCTTGGAACCATTGCCCTACGACTTGGGTCTGGGGTTACCCCAATACTCGATCCAAATGCCGCTTATGGGTGAGGATCCACAAGATCTGTTTTTACAACCTCGAGACACACGCATGCGCCGAATATCGTGTAGCGGAGCAATAGAGTCTAGGCGGTAGCTAGTTGCAAGGATGTGGTTTCCAACATCTGTCTTTGCAAGAGTGTCAGCAATTGTATCCTTCGGGTAGTTGATAGCCTTTCTGATTGGTTCCGCCATGCTTTGAGGTGACATATCGTCGAGCCTACGAGTGACGATGCTGACGTTCATAAAGGAGCCAGTACGTGCCTACCAGTCAATCTTAACTCAGATACCGTTTTATCGCGGGCGAAACATACCCCTTCAGTGGCTACAAACCCGATGATTGTTCGGTCAGAGGCTGCCGCCAAGCTTGAAATCCTTTACTTATCGTCTGCATTCCCAGTACCCATTGTTCTAGTATGAAACCCACAATCGAATTGGTTACTGATATTGGTATGAAACTAGTCGGCAACGTTAATATCTAGACAAATATAGGCCTTAGAAACATCAGAATTGGGAGACATGGGATAATATCTTGAAATCTCAAAAGAGTAAAGCATCATTATCTTACTGTCAATGAATGTATCCCAAACGCATCATTGAGGTTACCGGATTTCACATCTACTCGAACAATCCTTTCACCACCAGGACCATCAATAGGGAAACCCTTTTCCATCCCATCCTTCCTCCGTATAAAGTTGAGAACCTAGTATTATAGTAAAATTCCAGACCAATGATACCTCCTTCTATTTTACCATCTGGAGTAGCAGAGAGATTCGGGTTAGACAGCAAAGTAAATGACCATTTGTGCCGCCAAATCTGATGTTAAAAAAGGGGCGGCTGCGTGATGGTAGCCGGAGCGGAGGATTCAGTTGTTCTGGATCCGTTAGATGCAGCGGTATATTTGGTTTCCAAATATGAGTATTACACATGGCAGTTCTCGTTAGTTCGGTTGGCTCAAGAGATGAGTTTGTTGTGCGAGCACCTTCCAAAATCCCGAAAGAAACGAATTTACACACCTAAATGCTGATTTAGCGGAGAAATTCCCAATGGCCTATCATTAGGAAGAAGGAGAAATACGTCAAAACCTGCCATGAAGCCACAGATTCGTTGTCCATCCTGAGCAAAGAGCCTTGAAAAGCCCACGCCAGTAACAGTCGTAGGGGGTTCTCCAAACCAACCAGACATTTGATCCACATCGTTACCCGTGATGAATCGCAAGGATATAATGCCAGTAGAGACAACAGCTACCTCCACTCCATACGGGTCGTCGACTGACCGTAGCCAACATTCAGACTCATTTTCTCTTATAATCAGACCCATGGCTGAGGGATTTGTCGCCAGTTCAGACTCGACGTTAAATACCCGTAGACCAGGTATGTATGTTCTGTTATCAAATACCACCGTGCTTATTCCAATTGGCACCCCTCTGGTTGAAGCTGGGATAGGTATGGATTTCACCTCTAGCTCTCGACAACCTCGACGGTGTGGCCTAGGCATAGCTACACAGTTATCCCCATTCAAATTACCACTCACCGCCTGCCTAACATTAAGACCTAAGAATGGATCTCTGTATAGGGATGTTGAGTTGAACTCTGCCCCCGAGACATTTATCCCTTGGAGACGCCTCGCTCTCAATAGGATCGAGCCAGACGTGTGATCTGAGTTATCGCAATCCATATCCTCTTCCTGTTTTTTAATGAAGAGAAGTTGCTGTCTGTTGATAGAGCGGTTTTAACTGCGAAGTATCGGCGGTGCCAGTCCAAAGAAGGTCGTAATTTAACAGCAGGGGAAAATGCGAACCCCATCTCAAAATTAGCAGAAAATCTACTTCTCCAGAACTCCTGTCGGAGACCGCCGATAGTTGATGCGCGAGCGATTGCTCTTGAAGCTAACCTAGCTCTCGTTACATCCCATGACGATAAATTTATCAGGATTTCGTGGATTAATTCATTTGGCAGTCGAGTAAAGCAGTCGGCCAGTGAGATATAGCCACCGCACTTTGAATGAGCGGAGAAGGTTTCTATAGTTTCAATGTCATTGGTGTCACTTCCAGGCTCGATAAGATCTAGGTATTGGTGCGGATCAGCGAAGATGAGCGACCAAGCTGTGTTCGAACATCGTGACATTGGGTTGTTATACGGACGTCGGAAGTTATTCGCACCCCCAACATCTTGGCGAAAGGAGAGATGACCAAATGCATCGACGGATGCTGAGAGGAGTAAGCGGAATAAGCAATTAACAACTCCTGAATCAACCTCTTCGCTCCCAGAGGTTTGAAGGGAGAATAGCCTCCAGCAGGCCTCATGGAGACTGAATACCCAAAACAAATTATTGGAATAATAAAGTTGATATCTGTCCATCGAGACGCCACTATCGTTGTACTTTGCCCTCGAGTTTGGGGGCGCCGCAATTTCCATTCGCCCTCGTAATCCAAAGCACACGCCAGTAAGATATGGATTGGCGGCTCCGTTGGCTGAGCAAACTTCAACGAGGCAGCACAATTCGTGTCAGCAAGAATTCTCTAGCAAATCATTCTGATGTTCATTGTATGGACGTACCAACTCGTAACTCTTCAAACCACTCAAAACGTTGCACAGTGGCATCAGGACGTGGAGGGAGAATTCCCCTCATCCAAACCCCGCAAAGAGGGCAGAAATACGTCGGCATTATGCGTAACTTACCTAAAAGCTGAAGCAAATGCAGCAAGATGAAGCTTGAAGGAGTGAGTGGTTTGCTGTTAGGGGTTGAATATAGCGGATGTCGTCGATGTCACGGGAATTATGGGGGGCGAATTAATATCTTACTAGAATTGAGATATTTAAGCCCTATAAATATCTACCTAAAATTAGGATATTTATACGATCTAGATTAATATATAGAAATAATATAGAAGCTTAATATCGGAGATATACATAGGTAGGTAATACCTGTAGGTGCCTAATATTTCTAGCGAAAAGAGTTTTATACCAAATTCGTTGAAGAATACGCTATAGCTTGTATTTATTAAGAGTATATTCAGAACCTTATATATTTGGGACCAGTAGTGTTTCAAGCAGTGATATCACTTGGTATTCAAGGTTTAGGATAGGGAGTTATCGCTTAGGACAGGAATTATAGTTGGAGAGCAGAGTAATGGGAGACGGGGTGTTAAGGAACTCTTTCTACGCAATAAAACGTATAAAATTCTATATTATAAGTACAGGGACGGCTATATCAGGTGGTGGTTGACAGCCACTGCTCAATCCTCATTGCATCTCTTTTCTAAATCTAATATGTAAACTCATATTAGACAGATAATTTGCCAGACGGCTCAAAGTGCTCAACCTGTTCCTTGCCTTCAATACTGCTGCTACTCCGGTCTTTTTCCTCATAAATAGCAATAGCCTCTGGAAACACATGTGTTCTCCATCTCCGTGCAGGAACGTTCGATGCCAAAAGCAGGCTAATTTCGTCATTTGTCCTGCCTGTCGTCTCACCCACGCAGAAGTAAATATATGCGAGGGATGTAAGAGTTGTTCCAGCATAGACAAAGCCGAGCATTGGTCCGAGGCCAGCTGAATAGTACATGTATGGTGCAGAGAATGAGACAGCCCAGGTAGTGAAGTAGAATATGACGATCGACATGGACATAATCTTATTCTGGTTGGTTCCTACTGCCATCTCTCTTGCAACGGTATAAGCTAATGGACCCAATCCAAAGTTGAAGGCGACAATAACAACAAAGGAGAAAACAACGATAACGTATTGCGATGATGTTGTGAGATCCTGTTGTGTACCGATTCCTCCAATGACAAGGAATGCAATCAACATCAAGGATGTGGTCGCGAGAAGATTTGTTCGTCGACGTATTTTGTTACCGGTTATCACAGCGGCAGCAACAGCGAAGATTTGGAGAATGTTGGTGGCCAATTGGATCATGAATGGCTCCTTGATTCCGATAGCCTGGGCGAAGACGACGCCGTATACGTAGAAGAAGAGGATACCGCAGATTTGCTGAGCGTAGAGAGCACCCGCAGACCAAATGACTTTCTTGCGCTCAATGGGGTTTACCAACAATGCCCTCCAGCTTGACTCTGCAGCTGTTTCCTGTTCCCTTGCTCTCGCATCTTCTAGCATAGCGAGATCATCGGAAGGGTCGTAAGTCTTATTAGACCTGTTGATTGCTCGTAGTGCCCTTTCTGCCTCCTCTTTTCTACCCTTCATGCCGAACCAAACTGGGCTCTCGGGGATGAATGGTAAACCAATGAACATCATTAAAGGTAGGATGATGAGACCACCCATGGGAAGTTTGTATGACAAGGTGCTACTCAATTTTTCCGTGCCTTGGGTGAGACCGGCAGCGATGAGTTGAGAGCAAGATTGGAGGAACTGGAACATCATGAGAGAAGGACCACGAATCTGTACTGGTGCGACTTCTCCAATATAAAGAAGGGAAGTAACTGTGAAAGCTCCGACTCCAAGACCGATGATTATACGACCAACGACAATGAGGGCTTCGTAGTTTGTGTCGGCAACTTGTATGATACCTCCAATGAGAATGCTGACGGAGGCAAACCAAAAGGTCACCTTGCGGCCATATCTATCGTTGATGGGGGCAGAAAAGAGTGCACCGAAAAGGTCGCCAATGTAGATGGAGGAAGCTGAGAGGGAAGTGAAGCTGACTTTCAACGCCTTCTTGCCGTTCTCATCTAGATGATCGCCATAGTGGTTCTTGAATGTTTGCATTGCAAGAACTCCATTGTAATAAGTGTTGTCATAGCCGTACACCAGGGCCCCGATTGCTGATATCGCACAAAAAAGCAAAGCCCACTTGTGGGCTTTGTAATTGCTCCTGAATTGGCCAAACATGGCTCTTTTGATGACGAGATGGAGCGGCCGAATGAACAATGGAAGATGGAGTTGAATTGAGCACTCTGAATGGGTCAGAATGACTGATGACCATCTTGAGCTTGAGTGACGAGGACGAAAGGATATATATACATATAGTACAAAATTAAGCCAGCTTCCTAGTGATTCTCCGAGGCGAACCAGGTCGGAAAGTTGCCGCATTAGGGCAGTCCGCCCCGTCTTTTATCCCCACACTTCGTAGAGGCGATTGCGGGGATCTCCAGAGATTGCGGGGTCTCCAGAGGTAGCGGGGAAACATCGGATGCTGGAGGCAGGACTTGGTATGGAAATTCCAAGGCAGACAGGCGGCATTTCTACATTCGGAAGTAGCTGAAATTGTAGCGCTCCTAGATTGTGTGCTACCTAGGTACCTACGTACCTTATCTTAGCTATGAATAAAATATTCGTGATTGTTGAGCTAATTGATCATCGCTATTCTTACTACATCTTAAAATTAGTGCCTAAATCATATGCAATGCAGGATGGAAGAGGAAATATCTGTGGGCCCGGCGATCCTGAGTTGGGTGTCAATGTTCCAGAGACACTAGGGTTGAGACAGTCCTGCGCAATACTGGGGCAAAACAATTGTCGGTCAACACGACGAGCTGTTATGGCTCTCTTGCATTTCGAATAAGTCTAGCCAAATCGGTCAAGTTTAAAGTGCCTAGCAGAACTTCCTCTGACATCTAACCATGTGCAATGCAGTACAGTATTTTAGAGATTACAGGTACATGTATTTCCCCACTCAGCTGGAACAGGATTGATGTTCGCAGATCATAGGCTGTCCGTCTAGCTCGCCACTCCTGAGCATAAGTTCAATCTACTCGCAGAGTGTCAGACATAAAACCATTGACTGGGAAAAAGATATTCATGACTTACCAGCTCTAGATCAGCAAGAGCTGGTTCAGGCTCCAGCTCTGGCCGCACTTTTCCGTTTGCCAGGGCATCGCTCCAGGCTCGAACTACTGGGGGTACTCCCGTTCTCTCATTTGGTATAGAGACATTCTCTGCCTTGCCATTCACAGTCTTTGTGATCTCCGAATCATTCACAGTCACCACTCCCCCTTCGCATGCGACTGTCCATTCATTGCCCCGAAGCGTGGTGCCGAAAGATAATTGCACTACGCCTGAGATTCCCGATACCGTCTTCAAAGAAGCATTGATGGTGTCTACAGGAGGTAAGAAGGGTTTTAGCAGGCTTGTATTAGCAGACAACTGTTTGATTTCGTTGCCAGACTGTGCTCCGAGCAGTCGCCGAATACCTGCCACAAAGTGCACGCCACCATCGAGAAGGAAGCCGCCTTGATGCGTAGGTGTTTTACGCCAATCGGTCTCTGGTTTCACACTATATTTAGTAGATAGCTTTTAGTGCAAGGAATATGGAAGACCAAAATCACCTACGGAAGAAATTCCAATCCTCTTGGACGCAGTCAAACATCCGGACTTGGAAGCCAATGATCTTTCCGAGATTTGCGATCATTTCGCGAGCATGGTCGAAACTCTTCAGAAAGCGCCAATTCTCTGCGATGCTCCAAGTAGCATCGTGGATCTCGGCACGGTACCACTTGATCATCTCCACGGCCTCTTTTACGTTTTCGAGGACGGGCTTCTCAGAGAGGACATGCTTTCCAGCTAATAAAGCATCCCGTATATATTCCTTCTGATTTTTGATAGGCAATCTGACACAATTAGTGAGTTGACTCAATAAATTCAGGGAAAGGCTTGACGCACGCAATTATCACAGCATGGATGTCCTTCCGTGCAATAAGATCTTTATAGCCGAGTTCACCATCTTCGGAGTAGACATTACATCCTGGCAGATCATTTGCAAATGCAGTAGCAGCTTTTGAGGAACGCGAAAAAATAGCTCTTAAGGTGAGATGTTCTGCAGCATTTATAGCTGGCTGAAATTATGTAAGTCTGGGATACGAATGTCATTAATGCCCTAACCTACCAGATGCTCTTCCCTGGCCCAGATACCTGTGCTTGTCAGAGACCGTTACAATTTATAGTAGTTATTACTTACCTGAGCCAATCAACGCAACATTAATGGACATTTTGAAGGTGAACGAGGGCAGGATGATTGTATTGTTGCTCGGTAAGTGTAGATGTTTATCGAAGTTGAAACTTGAAGTAGGGCAGACTAGAACGGAGGAAAGAATAACAATCTTTGCAGTTCACTTGAGAATTATTTGACGATGTCTGGATTGCCTAACTTTTGAATGCAACTATTTATTTTTGGGGTTTACTAGAGTGCTCTGGAGAAGAGAACCGGGGGAAGCAGAGCACGGAACGAGAGGGTGGGGATTCATGGCGGAGGGTGGAGATAATGCCCCTCGATCCCATAATTTCGAGAGGAGCGGAAGGCGGAGAAGACGAATGCGGTGAATTGTGGGGTTATGGGGTCGGGTTGCGGATTGCGGATTGCCACTTAGGGTTACTCGTAGTGGTTTCACGAACCAACCAAAATCAAGAAAGGTTGCGGAGTCACGGCAATTCATTTTCGTGCCGAAGTAGCGTATACTGCCGACCAGTCGCTCATTGACAGGTGTCGGTATGCTGCAAAACAAGTAGTAAACCTAATGTATGGTATGTATAAAAACCTGAACGTCCCAGGGCTACTTTCTCCTTCAAGTCCCCGTTCCTAGCCAACCCCGCTGCATGTCTATATCAATTGCAAGACCCATCCATATAATACTCTATTTTTGTTTCGTCCTTTGTTCTTACTAGAAGTTGTATTTGAGATGGCATCTAAAGTCCTTAGGGTTGGGGTGATTGGCGGAGGCGATGTTGCCCAAGTTATCCATTTACCCATCCTTCAGCTACTCTCTCATCTCTATACCGTTAAAATTATCTGCGATATCTCCAAAAAGACAGCTGATCACTGCGCGACCAAGTTCGGTATTCCAATCGCGACAACGAACCCTGAAGATGTCTTTAAGAGTGCCGATGTTGACGTCATCTTTAATCTTACATCTGATGAGTTTCATGCACCATACACCATCGCGGGCCTTCAGGCAGGAAAGTCTGTCATGGTTGAGAAACCCATCACCCTGAGCTTGCAAGCTGCACAGGAGATTCTGGATGCTGAGCGATCTGCGCCGAATGGTGCCCGTGTTTTTGTGGGCTATATGCGCCGCTATGCACCCAGTCTACAAGCTTTCAAACGTGAAGTATCGACCATCAAATCTATCAAATACGCGCGTGTGCGCGATATTATCGGTCCAAATGCCTATTTTATTGGTCAATCCGGCGCCTCTCCCCTCAAATTCACTGATGATATTTCCGCAGCAGCTGGGGTTGACCGACGGGAACGATTCAGCGCCCTATTGGAGCAAGCTTGGGGGACGCCATTTGCGGAGCTGAGTCCTGAGCAGATAGACTACTGTTTTTTACTCGCGAATCTCGGAAGTCATGGACTTAGTTTGATGCGTGAAGTACTTGGTGGATTGCCCGAGGAGGTTCTAGCTTCCACGGATAATGCCCGCTGGTACACGACCATGTTTGACTATAAGAATCGGACTGAGCCTCATGAGCGATTCACCTGCTTATACGAGACTGGAATCGACAGCGTCCCCCGCTTTGACTCCCAGGTAGCTGTCTTTGGGGAAGATAAGAGTGTCACAATTTGCTACGACACCCCATTTGTGAAGGGTTTAGGAATCACCGTGGAAATTGATGAACTCAACGAGCATGGAGAGAAGTGTCACCGCAGTATTCAAACTTCCTATGAAGACGCCTATACTGCTGAGCTGAGGGATTTGCACGAATGCATAGCAGCAGGGAAGGAAATTAAAACGACTGTTGTTGATGCTATGAAGGATCTGGAGTTGTTTGACATGATGATGAAGAAGTACCCTAGCTACAAGAAACAAGGAAAGGCAGGTAATGGTGGCAGTTTCTTGCCCTCGGGTCCTTAGTTTAATTAATTGCTTTGAATTAGACACGGCAGACTTCTTGTCATCTTAATACATAACGCTATTTCATGAAATGACTTCAATAATTCGCCTTGGAATTCTAAGCTGAACTGCGGGACTATTTCTTCGATAGTATAAGGTGCAACAGACTTTAGCTCAATGCCTTAATTATTTACGACTCGACGTGTTGAATAGTGCCTGTTCAAACTTGTTGGTTAATGAAGGCTACCCTCACGCTATGAGTGTAGTGACCTCTCCCCGCTTTGTAGCAGGCTAATCTGACTTGGATAGTTTACGGGACAACTGTTTGGCTCGAGGTTGTGAGCCCTCAGTAACCACTGATCCACCGAAGCACGCTTACAACTTCCTGGGCTATGACTCCACCATCCCCATGAATGACCCTAGACCTAGGAGTGCGGAGTGATTAGCCCATTAGCCCTAGGGAGGTGGCCAAAAGCGCCGCGCCTTCTCTAAAGTCGCGGAAGTTTTGACCGTTAATATTTTGTTCCGTTTGGGGAGCGAAGGGCGGAGGATACGAGTGACAAAGGGTTGCCCGTAACGAATAGTGTTTGTGGCTGTACTTCGCCATCTGATGGCGGAGTTCCCAAAGGAGACCTCCCTCCGCTTTGTTCTTCTAGCCACCGCTATGAAACTGTCTCGGATCAGCATATCAAACGATTAGGCCCAGGACACACCTAAGTGCCAGCATTGAAGAAAATGTATATATCAGAATTGAAAACGAACCTCAAGATGACATACGAGACACATTTATTAGATCATTTGCTTCTTGTGTACCCACTTCCATGACCTAGACTCCGTTTGAAGGCTGTCGCTATGGATATCTTCAGCCCCGCAGATGTTCTAGTTCTCAAAGTCGCCTTTGGAGCCTCAGTTGCCTATGGGGTCCAGAAACTTATATCTCATACCAGCCAGAAACCCGTCGTGGAGCCACTCATTCCACCCCGGAGCAAGACCTCAAATTTAACAAGCAACATTCTCGCAACTCCGAGTAGGAATATCAAGACAGAACTCAAAAGAACAAGAAAATCATGCATGATTTTTTACGGTAGTCAGACCGGAACAGCAGAAAAGCTCGCCTCTATTTTTGCGAAAGAGGCTCTCTTTCGATTTGGCGTTGAAGGTCTCGTCGCAGACCTGGACAATTTCGACTACGACGATCTGCTCTCTCTCTCCGAAGAGAACGTTTTGGTCTTCCTACTCGCTACATATGGCGAGGGAGACCCCACAGATAACAGTATTTCTTTTGATCGATATTGCGCAAATTTGCGCTCGAAAACGGATTTGCAGGCGCATAATCTCCATTACGCGTCATTCGGACTCGGAAATAGTTCCTATCAATTCTACAATGAAATGATCAAGCGTGTCGATTCAACCCTTAGCGGGGCTGGAGCTCATCGGATTGGCTCTGCTGGACTTGGAGATGATGCAGATGGATCACTCGAGGATGATTTCCTGACTTGGAAGGATGAAACGCTGCCACAGCTTGCAAATCACCTGGGATTCACTGAACAGGAGCGTGCACCAATCGTCAATCTTGTTATTTCAGAAACAAAGTCTTCATCAAGCATTCCGCTCTTTCTGGGAGAGCCCAACGCCGCACACCGCAAGGGCAAGCTGAGAGGGCCTTGGACAAACTCGAATCCACTTCCCGCTCGGATTAGCGAGTCGCGGGAGGTCTTCCAGAACAGTCCCCGAAAATGTCTCCATGTAGCATTCGATATTAGCGATTCGACCATGACTTACGAGACAGGGGATCACCTAGGTGTCTCGCCCGAGAATTCAAATAGGGAGGTAGAGCGGTTTCTGCGAATTTTTGGTTTGTTCGAGAAGAAAGACAGTATATTCAACATCGGAAGTGAGGATCCAACAGTCAAGCTTCCTCTTCCGGCCTATACCACCTATGATGCAGCAACTAGATATTACCTTGATATCTGCGCCCCGATCTCTCGATACATTTTGGGCAGCCTTGTTAGCTATTGCTCAGACGAAGTTACAAAGGCTGAACTACTTCGGCTAAGCAAAGACAACGTCGCATTTGAGAAAGAGGTTAAGAATCTGTGCTTGAATCTTGCTCAATTTCTCGAGGGATTTGGGTCTTCCACATTATGGAACTCTGTTCCTATTTCACTACTTTTCGAAATGATCGGCAAATTACAACCTCGCTACTATTCTATTTCCTCGTCGTCTCTCCAATCGAGGAAATGCATATCAATAACCGCGGTTGTCGAGACACAGAAGAATGACGAGTGGTCCCATGAATTCAAGGGCGTCGCAACAAACTATCTCCTAGCTCAACATTTCCAAATCCGGGGTCCCAACGCCCTTGAGCCAACTCACCTGCTCAGCGGTCCTCGCTTTCGTAACACTGCGATGAGTTCACTTATCCATGTCCGACGCTCCAAGTTCCGCTTACCCAAAATGAATTCCGTACCAATCATTATGATAGGTCCTGGTACCGGTATAGCTCCATTCCGTGCATTCGTGCAAGAACGTGCATGGCAAAATAGCGCTCATCCTGCCGGCCGAACAATTCTCTTTTACGGTTGTAGACGACGTAATGAGGACTTTCTATATGAAGAAGAATGGAGGGTAAGATTCACGGTCTCCCCTTAAAGAAATATGTCAAAACCGTTCCTAATACATCGGGTAGCAATTAGAAACTTCTTTCAAACCTGGAACATTCAGTATGCACGTTGCCTTCTCCCGACAAGACCCGACAAAGAAGGTCTATGTTCAACACCTACTCAACCAGCAGGCCGAGGAACTCAGGGAGCTGATACTAAGGCAAAATGCATGTGTGTATGTTTGCGGTGATGCCCAACGGATGGCGAAAGATGTATTCACAGCAATGGCACAAATAATTGGAGAAGATAATGCATTTGACGGCGATTCTCAGGCTTATCTAAAAACCTTGAAGAAGAACAAGCGCTGGTTAGAGGATGTTTGGTAGTTAGAATATAAATGCCAGCCGAACTAAATATGGGAGTCTCATGGAGCTTTAATCTGTCTTCGGGAAATACAATTAGAGATTTGTAAACTCTATAGATAGAAATCGTTTCAGATTTGCTTGCAAAACTCCAAGTGAGTGTTCTTTCATAAAGAGGTATATAACTTCTCAGCTGAGTGCTTTGTAAATTATGTTTGATTGGCAGTTCTCCTCTTATACTACAGTACTACTTTAATGTCAGAGGGTAAATTGTTCTTGACTGACCATTTTCCATCGTACCTAGCACTTGACATCAGTTGACACCACTACTTCTGGCCCATGTTCGTCTAACCACAATTCGATAGCGATATTCCCGATTTCGGAAAAGTCGTTTTGTAGATAGAATCTAGGAAAATTAGAATCTCATGGAACAATAAGAGTTAGAATTATTCTACTTTAGAATTAGATCTCGAAACTGAATTAGGAGTCTACTCTTGCGCAAATGCGCGTCATGCAAAAGGGTATAATTGCAGCTAAGAGCTAAAACATGAGCACGCCTATCGAGAGTTAGACTCTGCCCTGAATAACAAAGTAAGCTGAGTCACCAACACTCCTATATACACTTTGCATTACTCGGAAAATCATTTATAAAAGATTCAGTTTACTGAAATATATGTGACTTCTTTCTCAACACCTTCTTAGTCTAGCACATATCTAGCCTCACGTCTCGAGGCTAGACTACAATTATTTGACGCGACTCAGGGAATCGAAATTGCCAAACACATCTAATAACAAGTCGGAGTTTATTAGAGGCAGCCCCATATCCGAGTAAGAGGCGGAGGAGGCGAACAGAGTGGGAGCTTTTGGCTTCTGAAGCAATCCTGAAGAAGGTAAAGGTTATCTAAACTAACGGTATTTCGAGTCAAGAGTCGCCTGTGCGAGGTTTCCGTTTGGAAAGAGTAAGGAGGCGGAGTTAGAGGTAGTGAGGACTAGCTGTCTGTAAAGGGAAACTCCGCCTCCGCATTCATAGCACAAAACCTAGGCTAGGGAGCGGACTTCCAACCCGGGATATGTGCACCGGTTGATGATGGAGAAGAGAGTGTGAGGGGGCTTTGGCATCAATAAAGTGAATGCATTGCCTTCCAAGCAGAGAACTCAAGCCATAATCCAAGTACACTGCAAAGTAGGAATACGATATACGAGCAAGACTGCAAGAAGGCTGCAAGATAAACTCTGAAATTCCGAATCTAGTAGCCATGCTTTTCAAAGGTACATTGCTTTTCATCAAGTCCCTTCGTCTGTGAGTACTTCCTGACGGATCCACATAGTAACACTCGCTCTCAGCGCTATTGCTATTCTGGCTGCTGTAGTACTGCCGTTCATCAGCTACTTCGTTGACCGCAAACACCTTCGCAAGTTCCCTGCCCCGCAATTCGCAGGGTTCACATCATTCTGGCGCATCTATCACAACCTCGCGTATCGGCACTTCAAAGCTATCCATGAAGCCCATCAACAATTGGGGACCCATGTCCGGATTGCACCCAATCATATCTCAATCTCAGATCCCCAAGCTCTGACCGACATCTATGGCCACGGTGCCAATTTCATGAAAGACGCTTGGTATGACGGTGGAGCTGGGGAATATCGTCACATGGCAGATGCCAGGGTGAAACTTGAGCACCAAAGGAAGAGAAAGATGCTTGCTCATCTCTTCGCACAAAAGACAATAGCCAATCTGGAGCCAGTTATGGCTGAGACAACAGCTGTGCTTGTCACTCAGATCGATAAACATGCCGCGTGCGGAAAGAAAATCAACATGCGAAGATATCTTAACTACTTCACCATAGACCTCTTTTCAGAACTTCTATATGGTCGCACACTGGGATGTCTCGAGCGCGGCAATGACATCGTGGACGCCGAAACTCCTGAAGGGAAGCTCACCAAAGTTCCATTTATCAAATCCCTGCATGACGCCACCATCATCAACACTATTCTCGGTATGGAGGCACCACTTCTGCCACTTACGAAAAAGATCTTCAGTAGGCACCCATACAAAAAGGCTGGTGCGGACTATGATAACATCATCTACCACAATACAAAGCTCCGTTTCAGAGAAGACGAGGCAGAGGAGTCGGACATTTTCTCTAAAATGATGAAGAGCAGCAAAGGAGAAGACCTTAACTTACCAGCAGGAGAAATTCTTTCCGAGTGCTCCGTTATGATGAATGCTGGGACCGACACCACAACTGCAGCATTAACCAACTCTATCTACCTCATTTACAAGCACCCCGGAGTCCTTGCCAAACTTCGAAAAGAATTAGATGAAGCAACAGGCACAGCGGACGTACCAACGTACGAAGAATTATCCAAACTTCCATATCTACGAGCATGCATCGAAGAAGCTCTCCGTGTGCGGCCATCGAGCTCGATGGGGCTTCCACGAATAGTTCCCAAAGGCGGACGCTGGATTGCTGGGCAGTTCATCGACGAAGACGTTACAGTTTCGGTGCCAACCTATACCGTTCTTCGCGATCCCGACACGTTTGAAAATGCTGAAACTTATTGCCCCGATCGCTGGATAACAGAAGACAAGGAAAAAATTGTAAAGATGCTTAAGGCTCATTTGCCATTCAGCACTGGGCCGAGAGCCTGTATCGGGAGAAACATCTCGTACTTCGAACAGATATTGGTGATCGGAACGTTGGTCAGGTTATTTGACTTCGACTTTGAGAGCGAGGATTTTCAGTTAAAGACCATGGAGCGGTTCAACGGGAATCCTGATGAATTGTTCTTGTCTTGCCGGAGGAGGGCAATTTAGTTCTTGTGATTTAATTTTTGTTTAGTTATTCAAGGCATCCGAGCAGTTTAATTCAAATAACCAAGTTAGAGATCAAACAACCCCCTTTTTCAGTCTTCGTTGTATGCCTAAGGCACTAACTGCGATAACCGCAACCCTTTGCGCTGGAATACGCTAGTCCCTAAACGGCACCGCCCGCTGTTTAAACCTATTTGGGCCGTCGCCACTACTCTTTGCCCCCCTCGCTCTTCCGACGTCCCCGAATCGCAAATCTGTGTCCCAGACCCATCCGACGCTCTCTTATACATCCAAGTTATTACAGGCACATCAATGTTCAAGTTCGTCAACTCCGACTCAGCGGACCCCACCCCGAAGAGGCAGCAGTCGCAAAGGGCATGCGAGCCCTGTCGCAAGCGGAAGAGGAAATGCAATCACTACACAAATGGCCGGCCGCCGCCCTCCAAACCATTTACTAATGCGGCACCACCAACCCGTGAATACTCAAGCACGCAGACCTCACCAGCTTCTATTCATCCCAACAATGCTAGATCTCCTGAGAATGCAGAACCCCAGGTTCAGAAAGACACCGCACCCCATTTAAGCGGTGCCCACGGCTCTTCTACCGCCTTGCCAGTTCAAGAAGAGGCTAGGACGCCGGCAACACGTCTCTCAGTGGACAGAGGAGGAAGTCATCAGCCCACTCATGAAGATTCCAGCCAACAGCCTCCCAAGAGCCTTGGTTCCCGCTTCATTGGAGATCTGAGTCCAGAAGGGATTCTCCTGGCTGCTACCAGCCCCGATACTACTCGAGGGTCCTCCAGTATGTAAACCTATGGAATGAGTTATAGCTACCTTAGAACTAGCTTATACGTTGCTTGTCGTTATCGTTTCGATATGAGATGTATCTGACCAAGAGAACTTGTAGTGAACGACAGTGTTGGGGTATGGCTTACCTCGACCCTGAGTAGGAAAGGCTCTCAAGCCGTGCCTTTCACGATACCAGAACAATCCCAGTATAGTTTATTCCACGGTGCAACACCTTTGTTGCAGAAAGTATTGGTACCTATGTTGGAGCAGGAATGTCTTGCAACAACGCCTCCACCTCCTAGCTTTGATGCTCTATCAAAGATTTACTTTGAGAGAATGCACCCAATATTCCCAGTGGTGAATGAGAACCTCTACCACTCACTCCAAAATACGGATCCTGGCCGGATCTTGTTACAGCAAGCCATATGCTTAGCGGCTTCGAAGAACTTTGTAGCCGGTCCACATCTCTTCCTCGGTGATTCGGAGCATCCCTTGAGCCCCAAAGAATTTGGGGATAAGGTGTCTGGTTCAATGAGACTATCTATAGAAATTGGTCTAGTGAGCAACAAGATTATTCTCATACAAGCACTAGCCTTGATGTCGCAGTATATAGATGCTCCAGATGGCGGAGATCTTTCTTCACAACTCTGTGCCAGAGCAGTGCACCACTCCCAATCTATCGGCTTACATGTTAGAGTTCACAACGACATTGATAGGGATCAATACGGTGTAACCCTGTTGTGTTGTGTTTGGGCTATCGACCGTATGAATGCTGCATTCAATGGACGGCCAGTTCTGATGCACGAGCGTGATATTAGAATCGACCTGCAATCATGCTTTGATCAACAAGAACCATGTTTTCGTCTATTTGTTCAGGTTATACTTCTTCTGGATAAGGTTATTGGCCTCTATCGGCCTTTATCAGTCTCAGACATCCGTGAAATCGACAACTTTTACCCGACATTCGAGGATCTTGTCGTCCAGCACAAAGCATCCCAGATTGGCACACTTTCCCTTGGTAGGTTAATCCTGCACTTTCGCAATAAACTGTTATTGTCCTTCGAATTTCTTCATTCACTAATAATTGTTTTTGCCCCTAGCCACGATCGAGATACTCTATCATGCAGTAATGATTCTCTCCTGCCGATCAAAATCATGGGCGGAACCGCCACGCTCCTCCAACTCTTACCTTCGCCAAAGCTTATCAGCCTTAACTCTTAGCTCAACTATAGGACGCGAACTTCACGATGAAATAGTTCTCTTCCCATTTGTGCCTTATGCAGTATCACTAGCACTAAGCGTTTTCTATCGCGAATTGCGTTACGGCAAAATTCCTTCACACCGCCCTCGTTGTCGCATCCAATTCCAGACAATATGTGACGCTCTTGCCGAATTAAAGATAATATTTCGCTCGGCAGCAATCACCGCTGATATGGGGAGGAAGCTGCTCACAGAGATGGATCGTGTCGTTTCTACGATGGTGGCTTCGGGCACTAAAACCCCTCTAGAGGGGGTTCATCCAGGTAACCAGGAAGTTGATCATTCTCAATCCTTTGCGCCTACCATGATGAATCAAGCTTGTGAGTTCAAAAAGCTCAATCTCGTATTATATCCGTCAACTGATATTTTCCCCAGTACCCGATGCACATGCAATCACAAATGTTCTCTCACAAGGTCACATGCATCAAGTACCGGATACTAATCCTTTTATCTTCGACTCCATCGCAGATGTCGATTTATTTAGCTTATTTGACCCTACGTTCAACCTTGATAGTTTTGATTCATATTTAGGGGGCAGTTTAAATCCCCCTTTTACAACAGATTTCGAATAAATAAAGTAAAAAGGCTGTTAAGAGGAGGATATTATCTGTGACAAGATTCTTAGGCTATTTTCAAATGTTCCTCGAATGCCGGATCCTGATCTACAAGGGGATAAACAGAGTGCTTATTGTACTATCTCCATTGGGACGAAGGTTTGATTTTTCGAGTGGACTCCTACCACATTGTTTGCACCAATGCACCATCCCAATTGGATATAAGTTTGGATTCAGAATGTGGTACCATCGAAGACCATATTTAATTTATCCAGTCCAATGGGGCTTTTCTGCACTTCGCTATGCTCCCCAAAATTGAATGGTAAGAATGCGTCTTTATTTTTCATATCAACCCCGCTCATTCGGTATAAGGGCTAACATACCATATAGGGCATTCTCAGGCCTGATAATACAGCGGAATACAGTGAACGTGACGGTCTCAATTAGTATGAGCATGAATGAGTGAATACCGTGCTGGGGGTCGTTCTGCAAGCGTTTGATGGCTGTATAAGTTAATCATACCAAACTTATGTCTTGGAATTTACCCGAGCTGATCATCCGCTCTGATTAGAGCAGCAGCTGCTCAAGTTCGATAGCGGAAGTGGACACTCATGCAGGCTACCTTCTGTAGTATAATTTTGTGGCAATATTAGACGACAATTTACGACCTTCGTCTCTAACGCGGCTAGAGTCACTATCGCCGCTCCACTGTACTCAGGCGCTACTCACCCTCGAGGAGACCTTGGTGTTTGGAGCTAGAGCTGGATAAGACAGTGCTGGATGATAAGGCTGAAACTGTAATGTTCGAGGTTTAGTGTTATAGCTGAGAGCTAAATAATAGCTGGAAACGATGGTGTATACTGAAGCGTATATACTCCTTGATGCTAGAAACCCGTGAAGTTAAGGCTGAAGCCTTATGAAGCCTGTGCTTCACGCTTAGAGCTTCTCTACAACATAGGCCTAAAGCCCTTAAGCCTTTCTATATTTCCTTAGTTGATGTCGGTTTCCGGCCAGGCACATCTGCCTACTGTCGATACTGCCATCCCGGCATTGTAGAGAAGCTTTAAAGACTTCGAGCCTAGTGGAGAATCTCCAAGGGCTTAAGTGTTAAGTGCAGCGAAGCATAGCTGAAAGTCACGAGCTGCAAATCTATTCAACTTTAGGGTTGGAATGTCTTGTTAATTCTAATCTACATAGCAGCTTGCGCCGGCATACAAGAGAGGAATAGCAGCTTGCGCCGCGATATAAGAAAAGAAAATAGTAGGTTGCGCCACGATGCACGAGAAAACCAGCAGTTTGCGCCGCGATACAGAAAGAGAGAAAAGGTAGTTTGAGCTGCAACATGTAAGGATAAATAGCAGCACCAAGCATTTCCATCCTCGTCTTCGTCCGTTATTCCCATCCTCGTGCTCGTCTTCAGACTCGTCCTCGTCTTTCTTTGCAGCTTCTTGCGTCCGGAAAACAGTTTCGCAAGCCATGACAGCCACTGCCCCCGGATCAGCGTCGCCAGTGTCACCAGTATCGTCCTCTTCAATGTAATTCTCCAGAATGCTATCAATGTCCTGGCCTAGCTCGTCGACAAACCCCCGAAGCATGTTCTTCTTGACATGGCGACCACATGTTCCCCAATATCGTATTGCGTTTGCGACTTCTTGCCGCAAGACGTTCTTCTCATTCTGCTTCTGCCGCCACGCGGTCTGGAGAATAGCGTTCATGAATGTCCACCAGACATAACGAGCGCGGGGGCGAAAATTGGTATGAAACTTGAGTGGCCTTCCGTCGAGATCAGCCAATGTTTTGAAATCTGATCCATCTCGCCATCGGGAAATATGGACAAGCTTATTGTCGAAATCCAGAACGGCCACTCTATACTCTTTCTTGGGGGCTGTCTCCCAGTCGCGTAGACGCTGATTCCGTTCCGCAATATCGGCAGGAGGAAGGTCTTTGTCGTTTGCTTCCAAATCAACATTCGGCACAAATGCGATAAGACCCTGGTCGAGTGCTTTTTCGACCCACTCGTCTAGAAATAGGCCGTTGTTCGGAGAGAAAACGTCGGCATTTGCACCAGGGCCGAAAATGGAATCCATACTTTCGACTTGCCGCCAGGGGTAAAGGCTGGCGGCATGCAGATGATGTGCTAGCTCCCAATGTCCCGTAACTGGATCCCAAAGTGTGCCCTCTGCAGCATCTGGGCAGTACTCTTCTTTCATCCCCTGGACCATATTAGACTGCCCGCTGGTGTCTCGACGACCTACACTGGTCACTTTCCAGTTCTTTCCTGGAGTGTTGGACATATTTCGGCTGCCAAGGTAGCTTTTGGCGAGTGCTGCTTGGGCATGTGGGGATGGCAGGGCGGCCTACAAGCGATGAGCGCCTTGATAGCGGAATGGGTGGTGTCGGTGTCACGGGGGGAGGTTAGGGTTACCCTATAGGGTTCACCTATGTATGACTTACCGACCTCAAGGCACCCGGCTGGCGTCTCACCGGAGGGGATATCAGGATTTAGGACCCATTACCTAGACATAAATCTGATATCGTGTAAATATCTTACTGGAATTGAGATATTTAAGTTGCACGAATATCTGACTGAAATTGAGATATTTACGCTATCCAGATTATATAGAAACAGTATAGAAGCTCGTTATCGAAGCATATATAGGCAATAGCTATAGGCAGGTGCCTGATATTTCTAGCGAAAAAAGCGTTGCACCAAATTCGCCCAAGAATGCGCCATACTCTACAATCATCTCACCCATCAGATTGCGCTCATTCACATCGTTCAAGGAATTATTTTAACCTCCCGGGCGGCGGTGTTAAGGCTAGTGAGGATCATGCCTTCGCTATCGCGCGCGAGGTTTTCGAAGAAACTGGTTGCAAGGTCGGCACCGCCATTGGCGAATGCTTTGCGAAGAGCGAGGAGTGGCGCAACTACCTTCACCAAATTGGTTGAGGACAAGGGGCCTAGCAGAGGCGTCCGAGAGCCTGTGGCACCGCTGGGTTTCTATTGATGAGGCGATTGAGACTATGATAAATATCGAGCCGACTTCGGAGTTAGGGACGTTCGTCAAGGACGGAGATCTATTCTTCGTCAAGCAGTTTGTCGCTCTTTCGTAGTGGAAAAAAAAGAAATGCTACTGCTGTTGCTGTTGCTGCTGCTGTTGCTAGACGAAAGCCTTGAGCATCGTATGGGGTTAACAGCATGTATGTATCAGAGTTGCCGCATTAAAAGCAATCTTATGTAATATATGTCGAGTCCCTCATTCCAGGGTCATCTTGAGGTGTACATTGCTCCACGTACCGTTCGATGCAATGCCGTGCTGATGTTGCCTAGTCTTGCATGAATAATAGCGCATCGGATGACGTATTCTTATTCCCTAGCGCAACCTTGCTACTAAGATGATTGCACCTCGTCTTATATGAATAGTAACTTGTGTGTGAGGAGCGCCAGACGTTGACACCTAAGATTTGTGTTGTCGGTCTTTCGGACTTTTGAAATCATATAGAAGCATTTGTTGACAGTAATTGGGGGAGTAGTATCGTGCGTCGGTATTTAAGTACGACTTTTTGTGGTAAAGAGAATTTGGATATACTCAACTTTCGTCGTTGACAGATTGACAAAGTCGAGTAAGGGGCTCGGTCGTCGTTTTGTGCGACTCAGGTTAACAGGGGGTCCAAAATCGGCTCTCCGATTCGCGAGGGGGCTAGACAAGGATCCCCGAGCATAATCCAGCTGACTCAACAGTGCTCTCAGGGCTCAGGGCTCAGATAGAGTGCAGCGGTCGCTCAGGAGGTCCAAAGACGGAAATCGACTTTGGAGAGAATCAGATTCGTTGCAAATTATATGGGCAATTTAAAATCAGGTAGCTCGGGATTCCGTACCGGATGAACAATTTCTCCATCCAAATGCCACCACCATCATCTACATTTCTACAAGCCTGAGCATCCCTAAATCAAAGCAACAGTTTAACTCCTTTGCTGATAAGTGCTTAAATTTAGAGATTAATTAAGAGAGCGCAATGTGGCATGATGAGGTCATATCCACTCCCGACGGTTGCCTACACAATAGTGAAACGACAACTACTTTGGAAGATTACGTGGACTACTTTGGAAGAGTACGTGGCATGAGAAGTTTCTCTTGGATAGGCCTTGAAATATGAGTGTGCCATTAAGGCAACAGGGACACCTCTCGCTTTGAGGGCGGGCAATAATTTCTTAAGGCTGTGGGCGTCAGTCTGAAGGTTGTTAAGGGCTTTTAGACCACCTTTCCATGATCCTACCCTGAAACCGTATCAAGCTGTTAGCCTGTCCCTATCTCAGGAGCAAGTGTTTCCTTCAAGCAAGTTTTCCGTGTGGCACCACGCATATCCGGGATATCATTTCAATAGAAGTCAGGGGTTCTCGTCCGTTGCTGCAAGGCCGTGCGTGCACTTCCATTGACACGTGCTAAGCTAGGATGCAGATTTTCCCCTGATATTTACATATCTACTTAATCCGGATGTATCGAAGCCCATAAAGCCCTTGAATTTAAGGCCCATTTTGTCATTTCAATTCATCAATTTTGATTTTAGGGTCTTTTGCCCTTCTACAAATCAACGTTGTTTCATCGAAATATGGTTTCGAAGCCTAGCTCGCCAACGTCTATAACTGTCCATCTATTTTTCATGTACCATTTTATATCGTGGGAGGTGCTTCCTTGTCATTGTTTTGGCTTGTAGAAAGAACATCTAAGCAAATGCTCCGACAGTGGCCATACACGCAGCTAGAATGGCATATTAGCTTTGGGGCCTTGTTACTATAACCATAGAATATTGATTGATACGTACCCCCCAGCAAAACAAATATAAAGGCCCAGGTCTTCATCTTCGTGGTCATTAGTAGCTGGGCTTCATCGGACAGGAAATCTTCCGCTAGAAGGTCGACAGTAGCAGCAAAAATCAGAAGTCCAGACGAACTAGGAACAAAGGTTAATTAATACGGGTAGTTGGACTTTAATAGCTTTACTCACATAGCGTTGAATACTCCCACGATGATCAAAGCAAAGGCACTTTGGGGATCATAGGAATTCCTTGCCATTAGACCAATTGCTTGCCCGATTGGAGCCGTTGTTCCAAATGCCACCACCAAAACCCATGGTCGTGCTGCACCTTTCGGGTAAGGCACTGCGGCGATACGGCTTCCAAGCCCGAGGCCTTCGAAGAACTGATGGAAGAGGATAGCGATGAGGAGAATGATGAATCCTTCGGTGGTGATCGAGACGGTCATGCCCACGAAGACACTATGGAAAAGGATACCACCTTCCAGGAGAGTAATATTAAGCGACATCTTCTTGAATGTGGCCTCATCAATTTCCGGCTCTGCTAATGCTGTATGCTCCGGGTCGGGATACTTTGGCTGCGCTGGAGCAGGGGCGATAAAGCGAGGAGCATAGTCTTGGATCATACCCTTAAGTTCTTCTCGCTGGCGAACGTACTGCGCGAAGAAGACTTGGAACCATGGCGGCATCTCCGAAGGGAGGCCAAACATCCTGATATCATTGGAGGTTTCACGTTCGTAATCGCCATCCACTTTGTAGTCCCTACACGGAATTAGTATATTGTATTTCAATGATAGAAGAGATCCGCACCTCGGATATGCGCCACTTTTTTCATCCGGGTATTGATAGTCTCCATATTCCCGCGTGTCCGACCGGTTTCGGTACATAGGTGGATCAGAAGGACCTGGCGGAGCAGATATACCTGGCGGAGCCCCATGTGAAGCAAGGCCCTGGCCTGTAGGACCACCGTGGGAGTGGCCACCAGTCTTAGACTTGAGAATCATTTCGATAACGAATAGGGAAAACAAGGAGGCCATCATTATAACGCCAGGCATCGCCGGATACTGAACGGTCAGAAGATCTGGCAGACATGGATCGTTGAGGGATTGGAAAGCGGTTGGGAGGAGCTTCATAAAATATATCAGCAAAGAATGATTAGTTGTTCAAGGCTATACTGACATGAACGAAGGCAGTGGCAATGAGAACACCTGTCCCAAAATGTTTGCACACGAAGAAGACCTTTGGGGGAATCTTCATCCAGCTGACTCTCTTGGCAACAACCGGAAAGCCAGCTCCTTCAGAACACATCAATACATCTCCATTAAAACTCATATAGGTAGGACTCACCTGCAATGCTGAAAAATAAGACAAGAACTGTTGTGACGTTAGTATATGATACATTACAGAGGTCGCGGTAGCTGCCGCCAAGAGTGCCTTACAAAGAGCGACTACATGGAGAGGCAAGTCGTAATCGTCCGGGTTGGATCCGCCACCTCCACATTTTGGCTTTTCCGTTGCAATCTCTTCCGCCATGATAGAACGAGTGAGCCAGCCCACTTGAGTGAAAATTAAAACGAGTACGAAATAAAGGCGAAGCACAGCTTCGCAAAATGAAAAGAATTGGAGTAGCAGAGGTTTAATGAGCGGCTACTAAGACCATGTTATTACATTATCGAGGCTAGATGATCTCTTAAGCGAAGGCACGAGTTTCAACACCATTCGGTAGGAGAACGTGGCAAAAGCAGTACTGTGACGATGGCTTGTGGCCCGTGACTCCATGAGAACAGTGAGATGACCTATCAGTGAGATCTCTAGCTATTAAACGAAGAGGTTGGGGAAGTGTTTCGCTCGACACAAGCACTGGCCTGACTGGTAACTTTCACAGACATCAATGAAAGTAGGAAAAACATGGGGATATCAATTCCCTTTCACACCCTGAAACTTCAGCGCGCAGCAGGTCGAATAGTGAAAAATTGCCAAGGCCAAGAGTATTCCAAATTGTATTGCTCCGACAGATTTGTGACTGACGAATGGCTTTGTGAGCATGGTTAAGACAACACTGCTACTTGACCTAGGTAGCAGAGTATCGTAATGGGGGTTGGCTTGTGGGTCTCTAGGCAATACTCAAGCTCCCTCAGCTCCATTGGAGCTTGGCACGTTAAGCATATTCATGATGATCGCCAAGTCTATTCTCAGCTTGAGACAGGGAAGGAATCAGCCCAAGACCCAGCAATTCGGCGCCATCTGCAGTCCAAGGTGCCTCATGGCTACCAAGGACCTTAAGCTGACTTCGCTCACACGTGATAATGCTGTTCTTGTGCAATTGGGCCAGCAGTATCTTCTCATGCAATATGAAAAACAACCAGAATGATAATTAAAATTCTGGGCATCTAACCATGTTACCGGCCTTGGCTATCAAACCTAGGTACGCCACGTTAAGGTAGCCGTCCAACTAGATATCCTCGCCTGAAAACATTCCTCCTTTCTACTCAGAGAGCTTAGTTATTCATTCTTAGCAATTGGCTCGAAGAATAGCCCAGCTAACAGGCATACCGGGGGCGTGCGGCTCCTTCCCCTGGAGATCAGAAGATCAATGGAGCTATTGAAAAGTAGACGCCGGCAGACGAGTTCCCGAGTTGGTTGACAAATACTAGACCGGTCGTCAATAACAGGGCATGGTTGCACGTTACGTGCCTGTGTCGCAACTGGGATAAGCTTCATGGCGGGCCTTGCGTGGCTGAGACCCTGAGTCTTTAGCAGTGACCGATTGTTGTTGCGGATGCCGCAACAAAGTTACGGGATACGAGGTTACTTGGTTACTTGGCTACTTGGCTCGAACTCGCTAAGTAGCTGCCGGCGATGGTGGGACGGGTAAGGCTTAGGCGCTAACCTTCCGGTGGCTTGGCGCTTGGCAATTTCAAGCGCACCCCTGATTGTACGTACTCCATTAGCTTATCTCTGGACATCAACGACGATCAAACTTCGGCGTAGCTTTGTTTCAGTGCGCTACTGGATTTACCGTGCATGCCATTGTGCGTAGCACAAGTGCCGCCCAATCAAGAACCAAAGATAATACGTACTGGTCATTCAAGCAGCCCAATGCGTCCTTGGCAGACTTGGCTGCTACGGTAAAATCCTTCTGAAACGGCGTGATACTTCCAAGCTTCTACCAAGCTTCTACTAAGCTTCTCCAAAACTTCTCCCGTATCTACCAGCCTCTCCCAGAACTGCTTTTGGCCTCTCAAGGATCCTCGTTGGTGGTTCCAGAACCTTGAATTGGCATTCTGGTCATCTCTGAAGCGTGCGGTCGTGTGCGCGACCATCGACTCGTTTTCAGGAGCGGCCTCGGACATCTGTTGGAAGGAGTTCAGAGTCGCATCGTGTGACAGGCAAAATTCCTTACTGAAAGGTGGCTGCATATTTCCAGCTCACAAGTGGGGACGACACCGTGTATAAGTACACTCCCAGCGTTTCCCTATATCAGCATCCAGCTAGTGCAACAGTCTCTTCGGCTGGCCCATATTCCGTTGTACATCCGTCCTCTTCCGTTCCGAACCTCCCTCCTTTGATATACCTTCTTTTTTTTTAGCATAACGAAAGGCTTCTCGGCTTCCGCCTCCTAGACCGTGTCGTCATCATCCTGATACCCTGCCACCCAGTATCGCTACCAAAATCAAATCCACGTGATTCTTTTCCAGTTGTAACTTCAGCTAGGATGAGCGACTCAACTTCGGATATCACGCCAGTTCCGACTGTCTCTGGTCCAACTGATGCATCGTCGCACCCAATCAAAACTCCCCCAGAAACCATTCCTGAAGAAATCATCACCACATCATTACCGACGACGCTGGGCGATGTCAAGAATCTAGAGGTCACAGTTTCGGAAGATCCCTACTCCCTCCGGGGTTCTAAGCGGGATGATATCCATATCAATGGCAGGAAACAGGTCGCCCCGAACCTAACCCGGCGAAAGCACAAGAAGATCAAGAAGTATTACAATCGGCAAAATGCGCTTATTGATGCTTACCTTGGGAGCCATGATGAGGAGCAACTTGAGATCGAAGATACCCTGAAATATGGTGGCAAGGTGAAATTTGCTGTCAACGCCAGTTTTGTTTGCAATTTCTTTCTATTTATCATCCAGCTTTATGCGGCGGTATCAACGGGTTCCCTCTCTCTATTTGCCACTGCTGCGGATGCATTTGTACGTCCAGCCTCCCTTTTCCCCTCGCTCGACACCGTAATACCGCAGCTGACAATGGATGATGTACTTACAGATGGATCTTGTTAGCTCATGTGTAATGTTGGTTACATCTCGACTAGCAGCCAAAGCCAATGTTCAGAAATTCCCTGTTGTTCGTATGCTCCGCGTGCTCTCTAGCCATAGGACCCCACGTGAAATCAGAATTAAGTAAACTTTACTAATTCTCTTCTTCTTAGGGCCGCAAACGTGTTGAAACTGTTGGAATCATTCTTTTCTGTGCCTTAATGACGACAGTATCTGCCCAGTTAATTGTAAGTATTCAACCTTCGTAGCCCGCACCTCGTAGCTTACACTGTAAACCCAGATTGAATCAGGGAGGAGCCTTGCAGCTGGTCCTTCGAACGCAGAAGAGTTGCACATCATCCCCATCGCTTTTGTATCAATTGCTAGTACGTTGACCTACTATTCTCCCTCTCCTATTTAATCGAGGGGGTTACTAATTACCGCCAAGTTTTCTCCAAGGGGTGCCTATTCGTCTATTGTTTCATACTCAGACGATACCCAGCGGCTAGGATCTTTATGGTAATCCCTCACCCATCGCCAAATCATGCATAATATCTTCCAAACACTTTCTAACATCTATAATAGATCGATCACCGCAATGATATTGCAGTCAACGTCTTCGGTCTCATAATGTCTATTGTTGGAACGCGATTCGTGAAGACTTGGTACCTTGATCCAACTGGTGCCATTTGCATTGCTTGTCTCATCCTCTACTCCTGGGCTTCAACTGCATTCGAGCACATGTGGTATCTAGTCGGCAAATCTGCTCCGCAAGACTTCTTGAATAAACTAGTCTACGTCTCTGTCACTCATGACCCGAGAATCAAGCAAATCGACACAGCACGTTTCCCCTTTCTCTTATCACCTCATCATCTGTCGGTGTCATTGACCCTTGGCTAACTTTATCCCTCTCAGGCCCGAGCCTATCATGCAGGAGACAAATACTACGTCGAAGTAGACATAATTATGGCTGAGGAAGAACCGCTCAAGGTGACACATGATGTCAGCCAGACGCTGCAGCGCAAACTTGAAGGTAAGTTCTCCCCTCCTGACTAGAACTTCAAGTTCTATCGAATTGGTCAAGCTAACTTCAAATTTAGGTCTCTCAGATGTTGAAAGGGCGTTCGTTCATGTCGACTATGAGGACGCGCATGATGTGGGCACGGAACATAAAGCGCTTTATGAGATCCGCGAACCGAAGGAGCCACTCTCAAAGCGAATAAAACAGAAGTTCACAAAGAATTAATATCGGATACCCCATCAGTTACCAAGTAGCCAGAGCACTTGCATGTAACAAAATATTTAGCAGGAGTAATAGGTGTTAGTATTGGGCTCATTCATGTGGTCGAGCGATGATGTTCCAAGGAACATATGGTTGTATTCAGAGTGTAAACATCTGCAGTACTAATGTATAAATATACCACGTTGTACATGTACTATAGAGTAGCACAGTCGCCAATACATTGAATTATTGAATAGTAGTCCTCGAATTCCCCCATTTAGTGAAAGACCAAAGTTGCCGCAGCCATTCCAAAATTCAAACCATTCCCAATTCTGCGCTTCAGCCTTATGGGTCCTTGTAGCAGCGAATCATGCCACTCTATAGTTTCAAACTTGCCTACGCGTGTACTTAAACTAAGCTATCATAAATATATAACAGTAAACAAGTCAGATACTTTCACGATTCTTGCCCTCTTCTCTTTTCTCCATCTCCCCAATTCAACCTACACCTTTTTCTACTTTCTTCCTTAGATGAACCTTCCCGACTTAACTCTTTGAGCCCCTACTCGGAAGTAGAAATTAGCAAATCCAACATTTATAAAAGCACACTAAACAAATTTGAGAACTCTATATAAAATATGAAATAATGTAAATTTTGTGAATATGGCGTTAGTTTCGTGATTTCTACCTCGTCCGTATAGTCGTAGTAGGTGTTGTAGCGGGTTACTATGGCGCATTACTGGGCGAATTTGGTGCAAAACTCTTTTCGCCAGTATTATGGCCCAACGGCCATTACCTAGATATAACTCCTATATCGAATTTCTTATACGATATTTATATAATGTAGATAGTCGGCGTATAGTGTAGAGTACTATACTCGAATATCTAGCAGATGGAAAAACGAGATTATTCCTAGAACCAGGCCCTTATTATAATATACTATAGCTACAACGTAAAGACCCAGCTCCGCCGACTAACTTAGTGGCGTAGGTATCCAAAGAGGGATAACAGCCAGTCTCTCCTATCGTGGGGCCTTCTCTCCAGGCATGCTCCGTAGCCTAGGCCTATATATCTCACCGAAATTGAGATATTTATACGACTCGAATACCCTAATTTCGGTGAGAGATCTAGGAATATCATTACTTTGCGACAGGCCAAATATTCGAATAATAGACTTATATTTGGGTAATGGCCGTTGGGCCATAATACTAGCGAAAAAGAGTTGGCACCAAATCCGCCTAAAAATGCGCCATAGGTTATAGCTCGGAGCGGGTAGAGAAAAGTTCCGCGGGTTGAAAACTGTCGGCTTTCAAAGTTTCAACCAACGGAACTTTTCTCTACCCCCATCCGAGCTATAACCAGTGTTGTGGCCAAATCCGGGTTACAGCTAAAAACCCGATATTTTCAACTGACGGAGCTTTTCTCTACTCTATCCGAGCTGTGCCCCCGGCCAAATCGCATTTTGGCCGCTTCAATTGCCCAGCCACGCTTGGCTGAGGCGTATTCATGACACTACGGAAACGGTGCTCAGCTGATCAAACAAACCTCATACCTACAACTTTATAAGTACTCTTCATACGCAGCCTCATTTTGGATACCGTCGTTTATTACTTGGAGATACAGGCCATGAGGTTGGGATTCTACGAAGCGGAGGGTGCAATGTGGCTGGCAGAAAATGAAAAGCGTAGGAACTCGATTGCGTGAAAGTCATATTTCTAAAGAATAATAGTGCACCGTTATCTCAAAGCTGACTTGCTCTTGATGCAAGGGCCTAAATATTTCTTGTTCTGGCTATGACGGGTGTCCATCCAAGTTTCATGATGAAACTAGAAACTAGAAATCTTATAACCCTCCGTGTCGCCACACCTTTCTCATCCTCGCTCAGCTCGTCACAATTGACTCGGTCCCTTCAAAATGAATCTGATTTTCAATGGCCACCATGATTTCTACAAACCCCACTAACATCCTAGCCATCTTGATTCTTCATTTACTCATAGCATAGATGGCCAAGGTACAGATATAGGGCATCATCTAGCATGGAACTTTAGTGACTACTTGTACGATGTCCCACGATACTTGGGATCCAATAAGTGCCTTGACGCCGCAGCAGATACATTGGTCACTGGTTATGGTTATTTCTGCAGAGCTAAGTGTACTACCACCGAGGGATGAACTGGAGAGGAAATTGCGAATGACGCTGCGTGGGGCCGTAATATGTTAAGTCTTCGTCATTGTCAAACTCTGGTTGTTCGTCCCAAATTCTCTTTCGGCTATACAAGATTTTTACCCCGATGAATCGTAATATACATTACATGATTGGACCGGCCTCATTTCAAGGTTTCCATTGTGCAGGGGATGATGCCAATGAAAGCTTTATTCATGGCGTAGCCGCTCCTGCACGCCTCTTCCAAAGAACGCACACAATACTTTGTGCGGATTTAGTTTCTCAGAAAGAAACTGAACAATTGTATCTCGAGCTTTCGACTTTGCACCAAGCACCGACAGAGCGACTTTATCACTTATGGGAGCTTCTTGATAGGGCACGTGAATCTTGGGCAGTGGATATACATACCATGGCGATAAAATTCGCTCACGGCTCTTCCGCATGAGATTATGGTCCAGCGCTCTCAACTCAAATAGTGGTAAACTATATACTGGCCGTGCTACAGGGAGAGTTGTATGACTCGGCTGAGAGAGAGAATACAAGGTTATACCACGAGATTTGTGCAATCTGGGCTAGAAAGAAGCCACATACCATCGACCCTTGGGATCTTCGTAGATCTCTATGGCGCTGAGTGTGGCATATATTGGTGCTAGCTCTGTCGAAGATAAACGTGAGTGACGAAGCTACTTGCGGGCCACACGCGTGACTTTATGGGGAAGGCAACAGATGTTCAGCAGTCGATATGGAACCGTTGATGAAATATCTGACCTGTAGCAATCTCACTCTATAGGCGGAAATGTCCAAGATGGTAGAAGAGGAGTACTTCAGTGGGATCCTCAGTAGCTTCGTGGAAGGGTGGAGCTATCTAAGCTTAACCTGACATTTCAGCGTGCGATCACAATAACCTAACCATCTAGGTCCGAATTATCTGTGAATCGATCGCTCTTCATTCTCAAGGATTGCAATGGGGTAGCAATAAGTCCAAGATAATCTTTCTCCATTACATCAAGCTTTATAATATCTCTCCATTTCTGTTTTCTTCTTTTGCCATAGATCTTGCAACTCTTGTGGAACTGGTTGGAGGTCATTTCCTGCTGTCCAAAGCTTTGCATGCACACTTGCTACTCCCCGTTTCACGTCATTCATATTTGGAAGTTGGATGTTCCATCCATAAAAGATCCTGCTCCATGGCATGTTGCCATGTTGTCGGTGCGCATAATTCAGCAAGTTCTGCTCCGGATATGTTGTGTCAAATCGGTCCGCCACCTTGAACAATGAGGTATAGTATCTGAACAGTTCTGCTGACGGGCCGAGAACAAAAAGTCCTGCATTAAAATATGACATTGGTATTGGTGGATATACATGCGTCGTATGCGTGACCTCGGCCGATGTGGCAAAGACGTATTGATCAGGAAGCTGCTCTTCATCAGGGCGGACTTCCGATTTATGTTGAGTCTTTTTTGGCTGTGCTGCTGGGTCTTCGAAAATCCCGTCTAGTGACTTGAGTAAAAATGTATCTGCATCCATGAATGCAACGCGATCATAATCCGTCAACTCAAAAACTCTCAATTTCGCCATCACATCGTGCCACCTTTCGTGTCCCGGGCTAGCCCAACTCGAATCAACTTTTTGTACTTGTACTATTATAGCGCCTTCTCTGGATAGTTGCTCACGTTTCCATGGAAGAACCCCTGGCGTGGTGAGGACAAGAAATGGAATCGAATGCCTAGTGCATGTGCTCTTATCATGCTGCAATTGGTAACTGAGGATTCGAACACTATTGAAGTACACATCGGAATCGGTGGCCGTGGAATTCACATTACTTTCCAGAAGCAGGGTGGCAAACGCTAGTCGAAGACCTTTCGTATGTATCCATTGTTTAGGAGCGAGCAACCAGGGACTTGAAAGAAGGATTGTAATAACGAGGGTTATTAGAACGAGTTTCGCTGGCCGAAGTGGCCCATGCAGAAACAGTGGCATTGGTGTTGGTATGATCGCGCGGAAAACCACGAGCGCCGGTGATACAGAAAATTGAGCAAAACCGCATAATGACAGAGTTGCACGATACTATCCCCGTGTGAGCACGGAAAGCGGGGTCTATCGCCGGGAGTACCTGAGTACGATTTAGTAATACTCTATCATACCTAGTGTGTGACTTATTCTGCAGTGTAACGGTGCCATCGCTGCTACAGTAGTACTACACGAATTTACCCCTGAATATAACCAGATGTTCCTTTGTATCCCACTTGACAAATTCTCTGCGCCTAAAATCATCTCGGATTCCGAGCCATTAGACGCCTATCTTCCGATACACTAATAGCGATGCCTAAATATCCAATAGTATTTATTATTCTATATTTGATTTATGTCATGTTGCCTCCTTCGATTCCTGCCGCTTCCACCTCTATGGATTGTTTATACGATCAGGTCTGATTTAATTCAACCAACGCGGGGCTGTATTACAGCCTTTTATAAATACAACAGTTGAGGTAGCCCTGAAACTCAAGGGTGTGTAGAATATCATTAATAACGCAGAACAAGGGCCAAGCGTAGGAGGAGAGCAAAACTATTTAAAATTTATTTACTTCGAGGACTCCACGAACATTTCCTCCCCGAACTGGTCAATGGATGGCAACAAATGAAAGAGAGATGCACAATTTTGATAATCAATTCCTTCGCATTTTTTAGATTAGTATAAAGAATATATGGAAGAATAGGAAATGGTCGCTGGTTTTGGCGTTGTGAGGACAGGACAAGCATTTCAAACGCAGTATGCTGGGTGCTGGGCACTTGGCGCAGCGCATTGGTTGAGAGCTAGACATCATTACTAGGATTCAACGTATCATACTCCGCATTTCTCGAGCAGTTATGGGGATTCGATTTATAGGTATTTAGAGGAATTAAATGTGGGGTCTTATTTAGTCCATTTGTTGGTGGTTGAGCGATTCCACTGCGTGACATTAGACTGGCGTAGTATCCAAACTTTACTTCTTACTAATTGGGCCTCATTATTATATTCTGTCCCAATAAAAACTATCAATTACTGGTATAATATCGAGATGTTGTTTCATGCTAAGGGCGGCCTTGGAGGTTCAGTGCGACACTTGTTTGTAGTACCGTAATGGCTGAATAAAAACAAAGGTTGTGGACGTTCGAGAGGGGGTAATATATCCATGCAAATGCAATCGATTGATAAATGCCTCCTGTAAATCTCAACTATTAATACCATTAGCAATATGAGATATTTCTCCCCCTAATATACCGCACTTCCCTAAGTCTAACATGTAGACTGATCGCGACCTTCACGATACTTAAGCGGAGGTGCAATGTATATAGAGGTGCTTGCAGCCCATTCGGGCATGATGATATTACTTAAGCTGAACCTCAACTTGCTATTAAATAACTAGCACTCATCTATTAAATTTGATCCAATAGTGCGTAGACGGCCATTGTACGGTAGACGCGTCATATGGCCGGAGATTAGTCGTTACGAATAGGGGGCGCGGTCACGTGTTAGGCCAATCACATGCCTGGCGTTTCTCCTCTGTTCTGTCCTATATAAATCAAAATAAGCGATTTTGGTATTAAGGAAGACAAGGGCGGCCACTTGGCTAAGTGGTTCTGGTCAAATTGTCTTCTGGAGAGGATCGATAGGGCAAAAGCGACAACAATGACAACATCAACAACAAAATCGACAAGAGATGTAGGCATACGACACCGGGCCGAACTCTTTTGCTTCCGGAGTATATAATAATATCTTTGCTTCTTTTTTCCTTGCCTTTGCTTGCGACTGGTTCTAAGGGAGCTCTTTTTTTTGCTTCGCGTATGGTACCTTATTGTGGGGCTGTTGTGAGGTTAGCGAGATAGCCGAAAGTTGAAGTTATTCGCAAAGCTGTATCATGACTGCGCACCCGATTTGCCTGTTTATCTATATGAATCATCAGCGTCTACTGCTATACCTTATAAGGCAAATGATTTCCTTTGTTATTTGCCGTTACATATCGAACAACATTGTTATTCCGAAATGGGGATGCACGTGCTCCAGGCAACGAGACTATCGAATATGGAGTGGTTTCGACTACACGGCTATCGAGGATATTTCCGCGCATCTTCCATTGCGAAATTCAAAGTACCAAAGGTAGTATTTCTTTAGTGCTTTATGCAGACACTTTAACTTGGGCTTCGCGATTAGTTGGTAAAGGATTTACCAACCTGTCAAGATACTTCTTGTTTCATAGAAACTCGATACAGAGAAAAGAATAACGAAAACATGACTCGTCTTGCCGAATGAACGGCTTCAAAGGTTGCGTTGCAGCTACTACCTGACACCGAATGAACCGGGACTTGAAAGGCTTCCATAAGTTTAAAGCGTGAAGGAGGATAAAAATAATTAGTGCCGATGAATGGAAGTATCTATTGTAACCATCATCGGTATGTACAATGCCGATTACTACCAGCAATACCAATTCGAGCAGTGGACCCAGCGAGCGTGCCATTCCCACGTATAGTGCGGGACCCCCCATGCGCCAAAATATCAATGCAAGCCGCTCAAGATAAACCATGCATTTCATTTCCCGCTCCTGATTAATAATGTTGCAAGTGCTTTGTGTAACGATCAAGTATTGTTGTTCCGTGGGGGAGGCACATCTCCATCTTGTATCCCAACGTTAGTATCACATTTTTCGGACTCAACAAGGACATATTCGGGTTCGGATCCATATTCACCTTCGCTAGTACCTGGCGTCGGCGGCAATGCTCCTGGCACCGGTGGGCCTGTGTATGATTCCTGCTTTCGATGTGAGGCTGGTCTTCCTTCGCCAGGTTGTTCCGTATGTTGCCCATCTGTGGCCTCACTGCCGAATTCAGTAGCAAGTGGACTGGTTTCGTGTTCTCCCTTTGGTGAGCTGGACGCAAAGGTGTCGCCAAGTGGGGTACGAACGCGAGGGCTGGATCGACCTGACGGTTTGGTTTTGGGGGAGGAGCCAGCGCCAGCGCCAGCGCCGAGAGCTTGTCGAGCCTTTAACCGCTCCTCTGTGGCCTTTAAACGTGCTTCGAGGGCTTCGAGTTCAGATGCTTGAGATGAGACCGCTTTCTTTCTATGTGGCAGCAATGTTGTTAGATTGAGGTAGTTAAGGGAGAAGAAATGAGGGGAGGACTAGTGGAGGGAACTGACTTCTCTGATACAACCGCGTCGAGGTCTGCTACGCTGTTATCGATCATAAAGAGATCGTTGAGGGCAAGGGAGAAAGACCGGGCCATGGTCCTGGTGAGAAGAGGTCAGCCAAATTGTACTGTTATGTTCTGGGTCCAGCCCCGGATACTGCAAGTTGAGTTGGCACATACGACTGTGGTCTGTTACTCGGCTTCCACTCGCGATCAAGCTCGTCGTCGGACATGGTGGCGCGGCGCGAGGATATGGATGAGGATGCGGAAGAATATATATTAGGATGGGGTCGGGGAAGGACGATGTCGCTGCCAATAGTAGGAGGGGAGGAAGGTATGGATGGGGCTGAAGCTGGGGATTTCTTTTCTCTTTATCCTCTCCGCAAATGCAAGAGATGCAGACACAGACGAAACTTGGGGTTTGGTTTCTGTCTTGGTCAAGGTAATTTGCTTGCGGAAAAGGGGCTTGAGGCTAGCTAGCTTGATCGGCGACGGAGAGATTGATGAATTGGCACGCAGGTACGGAGTACATTCGGTTTCAGCGGTGGGGTATATCTGTCGAAGGGCAGTGGATAGGGACGAGTATATATATACTTCACACTGCGACAAACATGAGGATATTATCACGGGTGCAGCATCATGGGATGCGGTGGAGTTGAAGCATGAATCTGCAATCTGATACTCCGTCAGGGCTCACGGGCGCACCCGGGGCGCCGCTTTTATTAAAGTACGGAGGTACAGTGGGGTGGGACCACACCACCTGACCTTCACCTTGTCATGCTGTCGCCCTGCACGTGACCACAAGACATTATTCCCCAGTATTATTCTTATTCTTATAATTATTATTAAAAGGAGGATTATAGTAGTAAACGGTAGATAGCAAGTTTGCATTAGGAAACCGCGTCAAGACACCTGCACAGACTTGCCGCCGCTTTCAGGGGGCATAATAGTCGTCTCCTTCCCACGGCTCGCTTATTTGCTTTTCTTCCCTTCATTTCATTCCTCGAGCACTGCAAACAGCAATTTCTTACAAGAATGCTATTTGTTTTCAGCATGCTCCATCTTGGAATTACACGGCCACAGCACAGCGGATTGGAATACCGTGACGTAGGGGATAGCCAACGTCGTGACGTCCTCGTTTGTCATAAGCGGCGCCTTTTATCAGCAAAGAGGTTCGTGATTAGGAGCACATGATCGCGCTGATATCCGTCTACGCTCAACGTACGTCGAAGTGATGTCAGCTATTGTCATTTCATGCTAATATGTTATAGAACAAATATAGTTGGGGGACATCCTATGGAGCGGGCTCTAAATGAAAAGTTCAAAACCTAATAAAATGCAACTCAGTACGCAGAAACATGAGATTATCGATGAGGAAGTGTCAATCAATTGCGAGAATTGAATCGTAAATAGCACTAGGGCGCTCATCGATCACGCCGGTGTTTGTAGTATCGCCTGACGCTCATATTCGGATCCTATCCCTTGGTGAAATAGCTCGCTGATACAGCTTGGGCCGCTCATCAGCCGACACTGCCGAATATTGCGGTATATCGCGCTATCAGATATTCTGCTAAACTGTGAAAATTGGGAGTCTTTTTGTGAAACCATGAGAATGGTATTAGCAGGTGGCCATCTCGGACCTGGACGCCTGTGCCTGCCACTCTCGCTCTGCTTCGTCATAATAGAACGTGCAAGCGCCATTTTAGAGCCCCAATCTATAATATTCGCGCGCATCTCAACATCTACCACATACTCTACTCCCTCGCCTCCGGATTCAACACCCAAAAGTCCGCCTCATACCCCTTCCGTGGGCTAACATCCAACCACAAATCAGTACTCGGCAAATCCACCGCCGCAGCAATCGTATGCCCATGCGCACCGGGGAACTTCCACTCGCCTCTATTATGGACAGGAGTGCAATCGTTTCCCATAATAAAAAGCGCCAATCCGCCCAACATCTGGCTCATCGCTTGATGCCTGCCAGCACACAGACTGGCACCACCACCGAATGGCCGGAATGCACCACGCGCGGCTTTGGCCTCCGCAGATCGCGGGTCGGCGAGGAAGCGTTTGGGGTTGAACTCATTGACTGTGGGACCCCAGTATTCGGGGTTGGAATGGATGACGTTGTTGGGTAGTTCCATAATAGTGCCTTTTTTGAGGAGGTATTGGTCCTTGAGGGTGGTGGTTTCCGTCACGAAACGTGAAGAGATACCGCATGTGCGGTGGCGGAACGTCTCGTTGATAGTAGCTGTGAGGAGCGGTGCGCTGTTCTTCAAGTCGACGTTCTTGATTGTCCATATGCGGCTGCCATCAGCCTTCTTCGCCAGTGTAGCGATCTTGCTGATCTCCTCGCGCAGAGAGGCGAGTAGGTCGGCGTCGCGGTAAACATAATATGTGGCCCAGAAGATTGTTGGGACGGTGTTGGTCAGGATGCCGATAATCATAGTGACTTCGAGCTTGCCAATATCAAGATCAGAGCAGCCGCGCTCGGCGGCATGTCGATGACGGATCTTGACAAGCTCAGATCCCTTCAAGTGTCCGCTATTCTCGAAGTATTTGGCGAAGCCTGCCCAGGCATTTGCTCGACCACTATCACCGGTTGGGCAGGTCAGGCTAGCTTTCGGAGTGATGAGGAGGTCGGAGATGTTATCATCAAACGCCCTGCATTAACTTTGTTAGTTACCGCGAACCCTACACGGTTACACATAATCGGGTCCACCAAGTGAAAGGTTTACACGCAAAACACAAAAATGCTAAACGCCAAAAACAAAGAAGAGAAAAAAATAGCTTTGTCAAAATGAACAGCCCAATATAAGGGTCGAACTTGCGGCTTATGATTTCGCAACTTTGAGATGAAAAGCACGCTCTACCAATTGGGCTAATCAGGCTTTGATATGCAGCGGAAGCACACTTTTGTTCTCGTCTTTTCCTTTCCAAGGCAGTGAATATGTGAATAGAGGCACTTACCAGAAACCAGCCTCAACCTTCGGATCCTTGAACGGATTCTCCGGCCCATAAATCCCATTCGTCGAGCTCATTCCAAACACATGACGGAACCAATACAGCAGGTTCATCCGCGTCGTTTCTCCATGCAGCTCCGCCATACTGTCATTCAAGTTATACGCCACCTGCGTCGTAACAGCCTCCAGCTTTGGTCCCGGCGCTAGCGTAGCATGAATGTCGACCATCACGGCGTTCATGTACCCGTCCATCTTGTCCGGACCCATGGTTCTATCCAGCACAGTTTTGGAACCGGCTTTGGAGAGGCCCGAGAGCTTGTCAATGACTAGCGCAGCGATGGGCGCGAATGCGATGGCTTTGGGTTGTTTGTCCACGTGCGAGAGAAGTTCGGGGGTGGTTACAATGGCGATACGGCCGCCGGGGACGGGGAGGAGGTAGATCGGAAGACCGCATTTCTTACTATGTAGGCAACTCAGTCAGGGCTCTTTCCTCCAAGCTTTATCCCCAATTTCAGGGGAGAGGAAAGGAATGAGGATTGGAAGTACTCACGCGATTCCAACGAAATGCCTCGACCCAAACCGATAGACATTAATCGCATGTCCAATGAGTGGAATTCTCGGTTTGATCAACTTTGGCTCCCTCTCATCCTGGGTATATACAAAGAGCAGCCTGTATAAAGCGAGCAGCACAACAATCGTAATCGATACTATAGCGCGATGCTCATGCAGTGTATCCCAGAGCTTCGTGCGGTCGAGGCTAAGCTCAAAGTTGTCGAGGCCCAGAGTGAAGGAATTCATGTTTACCAAGCCAACTTTTCTTGAAAGCTACAAACAAAAATGTCTTCGCAATCAGCTGTTTCATTAATATCAAGATACTAAATGGATAGAGCTTTATTTCCCCCCAACTAGCTAAAAGTGAGTAAGGTACAGACGGATGTATGTACTAGCGCGGCCCGACCCGAAGGGGAAAGTCCACCATTTGCAGCCCGCCAATCACACGCAGCTCGGCCCCATTGGGACACTGCCCGTTTGGGAAACCGAATCGGATGCGTAAGATTACTGTATAGTGACCGTTGTTCGGGGACGAGGAAGAATGGGAGTAAAGTAGGTTTGGAGAAGGAGAAATAGAATTAGCGCTGAGGAAATCTTTTGGTTCTTCCTGAAGTCGTTTGATCTAGTCGCTTGTGCCTGAAGAGCTATGGGTGAGGCAAACATGGAGTCCTATTATTCGGTGTCGACGTTGGCATTGTCTACTTGTATTGTTGTAAGTACTTCGTATTGCACTGCGTCATTTATATTTATATTGAGAATAAAGATTTCTAACTCGCGATTGCAATAGGTATTCTCTATTTTGCTGGTCGGGGCAATCCGCAGAGTCTACTTCCACCCACTTTCGCAGTTCCCTGGGCCTATACTCGCGGCAGTCTCAAATGTCCGTAACGCTCCAAAGAATGCGACTCGCTCAAAATCTCTCAATCACTTCATGCGATATGGATCACTGGAACACAATGAAAGAGAGAGCTGACAAGTCCATCCTCAGTTTCCATACTCCCGCTCCTACCTCTCCGGCCGCCAACCCTGGAACCTCCTCCGCCTGCACCAACGCTACGGACCTATAGTCCGCGTATCTCCCACCGAAGTCTCATTTTCCTCTTGCCAATCATGGACGGATATTTACTCCCCGCGTAAGGGCTCTGAATTCATCAAATCCCCCTTCTACGATGGCGGTAACTTCGCCGACCAGGCGCACTCGATTGTATCGGAGCGCGACCCAGAGAAACACGCGCAAATGAGGAAGTTTTTAAGTCGCGCATTTAGTGAGGGTAGTTTGAGGGAGCAGGAGGGTATTATTGGAGGGGTGATTGGGAGGTGGGCGGAACGGGTTGGGGAGGTAAGCAAGGAGGAAGGAGGTGTAGATTTAACTAGGTGGTTTAATTTGATGACTTTTGATATTATTGGGTTGCTAGCTTTTGGGCAGGATTTTGAGGGCGTGGAGAGTGGTATGTATATCTTTCACTACTTTACCTTAGTTGGTTCGTTATGAAGCAGCAAGTTCTTGCTTTTACTAACACCGGTACCAAGGCAAAACACACTTCTGGATTTCCGACGTACTAGGCAGCATGTCACAAGCCAGTCTATCCGATACATTGGGGCGCTTCCCATGGGCCGGAAAGATATACATGCTCCTCAGGCCGGGCTGGTTAAAGAGCCTGATGGTGGCCGCAGAAAGGCATCAGAGCTACACTATCAAAGTCACGAAACAGTACATCTCCACCCTCCGTGCATGTGCATACTAATTCCTACTCACCCACTTATTTGCAGACGCATCAACGAAAAGACAGACCGCAAAGACTTCATGTCCTACCTCCTTCGCGACCGCCTCCACGCAGATGGCACACACGTCTCAGACATCCAACTCGCAGCCCACGCCTCAGATTTCGTCATCGCCGGCTCCGAAACAACCGCTACTACCCTCGCCGTCTGTATTCACTACCTCCTTGCCAAACCATCCGCTCTTCAAACTCTTACCGACGAAATCCTAGACAAATTTGACAAGGAGGAAGATATTTGTGCAGCAAGCACCGGGGGTCTCAAATACTTACATGCAGTCTGTCTCGAGGCTCTAAGGATTTTCGCCCCCCTCCCCCTTGGCCTACCCCGCGTCGTACCCCAAGGCGGGGCTATCATCGACGGCTACCCCATCCCCGAAGGATTTATCGTTAGCACAAACCCCTACGCCGCATCCCTATCCCCGACAAACTTCACCAACCCTCAAGACTTCATCCCTGAGCGGTGGTTAGGCAAGAATGAAAAAGATGTGTTGGATGCGACGCGGCCGTTTAGCCTTGGGAGCAGGAGCTGCTTAGGACGCAGTCTGGCGTGGTTGGAGATGAATGTTGCGCTGAGTAGGTTGATTTGGAGGTATAGCATTGAGAGAGTTGGCAGGGAGGTCGACTGGGAGGGGGACAGTAGGATGCAATTGCTGTGGAAGAAGCCGGAGTTAAGAGTTAGGTTGACGCCGAGAGTTAGGGGGGAGAAGGCTTGATGGTGTGGGTGAGAGAAAGTAGAGGAGAGATCAAGTTGAAGTTGGTGGGTTAGGTACTTAGATTGAAAAGCTAAGTTTAAGATGTACAGGAATATTTTTTTAATTGACTAGAGATTTTCTGGAGTGGGTTAAAGATAACGCTAGTAGAAGGGTGTGGTTGTGTGAATAATTTGAACATGAAAAAAATGATAAGCTAATGCTGTAAAAAGCACAGCTTCTTATATTTTACAGCCTCGGGTAACGGGGCTATTAAATAGCAGTTAGAGTTACCAAACGTGGTAGCTAGCGGTGTTCGGAAGCATTGCGTAGATCTTTTACATTTTTCAGAGACATTTGTATAGGCAGATAAGCAGATCATATATTCCTAATGTTCGTTACTTTGTATACCCAAAACCACCTCTAAAGCGTACTAATTAAATGTAAGGCTGAAATATAACTCTCAAGATAGGACTCTACAATCCATCTAAATGCTCTACTGTAAATGTTTTAATCACGGTGCTAGGACGCCTTGCTAAGGTGTACTACTAGAGATCTATGCGTTACGTATCTTGCTTAGTGTGAGCCGTTGACGCCATTCGTAGCCGTCTTCTTGACGGCATATGTTCGTCTGAATTTGTCGTCAACATGCTCCAGATAGTACACCCCCTCGCTGATGGTAGCCAAGTCGCCGCTCGGCGTGTAGTTCTTCTGACCGTATGCTGCTTCGCGCAATTTGCAGGCCTGTTTGAGGAGGGTTAGTCAATTGCCTGCGAGGGACCGCAATGAGGAATAACATGAAGATCAGAAAACATTGTGGCATAAGAGAGAAAACCATACCTCTTCGTATTCCTGCGGGTTGGCGACATGTCTTGCCTCCATTCTCTTGACGATATTAATCTTCTCAATAATTCCGCTCACATCGCCCACTACCTGCAGCGTGAATAGAGTACTAGCAAGCCCGCTACCGTAGCTAAACATGCCAATCGTCTTGTTCTGTAGCTTGTCGGACCCAACGTGCGACAGAACGCTGATCAATGAGTAGTACAAACTGGCAGTGTACATATTTCCACAGCGGCTGGGTTCCTCAATGCATGCCGCGATGCGTGATGTGAAACGTTCCTTGCTGGCGCCAAGAAACGCTTTCTCGAGATCCTTGGACTTTAGTGACTCTTCGTAAGGCAGGTTTTGGAGTGATTCGGGGACGCTGCTGAAGGCTGCGTCAGACTTGTTGTTCAGGAAATCGTTGTAGAGCAGTCGGCCGTAGGATTTGCTGACGAGTTTGCAGTTGGGCGTATGGAAAGCCATGAAGTCGAAGATGTCGATCAGGCTTTGACGTTCCCGCTTCAAGACCGCGACGGCATCTGGGTTGCGCTCCTTAAACTTGGCGTCTGTGGCGACGCGATCTGCGTTGTCGCGCAGTTGCTTGTAGCAGCCATCAAGAGCTGAGAGATAGCATGAAACGGAAAGGTGGCCGTCGACCAATGGGTATTCGGACTTCATGTCGGGCTTGTAGAAGTCGTATGCATGGGTCATGTATGTCCCGCGAAGGGCAGGGACAGCAACAATCGGGGAATCAGGGCCGACGAGCATCGCAACACAACCAGCACCACCAGTAGGTCTAGCAGCAGCATCCTTGTAGATGGCAATATCGGAAGCAACAACAATGGCGTCGCGGCCATCCCACGAGCGAGATTCGACCCAATTGAAGGCATTGAGCAGAGCGTTAGTACCGCCATAGCAGGCGTTAACTGTGTCGGCACCTTCTAAGGCGTGGTTGTCACCGAACAGTTGTGTAAGAACGGACTTGACTGATTTGGCCTTGTCAATGGGTGATTCTGTTCCAACCTCGAGACGGCCGATAGACTGCGGGTCTATTGAGTACTTGCGGAGGAGCGATGAGACAGCGGTCAAGGCGAGAGAGCAGACATCTGCCAGACGTTAGGATGGGTTCTTTGAATTGAATCTGTATCCGTAGATTCTGGTCACGTAACTTGCCTTCCCGGTCGTTGCAGAAGTTCATGGACTTCAAACCAAGGCCAATGGTGTATTTACCAGCAGATACGCCCTGGTGAGCTTCAAACTGGGACTGATCCAAGGTCTACGCGGGGTTAGAGAAGCTTTGAATCTCGAAAAAGGACGCGTAATGTATAATGTATACCTGGCTGGGAACGTAGATCTCAAGGGCCTTGATGCCCACGTTTTTGGGATATGCCATTGTTTGCTGCGGGTAAAGAAGCTGCAAAAATAAAACTGTGGGAACCTGACAAGAAAATATTGATCACTTACAAGTTACACCCGCGTTGTCTCGGAGACGGAGAGGTGCACTACAGAGGTACGAAGAACATGTACGTATACAGATCACGGTCGAGGCCGTATGGGGACAATCCGCGTTGGTGTTGGGTGGCGCAGCGATTGCGTCGCAGACTCCTTGTTGCAGCCCCCGGCATAAACATGCAGTTTATGCCGGCTTATGTCAGCTATCCGACTTATTAGGACAAACGCCCTACTTCGTACCTTAAGTTCCCTGTTGGCCGACTTCCCTCCTTTGGGAATCACCCCGTATACTCCAACTCCATTGCATCTCGGACTTTGCGGTCATGCTCTGTAGTAAGATGCCTAGGTATGTTCCTAGTATATCTATACCGCTGGAGAAGTAGACGGATGGCGGGCGCCGCTATCACAACCGTCGCACCAGCGATGCCATGGCTGTTTTGAACGGCAACACCGCTACGATGCCTTCCACTTGGGTCCCTGCTGCACATCCTTCAGTTGATTCTATTAGCGATCAAGTCGATGGCTGGTTTCTCCAGCATTGGCCGTTCCTAGGCCTAAAAGCGAGGAAGAAGTTTGTGGCCGCAGGTTTCTCTCGCGTCACGTGCCTTTACTTCCCTCTTGCACGAGACGATCGCATTGCATTTGCTTGCAAGCTTCTCACTATTTTGTTCCTGATCGATGGTGAGTTGAGAAGCACCGTGTTATATCATGATCGTGGCTAATGGCCGTCCTGTAGATATTCTCGAGGACATGTCCTTCGATGACGGCAAAGCATACAACGAGAGGTTAATGCCGATCGCTAGGGGTGATGTAAAGCCAGACCGTAAGTTCCCAGTCCGGGTTTCACCCTCTCAAAGTCCAAGTCCAATGTCTGACCTTCCCAGCCTCCATCCCCGTAGAATGGATGTTCGACGACATCTGGGCCGGCATGCGCGCCCAGGACATTGCCCTCGCCAACAACGTCCTCGAGCCCTGCTTCGTCTTCATGCGCGCCCAAACTGATAAATCCCGCAAATCCATCAATGAGTTCGGCGACTACATGAACTACCGCGAGCGAGATGTGGGCAGCGCCCTCCTCTACTCCCTCATGCGATTCGCTATGGGTCTGCACCTCGAGCCCGAGAAGCTCGCGCCCGAGGAGCTCCAGACAATGAAGCAAGTCGAACAAAACTGCGCCAAGCACCTCGCCATCGTTAACGACATCTACAGCTGGGAGAAAGAACTTGCCCAAAGCGAAAAGTCGGTTCAGGAGGGCTCAGTGCTGTGCTCTGCCGTCAAGGTGATGGCGGACAATGCCGGCCTGAGCGTGGATGCTGCGAAGCGAGTGTTGTGGAGTATGGTGCGCGAGTGGGAGAACAAGCATGAGATGCTGTGTGCGAAATCGTATGTGCAGGATCCCGATGACCCAAAGAGCTTGTATCTGCAGGGGCTGAAGTATCAAATGTGCGGCAATGAGCTGTGGAGTCGGACGACCCCGAGGTACTTGGTGGTGGATTAGATGGTGGTCGACTGAGACTCTTCCAATAGCGGAATGAAATTCTAGTGATGGATAGTCTTTTTTGATTATTCGGGGGCGTTAAACGGGGTGACAGCAATGCCAATAGAGGTGTATTTTTGGGACCGATTAGACCAGCCTTGCAAAACACAACATCGTATTTACGTGCCATGAGTCCTAGATTTCCACAGACATTCAGGTTCCATCGAAACCTCCCCATGAGGTATTTTCCAGATTCGACAAGTTCCGAGAACCTATTCCTGGCTTACATATAAGCACCCCTCGCCTCCTTCGTTACCTCCTTAAGCTTCACCCTGAGACTTGCCCAACACATACCCCTTCCCTCCCTTCAATAATTCCTCAATATGGCCTCACCAAACCTTCACCCGCTCGGCTGTCTCGACGATATAATGCCAGACATCGATGTTCCCCTCGTTCTCTCCTTCCGCTGCCCTTCAGCCCACCATCCGGCGACCGAAGCCACGCTCTCCCACTCTTTTACCTCTCTCATCCACGCAAATTACTGGCTGAGTGGTTATATCCACAGCAACCTGAAAGAGTTAGAGGGGAAATATAGACCGGGAACGAAGTTCCTCAGTATCCAGTCACAAGACTGGGATAGCGTGAGCGGTGTAAGTGAAGGTACTAAAGAGAATACATCGCAAATAGAGTTTCAGGACCTCTCTCAGCACGTTCTATATTCTTCCACCTCTTATCCCGAGCTTGTGGCCCAGGACATGCCCTCACGGTATCTCAGTGCTGAGTTGCTGGTGCCGGATCGTAGCACCCCGGATCTGAACGTGAAGTCTGCGCTTAGAGCTAGAGTCACTTTCATCCGTGACGGCATATTTGTTGTTCTGTCGACCTCCCACGCCCTTATGGACGCTACCTCTCTCTCCGCGGTCTTTGGTGCCTGGGCTGCTATTGCTCGTGGAGAGCCTTCGCCTCCATTATCTCATGGGCCGATCCTGAGCGCCGAGCTAGGACTTCAAGACCGCCACGAAAAAGGAGCATTGCAAAACGGAACACTGGAGCAAAATAGTAGCCTAGATCCCTCGGTACTATACGCAGATCTCAAGACGCAGAAGAAGCTATGGTGGATGCTCGGCCTCGACTACCGACCCAAAGCGCACAGCAGCGCCATAATCGCACAAAACATTCCGGCCAAAGAAACGCTCACCAAGATATTCAAGATCAATGGAGATACTCTGACGCGGTTAAAGAAGTACTGCTCTCAAACAGAGACTGCAACTTTAAACGAGACCGTTGGCGACAGCGACGAGAGTAAAGAGGTGGATACTATTGACAAGGCCAATGGAGCATGGATATCCACCAACGATGCGCTCTCCGCGCTACTATGGCGTTGTATGGTGCGCTCGAGGATACGGACGGCCCCTGAATTGAGCAGTCGGACGAGCAGTCTGATGTCCGCGATGAACATGCGGTCCTCTCCGGCTTTGACCCCATCTACACTCTCTTACTCTCCCCGCCTGGCAAATATAGTTCTCTACATCATAAACACCTCCCCAATTCCCAACCTAGTATCTTCACCCCCCAATCCCAATGCCCACCCCTCAACCACCTCAGCCCTCGCATCCACGGCCCTCAATATCCGCTCTGCAACCCATGCTTACACCGCTCCGGAGCTCGTAGCACAAGCACTACAACTAGCAGCGACGGTCCCGGATGTGAGCCGGTTGGGACTTGTATACCCGACGTGGTTAGAACACGACGTTGTCATATCCTCGCTATTGCGGCTCCCTTTGTACTCTACAAGCTGGGGAAACACTTTCGGCAAACCAGAGAGTGGCGAATTGCGTTCAGAAGTACCGGATTTCGTGCGCTGGCCCGGAAAAGTGTTTGAGGGGATTACGTTTGTGATGCCGAGACGGAGGGATGGGGGTGTGGAGGTGGTGGTTACGATGGGGGTGGAGGATATGGAGGTTTTGAAGGGGGATGCGGAGTGGAGACGGTATGTTGAGGGATGAGCGAGATGGGAGAGAAGAAAGAGGTGGGATAGGGGTAGGCATAGGGGTAGGATATTAGCGGACGGCTGTGGATGATGATGGGATGGAACAGTGGTGCGACGGACGGATGATTAAGAAGATACGAACTTAGCATATGCAATCGTGATAAAACAAAAATGGCTAGCAGATGTGTGTTTCGAATAGATCTTGTTATTAGGTAGAAGCAGTATTAAGGTATGCTTATGATATATCATTGATATTACTGTAGCCATAGAATCGGCCACTTCGTCTCAAGCGCTGCTCTCCTGACTCTTCTCATCTGCGCTCACCACCCTAGGACTCTGACCCTCCTCAACAACAATAGGTTCAGTCTTCGCCCAGTCCGCCGGTGCCTTCATACTACGTACTTTTGATCCAAAGCTACTCAAAAACGCCGCCCCTGCACACGCAATTCCCAAAACCCACGCCGCTCTCAGCCCCACCATATACGCATCCAATACATCCGCGAGCTGAGCACCAGCGAAGTGAGCGCGGAGGTCATCGGCACCGATCGCGATGACTTGACCAACGTCGTAGGCTGAGGGAAGGGAGCGGAGGTGTGAAATAAGCTGATTCGAAAAGATCGACTGGACAGCTGAAATAAAAATCGTCCCCCCAAGCGTCTGGAAGAACAGAAGGATTGCTGTGATGGTCGCCGTATCCTCGGGCTTCGCAAATGCCTGCCCCACCATAACCGGTACTTGCAGACACAGACCTGCGCCGATTCCGAAGATGAGCTGGTAGCAGACGTCTTTGGCGGTGTTGAGATTGTGAGATAAGGTGTAGAGGAGGCCGGCGGCGATGGCGCAGAGGGCGGAGCCTAGCCAGAGGAAGACATGGAAGTAGCCGAAGATTGTGAGGATTACACCTGCAACAATGCCAAATACAGCTGTATTATGGGTAAGGGGTTAGTAGATTGATAGTGAGGATGGCGAGGATAGGGGTAGGGCTTACATGAACCGATGATGAGCGAGAGATTGCGAACGGCGCTTCCGGCGGCAGAAAAGTTGCCGATGGCTTGAAAGTAGATGGGGAGGTAGTATACGAAGTTGAAGTAGGAACCAGCGAGGCTGCAGACATGTTAGCTTTCTCAGAATTAATGCCGGATAGGGGGGCCTTACAAGAAGTTAAAGAGGGACAAAGCGATCGTCTCTCGCCTCAAAAGCAACCGCGGTACCATCATAGCCTTTTCACCCAGCCACCATTGCGTACCAACGAAGACGAAGAGTATAACGACGAAGCCGACGAAGCAGCCAATGACCTCTGGGGAGTCCCAAGCTTTTGTAATGCCGCCCCATTGCAAAGCCAGAAGGAAGCAGACTAATGAGCAGGTGACAAGTAGTACACCCAAGGGGTCCATCTGGAGGATCTTTTCTTTTAGAGACGCCGGTTTTGGCGTGGCAGCAGCAGGGGTCTGGAAGAAGAGGAGCAGGACGAGGAGAGCGACGCCGCCGACAGGAAGGTTGATATAGAAGCTATAGAAAGAGAACTCCAGTCAGCTGTTACTATTATTTCACACCATTTAGTCCCAAACTTACCACCAGCGCCATGTCACATTAGTCGTGAATGCGCCGCCGATGAGCGGGCCAACGACGCTCGCCAAGCCATATGTTGCTCCAAGAACGCCGGTAAAGGCTGGTCGTTTGTCAGGGCGAGCAATAAAGGCGATGATGATGTAGCAGCCATTAGTGACACCAGCGCCCCCAGCACCAGTAATAGCTCTTCCAACGATAAGTGTGGTGCTGTTCTGAGCGACGGCTGTGTTCAATAATTAGTATGCTTCTTCATCCTGGGAATATTGAACTAGAGCATACCGCAAATCAAGCTACCAACCTCGAAGATGGAGATCGCTGTGATGATGGCCCACTTGAGGGGGAAGTATGTATACACCTTTCCCCATAGCTGCGCAAAGCTAGAGATAGTAAGGAAGAAGGCCGAGCCATACCATCCAATATCCTCCAGACTGCTGAAGTCCTGTGTAATGCGTGGAATGGCCGTAGCAACAATGGTCTACAAACACGTAAAGTAATAGCAGGGGTCTTCTTGGCAACAATGGGAATTGGCGGTGGGGGGGAATGCGACTGACCATATCCAAAGCGACCAAGAAGATGCTAACCATGAGGGCCAGCACCAGAACGGCCAACTTCGTGCCCGACGGGTAGGCATCGCTCGGCCCGGGGGGTGGAGAGGCTACCACGGCCAGGTCCTCTACTGGAGGGACTTTCTCGGCTGTAGACGTCATGGTGTTGAATCTACTTTGTGTTGCGGCGAACGCTGATGAAGGCTCGAGCGGCTCGTCGCTAGAGCACGGGAGAGGACAGGAAGGAAAAGGCTTTCAATCAAAAATTTGGAGGGGGAATAGGCTCGCCATGACGAAGGAGGCTGTATACAGGACAAATTCTGTGAGGCATGGTTCTTACTGTAGTCTCAATGGAGATGCTCCCAAAGAGGAATTACCCCAACGGGATAGCCCGAAAGGGCTGATGATTCGCGGGCCGATCCGCATTGTAGATGACCCCGACGCTAAAAAGGGGCGTTGCGCTTAGTGCTTACATTAATGAACGCGATAGGAAAAATATGGGAATCCTACAACTGGTACTACATACTGCACATAATTACGGAGTAATGTCCGAACCACACACTAGTAGCGGGATAGACAACCTTTTTATGTAGAGTGCGACGGGTTGAACCCAGTTAGGTTCAGTCCTTCACCCCGTTCCTAGAATTTACCCCTATCTTATATTCGATTTGGCTGCGAGCCGAGTAGTTAGTTGTTTATCATGTGTTTGCTCTGGCCTGCGTTGCCATAACAACTGCTAGCCAGCACAGGCCCGCACCCCTTTTAATTCTCAGTAGGAGATCATTTATCTTTTCCCCTCATTTTCTCATTTTTGGTACAATCCATCGGAAATATTCACACTGTCCGTCTTGCTGTGAGCGTCAACATTCAACACCCAAACGCATCTACATAGGTAATCCTCGCATGTCTGTCAACTTCTGCTGCCAGGCGGTCTTCTCCTTGTTGTACTCCCCCAACCACTGCGGCCGCAGCGATGCGATAGGCTCCTCCAGCTCCGTCCACCGATCTCCAAGAGTCATGATAACCCGTCCATTCCATCGCCCTGGTGCCGACACCTTGGCTGGATCGTCTCTACCGTAAGGCTCGACAAAGTTCTTCTGCTGAGCTGTAGCAGAGTAGACAATTGCCAGACCTGCATGAAATGCGCTACTAATGGGCGCTCCGGCAGCCTGGATAGGCGCAGCGAGGTTTCCTGGCAAGAGTTTGGAGATTGTAGCAGCGGGTGCTACGCCATTGATAGTCGCCCCATATATATCTGCCATGGGACGCAGTCCGCGGATGAGCCCAACGAGCTAGAAGAGTCAGCTGTGATTGTCCAAACAGCACGAGCAACTCACGGCGAGCTTTGTAGCGCTGTACACTGGTAAACTCTGCTCGGGCGAATAAGCTGTGGCGCTCGAAGTGATTACGAGGCTGCTTCCGGGTTGCTGGAGTTGAAATTGACGAAGAGCGAGTTTCGTGAAATTCAGTACCGATCGAAAGTTAACGTCGACGACACGATGGGCTGGCTCTTTCAATTGTCCGTCCTCATCCAGAACATCTGTAAAGTAGTCTGGGTCTTGCGACACCCCGGCGTTGGCAACTGCAATGTCAATGTGCTTGAAGGAAAGGAACATGTCTCGAAGACTCTTCCAATTCGTGATGTCGCATTGCCTAAATTGAATGGAGCCCGCAGGTGTCGGAGGAAGCCGTGCAGAGGGATCACTCTCTTGACCCGGTATCTCGTAAATGTCGAATGCTTCGTCTATGGGAACAATGTCCAACACGTGGACTTGGGCTCCCTTATGTGCAAATATTCGAGCAGCTGCCAGACCGATACCTGAAGCGCCGCCTGCGAACGATAATCAGCTTCGGTTTTATCACCATGTAGACCGTGACGGTGAGATAGATTTCAGAACATACCTGTCAGAACCACCACCTTTCCATCCAACGATGGGATTGCATCTAGCTTGAGTTGAAGACTGCTCATGATGAAAGCTACAGCTACCGCATTGTGGGGTATGCCTGCATGATGTGCACTTACATGGCTTTTAAAGCCGTTGCGTTTGTAGAACCGCGTGCGCTATACTACTAGGCTACATGGGGGCATTACTCCAAAGAAGCACCCAAAGTGAGACGTCCGGATTACCTATTTCTGTGTAACAACCGAACAATCAAAGAACAATTGCCCCTCAAAGAGTAATATGTCTCCCTTATGCATTTCCCTAGCCGTATTTATCCGGTAGCTCATGTACAGTACATGTACTTCTCCTTCATATTTCGAGCCATAACGAACTGACTTCGCTACAGAGCAGTCAATATGCAACTTTCAACTATTATGAGCGCTGTGTTGCTCCTCACTCTGACCATCCTCGGTGTACAGATAGCTAAGTTATGGCGAAACTATACGCACGCAAAGAAGACGGGGCTTCCTGTCATCATCACCCCGCTCCTCGAGACGCAAATCCTGGCTCAAATGGCAACTCCCATTCTTCGCGCCATCTACCTCAAGCATCTTGACCAAGGCAAGGGGTGGCCTCGTTGGTGCCGCTTCATGATCAAAGACTGGCCATGGGAAGACAGGCGGCAGGCACATGAAGAGTTCGGCGATGTCTTCATCCTTGTATCGACCGAAGGCATGATCTGCTACAGTGCAGATGCAAACATGAGCTGGGATGTATTAAATCGGCGGTACGACTTCACCAAGCCAAGAGATAAATACAGTGAGTTTGGTCATCAACCCAACTCTCCGTAACTTAGTTCTTGCTACCTAACCGTGTCCATCGTGACAGAAATTCTGGAACTCCACGGTCCAAACGTTGCAACAGCTGAAGGTGCAGAATACCGCTTCCATGTACGTATCACGGCGCCGCCCCTGGCAGACGGTAGCGGCGTGAACGAACTCGTCTGGAATGAAACCATGTATCAGACCCGCACTCTCCTCTGTAAATGGGAGGAAGAGCCGCCTAATGATCTCCATGAAGACATTAACGCTCTCACGCTCGCAGTCATATCGCTCGCTGGCTTCGGCAAGAAGCTTGAGGCTGTGAAGGAGCAGTCTCAGGATATTCCGTCGGGATATAGGATCAGTTTCCTAAAAGCTATCAGTGATACTACTGCGTTCTTGTTTCCAATTTTAGTGTTTCCAGCCTGGCTGTTGAAAATTACGCCGCTCGCAAAAGCACATATTGCGCACACACAATTGGACAAGTACCTTCGCGCTATGATCTGTAAAGAGCGGGTGGCCGCCGAGAGTAGAGGGAACGTGAAGTCTACAGGTCCTAAGGGAAATCTTCTGCAGACGGTCCTTAAGTCGTCATATGACGTCGCGCAGGTAGAGAAGCAGAAGAAGGTGGGAGAGCAGAAGACAAGGAAAGATGGTTTTACTGATGATGAAGTGCTGGGCAATTTGTTCATCTACCTATTGGCCGGTAAGTTACACCTGTGTCAATGCTGCCTTCGAAACTCTAATCAATACATTTCAGGCTACGAAACCACTGCCAATGCGATTGCATATGGCCTAATAGTGCTTGCCCTTGAGCCCGAATTACAGAAACGCGTTGCGGCCGAAGTTGACAGCGTATGGTCGCGTGCAGCAGCTCAAGGCCGCAGTGAACTTACTTATGAAAAAGATTTCTCCCAGCTACAATATATGTATGGCTTCATGGTGAGTCTTCTTAGGCCTGTGCGTGAATGACACTCACATACTTCTCCAGTACGAGACATTCCGCCTCTACCCTGGCGTAACCCTTATTACTAAAATGTGCCACGCCGCGCAACCCGTTCAAGTTGGCACAACCACACACATTCTCCCCCCAGGCTGCCGTGTCTATCTCTCTGCCCCAGGCGTCCACTATAACAGCAAGTATTGGGAGAATGCAACGGAGCTAAAACCAGAGAGGTGGTCCGAGGCATACTCCCACAGCAAAGGGGACGCCAACACCACTCCATTAAGTGGCCATACCACCACCCCAAACCCCAATGGCACGAAACCACAAGCCAAATCCTCCACACTCGCCGCCGATAAAACCCGCCAAATGCGCGGCACCCTACTCACCTTCTCCGACGGCTCACGCGCCTGTCTTGGTCGAAAATTCGCACAGGCGGAGTATATAGCGTTCTTCGCGGCGCTATTGCATAAGTTCGAACTGAGATTTGCGGAAGGTGTGGATCAGGTCCAGGCTAGGAAGGATCTGGATTGGAAGTGCGCGGGGAAGGTTACGCTTGCGCCGTTAGCCGGGTCGAGGATAAAGCTTATGAGGAGAGAGGGACGGTAGGGTGAATGTAGGGCGTTGTGGCATATGGGAAGTAGGAGAGTAGGTATTGAATACGGAAAGATTTGCTTTGTTTGGGATAGATGCTTAGTGAGAGGAGATTGGGAAGTATGTATAAGCCGCTGGCAAGCTCAATCTTGCGTTGGAGAAGGTTAGTAATGCTCAGTATACCCCCTACGCCTACGCTTCCCATACGCAATGCCCTCGTCGTCCACTTGACAAAGTTACATTACCACTTCCTCTCCTCCCTTCCAGTCTCGTCTAGTCTACCTTCTATCCATTCCTCTCAGGTAACTACCTAGGTGCTCTACGAACGAATAGGGGTTTTGCAAAATGGTCTTGGCAAGAGTGCCCAAGAGTTTTGTACTTGACATCCTTACCCCGTATAAGCTAATAACTAATCGGATTCTCTCTTTTAGGAAAATATTGTATTTAGCGTCGGAATCCGCATGTGATCATTCTCTATTTCCGTCTTAGGACTTAAGCTATTGGTGAGCAAACCAGGGCAGAAGGCGACCCGTTTGAGCTCCTCGGCTACGATTGCCGTCACCTAAAGTTAGAAGAAGAAGTACCCATATTATCTTATATCATTTCCAAAAATCAGTAGGCCACGAAACTTACTGTCCTCAGGGTTGTTGGGGTTTAAGATGATCTTGGGTAGGGGATTTGTAGAGGTTGTACTATCACGACATATTATACTGACGGGGCAAAGTTACTCAAGCAGTGCCTCATTGTGTTTAAAGCAAGTTAGGATTATCCTCTACGGATCACTTGTGCAGCAATGATTACCCCCAGTACCAAGCCATTCAAGCAAATCAAACACCACACATAGCTAAGAGTACCTCTGTAGTACCAATCTCGGTATTCACATCGCCGATCCAGCCCAGATACCCGTATCCATATTTCGCCAAGACAGCCGGACTCTGAGCACTACCGTGATCGGAAACATATATCCGATCCTCAGGTTTTGTGTCCCTGAGATGGACCGCCTTCATGCTATACTGATGCGGCAGATTCGGATGACGGCTGCTAGTGGAGACTAAATTGGCTCGAGGATTTAGTGAAAACATCGAGCGACAATAATCACTATACTTCCAATTGAGAGCCCATCTGTCCTTAAAAGATTTATCCAGCTTGTCTGGTTGAGCAAGGGCGCTGAAAAGAAATCCAAGGATAACAGTTCCACCATCACGGGCGTGATCCACAAGCTTCTCTTGGACGGCGATGAATTTGTCTTCCATTACCGCGGGGTCGGTCATGACGACAGCGGCATACTCTTCGTGTGACTTCGACAGGTGCTGCAAAGTACTGGCAATATGTGTCACCTCCGTCACAACAGCCTTAGAGCGGAGTTTAGCGAGAACTGCCGAATACATCTCATCGAGCCATGGCTGCTTGTCAAGTGATACGAGTAGAACAGTGGGTAAGGTGCTTGATGACCCAGATGCTGCCCCAGCGGCGCCTTCCAGTTGGCTTAAGACGGTGTTGATCCTATCTTTGTCCCATCTCCACTTCATTTCTCCGCGAAGTCCTCGGGGGTCTTGTTGCTTGCCACTGTTTCGAACCATGATATCTCCTCTTTCTGACCCTTTGTAGGATTCTGTGCATTGTAGGCCATCAACAATTCTTTCCAGCCGTGGTATCCGCCAACGTCTTCTGCACACCCGTGACCTTCGCCTTCGAGGCAAACGAAATGTGCTGTGGCGTCTGTTCGTCCAGTACAGGCTATAACGTGCTCCCAGACGTCACCAAAATCGTAATTATAGAGTGAATAGTTTTACCCTTGGTCTTCAGGCCGTCCAAAACTTGAAAGAGAGTGATCTTTGCGTCATCTCGATACTGCAGCCCTGGCTTCCCGCAATAGTCGCCGTCTTCAAGAGTTTCTGAATCTATAATATGTATGATAGGTTCTGGTCCTGAAAATGAAATCTCACGGCCCCTCACATCGTTGTGGTCGAAGACATCGAAACTGTGGAGATGGGTATTTGCCCAACCAAATGCGACCAAGAGGGCTTGGTGAAGCGCGGCGAACGTGGCAGTGGCAGGGCATGACAGGGTCCGAGAAACGCGAGGGTTGGTAATGAACCAGGGAAATAAATTAACACTAAGTACGTAGTTCTAACGCCTACACTCAGCTTTGTGGGTTGCCCAATCTTTCTTCTGGCATTGTGGACCTTTTGAATATTGATTTTAGCGCTCTTCAGAATCCCCATCTGGTAAACTTACCACAGTAGACGCGAGAGGTACAGCGTCCACATCTCAAAAGTTTGGATTCGGATTTGCCACAGACGGGACATTCAGTAGTCATGGTTGGTTCCTTTCTTAGTGTTCGAGAGTAAGGGTAGAAATGAGGAGTTGCCAAATCCAATGATGCGACGCGATTACAAGACCACCTGCCCTCGTATTAGGTAAGGTAAACGACGAGACTTGACCTACTATACGTGAACACCTCGCGAAAATGAAGGCGTTGTAGCGCGAATCTGATTGTAGGGCTTAGTCGGCCTTATTTAAGATGTGACAGCTCTGAAGTACAGTATATGAGGCGGGGTTTGATTTAAGTACCATTGCGACGCGATTCATTGTCGGGTGATCGCAGGCTAGCAAACGAATTGGCCTATTCTGGCTTTCCTACTGTTATTTTTTCCTGTACAATATCCTACCTAGGGTAGGTAGACTTAGAGGACCCTCTGTTCTTCTCTTTTCTCCTTAGCTTATTATCCTTAAATAAAAATTATTATTTGAACTCTCACTTTGGCCTATAATCCGGAGAGACCACCCACACCCACGCCCACACCCCAAGAACCTCTCCGTTAATCTACCGCTGTCTACTCTTCTAGAATTAATCCTCCTTAATATCCTATTGCTCACTCAGTACTCGTGGAGTATAAAGTTCTATCTACGCGTATATGAAAATATTTAGAGTGGAAACGAGAAAAGTCAGTCTTGCAACCTCTTGCTTGAGAGATTGGAGAGATGATGGGAGCAGAGGTAGGAGGGAAGGTAGGGGATGAGATGGAAGGCGAGAGGGAGCCGACTATTGATATGAGTACGCCGTCTCAGGCAAAGGGCATGGGGGGATCAACCTCCCGACTTCTGAAGTACGGCGTAGACAACGTCACTGTATGTGGATTTTTGAAGGCAGACGGGGACAACTGTCAAGAGATCTGATCTAGCTGGTAGAGGCCGTGAATGGCACGGAGGTAATATATCTGGACACACTGGCTGGGGAAGGGGCCCTTTTTCGAGCCCGTCGGCAAAAATTAACGAGTTCTAGTGATGGTGGTGAGATGGGCCTTGACTGCTCTATGGCGCATAAACTAAGCAGACCTGAGCCGAAGCTGAGCTGGTCATAGGTCAGCCTGAGTAGAGGATAAGTGGGCACCACTGGAGCCTCAGGGGTTGTGACGTTTCGAGATTCCGATGATTACAAGACACTTGATCCATACGATATCGTTAGGAGTTAGGGCACTACTAACCCATTTTACAAAACACTTATCCGTTCATAAGGTAGTTATTAGTGGTAAAGATAACAAATATAAATTCCTGACTCGGGCTGTAGCACTTTTCTTAAAAGGTGTCCTTTTTATACTTTTTGGCTTTCCTCTGTACGTTGGCATATAGGGCTGTATCTTGGACAATAGGCGGGTGCTGTAGCTGTAGCAATCCTACAAGTAGTAGTGGTATAAGTTTGAAGCCGGGCTCGGCACGGCACGTCGCCGTAGCGCCGGCACCCCTGGGGCTAGCTGTCAGCCCGTGCCCGGCTTACTTTTGGATAAGAAGAGGGAGAGCTCTCTTTGGGAGGTTGTAATCCTCATGTCTAGAGCTCATGATTGGATGGAGATAAAGCTCTCTCGCCGCATGTGTCGATTCGTTTGCTGCCCTAGCCAGGACTGTGGTGTCACCGTAAGAATTCGAGGGTAGTGATTACTCCGCAGTCTAGGGTAGTATCGATTTGTCCGGGTTTGGTTTACCACTGACTCGTGATTCCCCATTATTCGGATCCTTACCTAGGTACTGTACGTCGCAGCCTGTGATCGGGGTATACTCCGTGGGCACCTCCGGTCGCCGGGTTATTCCGATGTACTGCAGTTCTTCGACCGTCCTAAGATTGTAGCTCGAGAGGAGCTCTGCATGTCGCCCGCAGGACTTCGTCGTGTATGCGAGCCGGCGGGTCTGGTAAGTTCAGTTCCGGTAGCTGACCCGACTCGCAGCTTCGAAACCACAAGGTAAAGGGCCAGCGCGTGCGAGGATTCGCTACCCTAGAAGAAAGGAAGGCGGTAGCAGTGTTCTAATACCCGCTAGATCGGAGATCAGGGCGCAGTTTAAGATAACGTGTAAGATGTGCCCCTGTTGTGCACGGAGGCACCTGCCTAATGTTATGTTAGGTACCTAGGTATACTAGGATGTAGGCAAGGGCAATATTCACGTGTCCCATAAAATAAACCAACTGCAGAGCATAAGGTACCTATGTTGATACAAGCTTCATAGCATATATTGATACTAGTTGCATAGCATATATTAAAACCAGCACGTGAAGCCCTTGTTTAGGGCCCTATACCACATAACCTTAAGTGCACAACTTCTCACAGTAAGGAAAAGTCTTACTTTTTTCTAGTCTTTTCTGGTAGGGCACAGTTCTGCCCTGTTGCGCGTCAACCTTTCAGCCAGCCCTGCAAGTTGCAACTGCAGTAGCGCGGACATTGCTTGCGATCATCTTGCGTGCGTACAGGGTTATAAGCAAGACACAATACACGTGTCTTGTACAAGGTACCCCGTACATTGCACTGAGGAGACCTAGGCCCAGAGATTCTAGATTGAGGAAACATCCCAAATGCCGAGACTTTCACCCCCGACATCTTAAATAATGAACACCCCCCATATATAGATCAAAGCATGGATATTGTAGCTTGTTTACGGGAAGTAGCGTAATTACATAGCTACATTAACTGCCTTACACTACTGTTGAATTAAGAGTCTAACTGCTATACGACAAAGAATTTAAAAAAGTTAAAACTAAATTTCTTAACTCTAAAGAGGTTTGCGTAGCCTATGACCTAGAACACTAGAACACTATGCTTCTAATGTAATTTGGCCGCGGGTCCCTCTTATTTAACGACCTTAGTACGCGTACTCTACTTTAATTCTAGATATCGTAAATTAGTCTTATTTTTCGTGGAAGAATATACCTAGGAATAGCTTCAACTTGCGTCTTGTAGGATTTGTCTATATAAGTGCTTACGTTATACTATAAAATCAGATAGTAATGGAGTTAATTCGTTTGGCCGTAAATGGCCCAGGATGTCGTCACGTCTGTTGCATATGCAAGACACTGACGTGTTCCCCTGCAGGTGTAGGCATTTAAAACGTTTTTTCAGTTGCTGAGCCCCAAGATCACTCTAGGAAGTTGTCAGAAAACGGATTAGTATTGCTAAGCAGGGCTTAGTGTAAGCACGCCCTATATAACCGCCCACATGGCGCATCCATCTTGTAATTAGATTAGTCGTTATATTCATCCTTTAGACCCTTACTTCGACTATATCCACTTATCTAATCCCAACAGAAGTCAGATAGGCAGCACGTGATCCTGACAACTCAATTCTGAGGTAGCACAAAAAATCCTTTAAACGCAGATAAGAGAAAATCTTTTTGAATAACTTAGGTGCAAAAGGGAGATCACTATGTTTAGCACTCTTTCGTTCTCGAAGACTGGCCGATCCAAAACTTTTGAAGATCATTCTTTTGCTCACAATCGCTCGGGACATTCTGTAAGAAGGTTTGCCTGTGAAACATGTCGAGCTCACAAGGTACGAACAGCCCTCGTTATAGAACAAGCCATGGATGGAAAACAGAGTCTGACTCGCCGCAAGATCAAGTGCAGCGGCGACAAATCAGGCTGTGCCCGATGTGTTGGCCTCAAGATTAAATGCGTATACAACGGCGTTAGCAAATCCGGCTCACGGTCTCAGTCCTGTCAGAGCCCGAATTCGACGGCGAATATAAAACCAAGTTGGAGCATTCACAGCCCGAATAAAACCAGCTCGTCAAAACCTCGCCGTAATGAGCCGTTGCAGATACCACAGAAAGAGAAGGAAGCTATAGACCATGCTGCGGATGACGAACTATCATTTACCGAGTTTAGTTTACCTAGCAGTGTATCGCCCAAGTCACCCATTGATGGGTCTTCGAGCGATAGACAAACGACAATTCTGGCACGCACGCTAGGACCGTTTCTTTACGACGACAGTAGTGCTAGCATAAATCTCATGACTGACGATCCAACTTTGGGTGATCTTGACGATTCGCTGGATTGGGCACTAATGAGCGATAACTACGCTCCCACTCCCGATCTGATCTCCTGTAAGTCAAATAGGCCAAGTTGACAAGCTTTTGCCATTTTTTTCCTCACTTGACAGCCGCATTTTGAGTTCAGGTCCAAAGTGGTTCCAACTAACTCTTTCGTACGTAGTAGATAGTTCTGCATTCGACCCTAGCCTCTCGCCCTCTCCAATACTGCCGCACACCAGAACCACCCAACTCCAAGCTCTTTCCACTTTCCAACCTCCCAAATCCCCCGGTCCCCAACAGCCCTCCTCGACATTATCCTCACCCTCCGCACCACGCCCATGCTCTTGCTCCGCCCGCCTCTCGGCCTTATTATTCAGCCTTAACGGCCACTTGCGCCGGCGCTCAAGCTTCTACTCGCCAACATCTCCCGGCGGCAGCACCATCTCACTAGAGCAGAGCATATCACGGATTCTCGCCGCACAGTCTAGCGCAGCACCACTAGGCGACGACATGGCCGTATGTGCATCCCGATGCCTTACACAAGCCTCAAACGCGGTGCAGCTAGTCATGTTAATCGAACAGCTCGTCGATCTGTACGCAGGACTCGTCGAGCAGCTTTCTGCGGCGCGATATGCGGTTGACGGCGTGCAAAGGGCTCCCACGACAAATGCTGAGATGGCCATGGCAATGCCGGTGCGTGTTGGCGAGTACATGGTCGAGAGTGCGGCGGAGAGGGAGGCTATGATTACGTTGCTTGTGGGCAGGAGGATGAAGGCTCTGACCGGGTTTGCGGTGACGTGCCGAGAGCGGTTGGGAAGTGCATCCGGGGCAGGCGAGTGCCGTGGAAGGCTGAATGGTGCAGTGCAGAGGTTAGAGATGCTGAGAGACGGACAGAATAGGAGGTGCTGATAGGGATATTCGAGTGATGAGTCCCTTTAAGCGAGCGAGGAGTTGAATATAGATAAGAGATAGACTTATACTCATAGAATGTGAAAAACAGCCGGCGTGCGGCAGTCTAAAGGTCAAACCCCTGCCGTCACGATAGATTCTATACTTCTTGTACCATGTAAACAGTTGTTAGAACCTCTGTAATAAATGTTCGTGATTTCCTTGCGTGTGAAATTATCGTGCTGCTGGTGGCTATGAGGTCCATTTAATTTTAACTTGAAGGCCGGTTTAGTCGCTATTATTCGAAATGCCGCATCCGCCGATAGCCTCACTACCGATAACATACTAGGAGGGAGGCGAGCGCCTGAAACGGATCTAACGTACGTACCTACCTAGGGAGGTAGGTCAGCAAATATGGTGAGGAGGTGAAGTCGTCCACTGAATCGGTAGGTGTCTCTGTTCCATGAACTGCTCTCATTGGTTCTTTGGTCAACCTCGGACCCGCCTAATGGGATCATATCATGTGCGTACATTTCCCCATTAGGATATGCTGCGAAAGCTGCGAAATCTACTGTTCGGCTTTGTGTAAGCCAGTGATTCCGTACTCTGGTGGCTAGCATAGACGACGGTCTCGATTCAAGGACCTTTCAAGTTGAGGAAGTATCGCTTTTTGAACTGTTTTTGTTGTTCCGTGCTTGCCATGTCTTCAAATCTCCTACACAACGTGTCTGCCAAAAGGCAGCATTTTCCCGCAGTTGCAGGTAATTCGAGGTTCTCTTTGGCGGCTTTAATACCAGCAGCGAAATGGGTTCCTGTGTTTGTGGGTGCACCAATTGGGGTTTCAACACTTGTTTTCACTGACAATGGCAGATTGTAGTATATTTGCTCGCTAAAGTAGTCTACAACGTGTACTTCCATCCGCTGGCGAAATTTCCTGGTCCACTCTCAGGTCGTGCATCGTTGGTTCATCTCCCTCATCATCAGCGTACTCTCGACGCTCGTGGCGTACCAGTGGCTCACTTATTTAGCTTTGGCGATACACCAACACTGCAACAGGCAAGATACATATAGCAATCGAGAAGCTGCATCGGCAGTACGGTATGCAATGCAAACCTGGACACCGCGCCCGGGTTACTGATGCGTAGTACAGGCCCAATTGTCCGTGTCTCCGCCAACGAACTCTCCTTTGCATCTGTCGAGTCCTGGAAAGCCATCTATGGACACGCAGCACCCGGCAGGCAGATTGCCATCAAAAGTCCCTTCTACGAGATCTTCGGAGCGGGCTTCAAGAAGCTATGCATTGGTAGCGAGCGTAACCCGAAGAAGCATGGCGAGATGCGGCGCATGCTCTCGTCTGCGTTTTCTCAGCGGAGTTTGTTAGAGCAAGAGGAGCTGGTCGCGGGGACCATTGATAGGTTTGTTACGATCCTCGGTGAGAAAGGCGGGAAGGAAAGCAAAGGGTTGAACATGACGAAGTGGTATGAGATGGTTGGATTCGATATTTTAGGAGAGATGGCATTTGGAGAGTCATTCCACAGCCTCGAGAATGGTATTATTATCTCCACATCTGTTCGGTGGAGCCCACAACCTTCGAGCAATGTGCTCTTGAGGGATTGCTGCTAGGATTTGGTGAAATGAGGCATATGATATCGCAGCTAATCGCCCGTGAACAACAGGTAAACCGCACTTCTGGTCCGATCTCGTCGAAGAGCATCTCTACCTCATCACCCTGATCGACAATCTTAGCAGATTACCGTTTGTGGCTACAATTGCCAAGGTTCTCTTTCCTTCAACCTTGGTTGTCCAGAATCAGAACTCCGCATTCAGCCGGAAACAAGTTGAGAAGTGAGAGGGCCAATTTGACGAGATCAATTGAATCTTTGCTGACGCCTACTACTCCGTAGGCGCTTATGTTCTAAAACCTCGAGAAAAGACTTCCTCACCAACCTTGTTGAGAAGGTACACAGTGGTGAGGTCGACAAAGAGGAGATGACTGCTCATGTGTCCACATTGGCGTAAGTAGGCTTCAGCTATCTCCTATGCGAAGCGCTCATGCTGATGCCACGCAGGATTGCCGGTGGCGAGACAGTCTCAACCTTCCTCGCAGGTACAACTTTCTTTCTACTTAAAAATTCGCCCGTGTTGCAAAGGCTAGTTGATGAAATTCGTGAGGCGTTCAATTCGTATGAGGAGATAGACGCACAAAAGGCGCAGAAGCTTCCATACCTACAGGCCGTTATCAACGAGGGTCTACGCATGTATCCACCGGGATCACAAGGTTTTCCCCGGGTTTCTCCTGGTTTCGAATTACATGGCAAATTCATCCCGCCAGGAGTAAGTAATCCATGATATTGCTATTTAGAAGCAGGGGCTGACGTAGACGGCAGACTGAGGTCTACACGAGCGCATGGGCGGTGACCCACGATGATAAATACTTCAAGGACCCAATGGACTTCAAGCCTGAGAGATGGATCGATCCTGAGAGCCAAGATGTCAAGGAGGCCAGCCAGCCATTCTCGCTAGGGCCAAGAGGCTGTTTGGGCCGCAAGTGAGTCCCCCTTTTTTGCATCCGCCTTCATCGGCCGGGTGGACTGACTTGAGTGCAGCTTCGCGTACATGGAGATAAACTTGTTGTTGGCCAAAATGCTGTGGAAGTATGACCTCGAGCTGGTCAATGAAGACCTGGACTGGCTGAAAGAGGGCAAAGTGTTCGTAATGTGGTGGAAACCAGAGCTGTTGGTCCGTTTTCAACGACATTCCCAGTGACTCTACGGAGCCTCGAGAGGTGCGGATACGTGATAGAATGGAAGGTCCTTGCGTTAACTTGTGCTGTATCGTCGGTTCCATCCGCCATGAGTAAGATGCTGTCGAAGAAAATTGTATCGTAAGGAAGCAGCAGAACAGTGAGGTGCTCGCTCGGCAGGGGCAGGACAAGCAGGGTGACAATTCACAAATCGAGGATTTATTTTGCGAGCGACAAATAATAGTTTGTCTCTACAAATAGAGACGGGTCGCGGATAGAATCATGGATTAGCCTAGGTCACGTTTATAGTCAGCTGACCTGTCGTCTGAGGTGGGACCAGGCGACAAGTTTCATGCCTTCGATATGAGGCATAAAGTACACAGGTAAGTCATTGAGAACTTGTGAGACATGTGATTAGTCATCAATTCCTTTCAATGTCACATGTCACTGCCAGCTGCCCCTTTTCCCGCCCCACCAACCAACATTCCACCCCCTGCCTCGGCGCGGTTGATCTATTTTCCGATACCACAACAGGTGTTGATAACTTTTCTGCGATGCACGTGATCAGCCACACTTCTCGCCAGCATCGTTCAGAAATGAAGCCATGAACGTGCAATAATTTATCGCTCGCGCTCTCAACCTCCGCCATCAATAACATCAACAACGACATCTCAGCTTCACTACCGCATCTGCCGCTACTTCCGCCTGCTCTTCCCCCCCGCCCCTCCTTCGCGACCTGCAAACTCTCCCCTCGATGCGGCACTGCAACACCATCGTCGCAATCACACGACACGCATCCTCATACACATCGCGGAATTGAGAGCATCCAAATCCCATCGTCGTGGCTCCCATTCACCTCCTCTCCAGCCGCATCCGCGACAATCCCCTCGATCGCTGGCGGGGAGGGCATTGGGGTATGAATACTGCTTCTGCATCTCTCACCGCGCCCGCATACACACCACTCGAATGCCTTCTCCTGTTCCAAGCTCTCGTTGCGTATGGCACGAGCGATGACGACTTCGCCGCTATTTCCGACCTCCTCACGAACAATGGTCTCATCAAGACGGGGCCAACCTATGATCCACAACGATTAAGTGTCGATGCCTTGCGGCAACTGTATGTGCATCTAGTCCACGAGGAGGAAGCAGCAGATGGGTTGGAACGGGAGATCGACGAGGGCCACGGCGCGCAGTCGCCATCTAGAAAGCGCAAGCTACCTAGTCCACAGCGACCATCACTGAAAGATGCCCAGCAGTATAAAGATAGGTTGCCGGTGTTGGTTGATCGGTTATACGCACGATATCGGGATTACATGATTCATGCTATTCGAGAGGATGAGAGGAGATATGCTGCAGTCCAGAAGGAGATTCAGGAAATAGAAAGAGGGGAATGGGACGAGAGGATATTGAAGGAAGCCCAGGCGATCACGAAAGAGGACCAAAAAGACAGTTCTGCCATGATGGCAGAACCGTTACATCCCAAACCTAATGGCACAACTCCTGTTAAACTACCAACGCCAACTCCAACCCCGACTCCTCAACAGCTGCCGCCTCAAGAAAAGAAGCCTGTAGAAGTGCGCCCACCGGAAGCTATCAATCCAGCAGTTGGAGCTGCTCCCGCTAAGACGTCCCCAACGATTGGCGCCCCATCCCCTCGAATCGAAACCAGGCCGGATGGGTTAGCAATCACCGATGTCTTGAACACCCAGCAAACCCCAGCGCCGTCTCCACTGCAGTCACAGGCTGGTGATGGGCGACCTCAGAATGGGGTACAGAATACTCGCCCTTCCCCAAAGGCTCAACCCAGACCGGGTAGCAAAGGCTCATATGTTCCACATGGACCAGCTCTTCAACCCCAACCATCTCCCCAGCAGCCAGGAAATGTGTGGAAATGGGAACAGCCCTATGGCCCCCAGCATCAACCTCCTCAATATCAAGGCTCGAGTCCTCATCCTCCCTCTTTTAATATGCCGCAATACCCCCAAGGCTATGTTCCTCCACCAAGAGGATCCTTTTCGGCACCCCACGGTCTCCCTCCACCGCATCCTCATGTTCCATCGTCCCCTTCGCCGCTCAACCCAACGCATCCACATCCCATCCTTCTGCCTCCTCCAAATGGAATAAGACGTTCACCTGGCTCGCCGGGAATGCCTCTTGATGCTTTAGCCGACATCGCTGGACAACAGTATCGTGCTCCTGCCGGCTCTCCCATGGCGCAACAGCAAATGCCGGTTTCCCCTGCTGGCTACCCGCAACAGTTCGCACAGAGACTGCCGCCTCAAAATCCCCCACCACAGTGGAACCAACCATATCCCCCACCCTATCCTGGAGGTCCTCAGCAGTATCCAAAATTCCAACCCTCTCCCAGTCAACGGCTGCCGTATCCGCCTCGTCCAGATCTTGTCCCACCAGAGAACAGACAGTATAATTCGCCATACAATGCAAACCAGGTTCCAAAACCCGCGGTGCCTTTGGTTTCCAGTATGCCCGCGCCAAAGCCTAAGACTAGTCAACCAAATACCCCGATATCTCAGGGCACTTCTCGGTTCAAAACAGGCAGCGGCACTCGGTGGACGCCGACTCCTACTTCATCAACGCCGAAGCCTAACAAAACAGTGCGGCCGCCGGTTGTTGAGCCTCTAAGCCCTGTGCTACGGCCTTCGAAGCCTGCTCAAACTGCAAAGAAATCGCCCCCGAAGCAGGAAGTTTCAAAGTCCGAGCTCTCGAAAGCAGGCAAGCCCCAGCGTCGTGGGACACAGGCTGTTAGAGCTGGAAGCGTGGCATCCTCCATTGTCACGGGGTCTCACAGGAGCCCATCTGCTACGCCCCATGCAGATGAGAGCTTGTTAGAGAATGAGCTTCCTGCACGTCACGTGAAGCAAGAAGTTGCTACGCCGATTGGCATTGAAGATGCGGGTGATACTACGGCTGATGAATCGTCGTCTGTTCCACCTGCACACAACTTGAGGACAGGAGGTGCTCATCCACGCGCCACTTCGAAACGGAAGCGTGCGGGCAGCACCACCCACGTCCTGTGGACCCGAGCGTTCCCGAAGATATCCGCATCCGCCCTGGAAGCTATCTCCGGCCACCGAAACGCCAGCACTTTCGCAGCTCCTGTCAAAGAGCGCGATGCGCCTGGGTATAGGCACCTCATCCTTCGTCCTCAAGATCTAAAAAGCATCCGGTCTGCGATCCACGCTGGTCACCGGGCAGCAGCAGCTGCCGCGCCTAGTGATCTAGACGCCTCCCAGCCCAGCATTATGCTTCCCATTTCAGAGGAACTTATCCCACCAAAAGGCATTATAAATAATACCCAGCTGGAGAAAGAACTGATGCGCATGTTCGCCAACGCCATCATGTTCAACGCGGACCCCGACCGCGGATTTGGGAGAAGATTACAGGACAAGGGTAAACCGCAGGGAGATGTTATCGGCTATGAGATCGACGAAGACTCACTAGTCAAGGACACGCGCGCCATGTTCGCAGATGTCGAAAAGATCATCACCAACCTGCGGAGCGCCGAGCGGAGAAGCGAAGAACTTCGGGAGTCGGGCTTGTCCACGGGGAATGCTGGCACCATGGAGGACTCCGAAGCTGGCGAGTCCGCAGCTGACCGCGAGGGTAGCGCCTCGAATACCGGCAGTATTGCTAAAAGACGGCGCAAAAACTAGATTACAGAAACGCATCGCTGCGCGGAATGAACCGAGCCCCTTATCAAAAAACGTGTAGTTATAAAGTGTGACATTAATATTAAAAACTATTTATCATCTCAGGTGTGGGTTTTTCCTTAAACCGCTACCAAAAGACAAACCCATCCATCCATTCATTTCGCAATCGCAGGGCAGATTTGCGAAAAGGTATCATCCTATAGGTACTTTGTGCAAGTGCACTACGAACAAACGCTCTTGGGGGGGTATAATAATACAACGCACATACGTCAACAAAGACGAAAAATACTACTTTTTTGATTTTTGAACTCCAGTTCGCCCCCGCTATTCGCTTTCCCATCCCATTTCCCAGTTCCTAATTCCAAAAAAAATCCAAAACTATTATATATTTCTTTCCGTTCGATTCAATCATCTCATTAAGCCGTTAATAAAAAAAAATTCTAACCCTCGGCGGCGGAGTTTGATGACCCCCTTTCTTTCTTCCTTCCCTTCCCATCTCGTTAAATTATGAAGGGGTAGCCGCATATGGGTTTTTCTTTGTGGTTTTGCACTACTTCCGAGCAATCCACGCGCGTCCACCACGCCAGCAGAATCTCCAGCCCACGGCACTGCAAAGACGATGGAGCATGCCGTCCTCGAAGAATTCACTTCCGGAGATCTGGATGATCCCTAGCGGTTGCGAGTGCTGCCCCAGCAAGATGGATGTCCGGATCTTGCGCTGCTCTTCGATGGGGAGGCTGCGGATGTCGAGGTATTGGAGGCCTGACATCCGGAATTTGTGGTGCATGTTGCCGCTGCGGTTGACGGAGACTGAGTTGAGCCGTTTGCGTAGTTTGCAGAGTGCTACTGCGCGGCCCATGGGGCCTAGGATCGTGCCGTAGAGGGCGTCGATGGCAGGGCTGTCGTCTTGGCTGTCGTCTGAGTTGCTGTTTTCGCCGTACTGGTCATCGTGGTGCTTTTCGATGTGTGGGGGCAGGATTGTGGATTCGAGGTCGTGGAGGCGGATGCCGGTTCCAATGCTCAGCTCCATGAGTTTCGGACACTGTTCTCGGATGATATCCAAGTGCGAGGGCTCCATGGAGCAGTTTCTGAGATTGAGCGATCGGAGACTTGGAGGGAGTTGATACAGAACCCCCGAGATGTCGTCTGGACTTTCCAGTGGGAGCGTCCATTGTCTTGAGAGATCCAGAACCATCAGCCCTTCGAAGATGCTCGGGTTACGGTTCATGAAGCTGGAGACGTCGGACCATGCCGCGGAAGATATTAGCGTGGTCTTCAAGGAGGTTAACCGCGCATTGGTAGGGATGCCCTCGAGGACATCGGCAACCTTGACATTTGAGCCTGAGAAATCCAGAATCTGGATGCTGGGCATGGCTGTCAAGAGCCTTTTAATGACGCCCGTCATCCTGGTGTCCTCGCAACGAAGCTTCAGATGGGTGATCGAAGTCGAAACCCGTATAGGCTCGTTCTCCAGATAGTCCAAGAAAGCATCCGAGAGCTTTGGTCCCCAATCCAAAATCCTGAGATGCTGGAATTTGCCCCGGAGGATGTTTTGCAGGACCCGGAAATCGAGCAGCTGCCAATCGAAGCCATCCATGGAATCCACAGGTGTGCGAAGCTCCCACAGGCGTGGCATGAAGTTGAGTGATTGCATGAGCAATGCACTGATTACCTCGCCCCTCTTCTCCCCGGCCGGTGCGAGATCATTGTGGTCTTTCTGCAGCCCATTGAGATCCAATCGGCGGACATACTGGCCTAGGTGTGGGTATCTTGATATTTGGGCGGCGAGCTTCACCACGCAGGAGTATTTGTAGACGGAGATGCGGCGGTAGAGGATAGGGAGCGTGGCGACGTGGATTGTGCGGGATATGAGGAGGCACGAGAGCAGGTTTCTTTGGGCGTCGACGGCGGAGTTGTTGAGATTAGGATCGGCTGGAAATTGGGTTAGGAATTGTATAGCTCGGTGGGAGTTTTGGTAATATCTGGGGTATTTACCAGGTAGGGAATGTCGGAGGTGGTGTTCGAGCTCGGTGTTGGAGGGGGCGTTCGGTTTGAGGTAGGTCAGGACTTTGTGGAGGATCTCGGTGGGGAGCTGTTCTAGTAGAGAGGGAGGAGAGGTGGATGTGGATGGATCGAGCTCCATCATGGTGATTCCGGCGTCCATTGTGGCGTATGGACGTATTTTCTGGTGATATAATTCTGTATTTTCCCCAAGGAAGCACAACTCGTACTGAATTGGCCCGTCCGGCTGGAGGTTGAGTTGGGGTTATATGATATGACACAATGCATTCCAGACCCTTTGTTGATGTGCCTGTCGGACTTGGCGGGGGGCGGGGCGGGCAG